GCCCTTTACATGTAAAATGCAATAGCATTTTATTCAACTTCTTTTTTTTTTTTTTCCTTCCTTCCTTCCTTCCACACGGGTTTTTTTTTTTTTTTTTTTTTTTTTGCTTTCTTTTTTTGATCAGGTGACCAAAGATTTAACTTTAGCAGTCAGTGTCGAAAGGAAAGGTTTAGGTAGGGGAGTGGGGGGGGGGATGGAGGAGGGGAGGAGGGGAGAAGGCCATAGATTGGGGGAAATATACCATTTTTAGTTGAGCTTTCTTTAGTTGTCTCGGCTATAAAAGGAAAAGACTCTCACGTGACTACGCCTCTTTTATGGTAATTGTAGAAAATGAATTGTGTATAGATATCAAATTAACAACATTGCACTACCTTTGGAAATGGAGGAAGATTTTCGCTTAAAAGTTTTACCACCAGCAGTAATCTAATGCTGTAAGTTAAGAGTTGATACACATACGATGGTACCTACTGGTGCTTGGATACTACATACACATACACACATACACACATACACATACACATACACACATACACATACACACATACACAAATACACAAATACACACAAACATACAAATACACGTGCATTGGTTCATTCAATCTGAAAACTTTGTTTTTAAATAGTCTACATTGTTGAGACAGAGCTTGGTTTTAGATTGTCTACTTTGTTGAAACAGAGTTTGGCTATTATATTGTTTAAGCTTTGTCCACTAGCGAGCAACACTATCGAGCGACACTATCGAGCGACACTATCGAGCGACACTATCGAGCAGAGCGAGATAGTGGAGCAGTAGTGACTGACACGATCGAGCGAAGCGAGATAGTGGTGACTAGAGACTAAAGACTTGACTAGATGCTTCGCTCGATAGTGGAGCAACACTTGTAGCTTGTTACAACATTATCGCCGACACTATCGAGCGACACTATCGAGCAGAACGAGATAGTGGTGTAGAGACTAAAGACTTGACTAGATGCTTCGCTCGATAGTGGAGCAACACTTGTAGCTTGTTACAACATTATCGCCGACACTATCGAGCGACACTATCGAGCAGAACGAGATAGTGGTGTAGAGACTAAAGACTTGACTAGATGCTTCGCTCGATAGTGGAGCAACACTTGTAGCTTGTTACAACATTATCGCCGACACTATCGAGCGACACTATCGAGCAGAACGAGATAGTGGTGTAGAGACTAAAGACTTGACTAGATGCTTCGCTCGATAGTGGAGCAACACTTGTAGCTTGTTACAACATTATCGCCGACACTATCGAGCGACACTATCGAGCAGAACGAGATAGTGGTGTAGAGACTAAAGACTTGACTAGATGCTTCGCTCGATAGTGGAGCAACACTTGTAGCTTGTTACAACATTATCGCCGACACTATCGAGCGACACTATCGAGCAGAACGAGATAGTGGTGTAGAGACTAAAGACTTGACTAGATGCTTCGCTCGATAGTGGAGCAACACTTTGTAGCCTGTTACAGCACCATCTCGCTCTGCTCGATAGTGCTGCTCGATAGTGGAGCAACACTTTGTAGCCTGTTACAACACCATCTCGCTCTGCTCGATAGTGCTGCTCGATAGTGGAGCAACACTTTGTAGCCTGTTACAACACTATCTCGCTCTGCTCGATAGTGTTGCTCGATGGTGCTTCTCGATAGTGCTGCTCAATAGTGTAGCTTGTGACTGACATGTAAAAAAGTTTACAATAACCATACTACAGCCATACAACGCAGATTACTAAATAGTTATTACAACTATACAAAAGGTTTGTTGGTTAGGTTATTGGTTAAGTTGTCGTGTTGTAGCAAGCTACACAGTAGCAGTACTGCTCGATAGTGCTGCTCGATGGTGCTGCTCGATGGTGCTGCTCAATAGTGCTGCTCGATAGTGCTGCTCGATAGTGTCGCTGGTGTCTAGGTTGTTGCTTGTTTGTGGTGATATCTCCCATTAGTTTTACCATTACCTCTTTCCGACTTCAAAAACGACGATGACGAAGAAGCGCTATTTGTCGACCCAACAGATGAAATAACATTTTCGCCACCACCAGCATTGTTATTATTATTATTATTATTATTACTATTATTGTTGTTGCTATTGTTATTATTTGGACCACCAGTAGATTCGACATGTAATCTATATTCAAAACTGACTCCCCATACTCTTTCATTTGAACCACTATCCAACGTAGTCACACTGTCCGATCCCTTTTCTAATATTGAATCACATTCACGAATGACTCGTAAAATGGCATCGCATATAGTACGTCTTGCCTGGAATGCAGTGAGCTGCTGTGCATTACTGTTCCTATTTCCTTTAAGATCAGAACCCTTTTTGGAATGGGCAAAATTCAAATTGGAGTTCCAAACAGATATAATGTCTTCCTCTTTTCTTACACTAAGAACAATTCCACAAATGTCATTTAACAACATGTTTTGTACTTCCGGGGAATGTGTTTGTGGGATGAAACTACCTGAAAGAATCTTGATCACTAACCTTTCCCAAATTAATGCTGTCCTCTTGCGTAACTTTTCAATTGACTGGTAGGGATACTCTGTATTGGATTGCACCGAGGAGGAAGTGGCGGAGGAGAAAGAGGAGGAGGAAAAGGGTTCTTTATAGTCCTGGGATTTTCTACTAAAACGAAATCCCCATCTTCCCCCTTTTGAGTTGATTGGATCTTCCCATGCTGGATTCACACCTGTCTTAAATATAAGAAGCTCTGTTCCAATACTCAATTTGAAGCTATTCTTAATAGAAGATAACATCGTCCACATTTGTTCCAATGAAGCAATATGAGATATTGTACCTGAGGGAGAGGGGAAACCTGAGACTGTATTATTTATATTTGGAAACTGAATCAAGTTAGTTGTTTGTAAATAGGAGTCAATATTGGGCTGTTGCTGTTGCTGTTGCTGTTGCTGTTGCTGCTGCTGTTGTTGAGTAGTAGAGTTGGTTTCTGCGTTTTCAGTTGGAGTTGTAGACAACACCTGTGGCTGTTGTAATGATTTCTTATTTCTGGAATGATACCAAATCGTCCAGCAGTAAGCTAAAAGATGGTCTGAGGCGGATACTGTAGACAAGGCATCCTCTGTTAATTTTTGAACATCGAGTTTGGGTAATTTTGCAGACTCGCTAAAAGTTGTTTGGCGATCCAGTGTAAATCCTGTATTGTTATAGGTATGAGATTGGTAATAATGATTGCTGTTGCTGCTGCTGTTACCGCTGTTGTTACTATTGTTGCTATTGTGGTGATGATGATTATGATGGTATCCATGATGTCTAGATCTACTTGAAGAACTGTTACTTGGATTGTTATTGCCATAGCTGTTGTTGCCACTATTGCTGTTGCTGCTGCCACTATTGCTATTATTGCTGCTGCTGCTGCTGTTGTTGTTGTTGCTGTTGTTGTTGCTGCTATTATTGTTGGAGTTTGCCGATGAATCAGAATTCTGGTTCATTATTCTATTGAATAAGGACTCTGCTCTTTTCAAATTGTCAGACATGACTAAAGCTAGCGTAAAAGATTTGGCAATAGCAAGTAAAAGTAAAACAGCCTTTTTTTATAAATACCTAACACCCAAGCAACGATCAAACAGAACCGAAACAATATATACAGGAGGACCCACCGAATATACAAATGTGCAAGACTCAAGTAATAAAACTTGATCTGGAAAGATGCTCTTCTCTCGTTCAAATAATTTTTTTTTTTTTTCCTTCAAATTGGTAATGGTGCACGTATGCTACAGATTACTTTATTTTTAACTGGGGTCTCACATTATATATACCGTTTGTAGATCTAAATGAACTTATATATACCGTTTGTAGATCTAAATGAACTTATATACACAGTTTGTAGATTTAAATGAACTTATATACACCGTTTGTAGATCTAAATGAACTTATATATACCGTTTGTAGATCTAAATGAAACTTATGCTAAAATAAACAAGGTCCAATATGGCTTTTCTTGTTTTATACTTTCGAGTAGTAGTGCAAGAATCCACCCAAGGTCTTACATCCATTGATGTAATTGCTAACGTCTAGTTTTTCATTGATTGAATGAGCTCCGTCGTCACCTCTACCCATTGGTAATAATAAAACATCAACGCCTAATTCCTTTTCAAAAGTCAATGTAATTGGAATTGAACCTCCTTCTCTAGTAAAGTCCGGAACCACAGACCAAACGTCTTCGGTGGCTTTTGCAGCTGCTTGGAAACTTTCGTTAAATGGATCAGAAACCCAGTAGTTACCATCATGAATAAGCTCAACTTTAAATTTATTGACCGAGTTTAATTTGGCAAATTCGGCATTAACATGTTTAAACACCAATTCGTCCAATTTTTGCAGATCAATGTTTGGTACTGTTCTAATTGAAAATTTACCAATCACCTTTGATGGAATAACGGTTTTGGCACCTGCTCCGGAAAAGGCACCTTCTATACCATGCAACGATAATGATGGAAATCTCCATCTGTGCTTCAATATATCCTTTTTATTTTGATGTAATGCTGTATCTGATCCAGCGGCAGCATTCAACTCAGCAACTGAAAAATCAATATCATCGTAAAGCTTGTCCTCTTTTTCAGTCAAAGGTGCAACCATCTCGTCAACTCCGGGGATCAAGATTTTACCGTTTGTATCGACTAGATTAGCCATAACCTTGATTAAATCAGTCATTGGCTCAGCAATAATACCACCAAAGATACCACTATGCAAATCAGCACCAGGACCTTCTATTATAATTTGATAGTAATTGCATCCTCTCAAACCATAAGTCAAGACTGGTTTGGTAGTTCCCAACCAGTAATTATCTGATATGGTAACTTGATCTACATCTTTAAAATACTCCTTTGCTTCCTTGGCTACCAATTCGTCTAAACCTAAGGACCCACTTTCCTCCATACCTTCAAAACAAACAATCAAGTTAACGGGTAATTCCCAACCCAATTTATTATGAGCTTCAATGACATTCAACCATCCCATAATTGGTCCTTTGTCATCGGTTGAGCCTCTTCCGTATAGGATTCCATTAGCTTCGTCATGATGCAATTCAAATGGTTCAGTGCTCCATCCATCTTCTTTCAAGGCTGGCTGAACATCATAATGGCCATATACCAAAACCGTCTTCTTTTTAGGGTCCTTACCAAATCTACCCAATACAATAGGTGGCAATTGTAAGTTTTTGTCTTGAACTGGAGGTGGCTGCGTGCCCAATTCCTTCAACTGGATATCAAAAAAACCCAATTTTTCCAACTCGCTTACTAAAAAATGAGCCATATCAACGACTTTTGGTCGAAGTGATTCATCTGCAGACACCGAAGGAATAGCAATTGCCTTTTGCAAACGTGAAATGAACTGAGACTTCAATTCATCTATAGTCTTGAAAAATGGCTCTAAAGGTAACTTTTCGTATTTTGCTGACATCTCTCGGGGGGAAATAAGTAAACACTAGCTGAAAACGCTTTGCTGGATCTAAAAAAAGAAGTTGATTTCAACCAAAGCTTTTTCAAACTTGCCTAATTCGTTCCCACTTTCTGCGATGGATCCATTTGATACATTTACACGACTTGTTTTTTATGCCACACAACAATCTGGCGAAAACTGGAGAGCCGTATGAGCCTCATATATTGGCAAAATAGGAAATAGCTGTAACACGACAACACTATCGAGCAGAAGCGACACTATCGAGCAGAAGCGACACTATCGAGCAGAAGCGACACTATCGAGCGAAGCGAGATAGTGGAGCACACTAGCTGCCACCGACACTGTACAACTAACTCGCTCTATTCAATAGTGTAGATGGTACAGCTACAAAGTATTGCACACTAACTCGCTCTGTTCGATAGTGTAAATGGTACAGCTACAAAGTGTTGCACACTAACTCGTTCTGTTCGATAGTGTAGATAGTACAGCTACAAAGTGTTGCTTGATAGTGGCATGAGCCTCATATGATGACAAAATAGGAAACAACCTTTTATTCCTTCTTTTCATTTTCTTTTGTGTTGCCAATGGAAAATTAAATAAAACACTCTCGCTTAATAAAAGTATCAAGGAAAGACCATCTCTTTTCAAAGACTATCATCTTATTATAGACCCACTTTTTTTTCAAAACCATCTCTTATCAAAATATACATTTTTTAAAAGAATATCTCCTTTTTTTTGGTAAGCTTGAGAGCAGTAGTATAATGATGTGTATGTGAAATGGGAAAATAGTCGATACAAAGTGGTTATAGAATATATAATATTAATTTTATTGTGCAAAAGTTACAAGGTATATCTTTATAACCGTTTTCGTATTTGGTTGTGGTCTTCCATTTCTTTCGCGTAAAACGATTAGAATAATTTTTTACGCACCATAATAAATATTGTTCTGTAGATTTGTTGAAAACTTTTTATATCAAGAAGAAAAGAGATCAACAAGAGAGGAAAAGAGATCAACGAGAGAGGAAAAAAGATCAAACGAGAGAGGAAAGGAGGGTTTCTTTACATCACATGACTCTATGACTCTGGAAGCTGATGAAATTGGCTCTATGACTCTGAAATCTGATGAAATTGAATCGGAAAGTTCTTCTGAAGAGGATTTGTTTAGTATTCTCAAAGTTGATAAGCCAATCAGTAGCAATGTTGATGGTAGTGGTGGAAATTCAAAGCAAATAGTATTTGGTCGAGGTCAAAATGAAACTCAAAGAATTTGCGACGAGAATGGAGTCCGACTATCAACCTTAGAGCCTGCTGGTGTTAAACGTCAGCAGCAGCAGCAGCAGCAGCAGCAGCAGCAGCAGCATAAGAAGAAGCAGAGTACGATATTTCCGCCAATGAAGAAAGTACGATATCCCAGTAGTGACGAGGTGACATCGATAGACAGCAACAATAAGGAAGAAGAAGAAGAAGAGGAGGAGGAGGATGACCCCTTTGGTATTATAACCCCAGCAGCGCTTCAAGAGAAGATGAAAAGGATAACCGATTTAAGAGGTCGACGTGTTGAATTAAAGAAGAGATTTGATGAAGAGGAGCAATTGAAAAGGGAGAAAGAGAAATCCCTAGAATTGCAAAAGCTTCGAATTTTGAACGAGTTGAATGGTGTAAATGAAAACAATAATAAAGACAATCACGATAATGATGATAGTGAAGGAGGAGAGGAGAAAAAGAAGGAAGGGAATGATATTGAAAGAAAGTATGACCTAATCAGAGATAGAAAACGTTTGGAGAAATTGGTTGAAATGGAGAATAATCCAAGGAATAAGTATGAGGGTCTTACTCGACATTTCTATTGTTTAAGAAACGTGACGAAATTTTGCTTAGAAGTAGATGATAATCTTCCTGATCCAATTTCACGGTCTTTACAGTTCTTGATACGTAGTGATAAAACAGCTGCATTTAAAAAAGTCAAATATGGGCTAAAACGATTTTTAAAGACTGTTTTACAAATGAATAACCCAGGGGTATTATTGAGCGTAGCGGAAATGATTAGCGGTCAACAGTTGAAAGAAGATGATGATGAAAGAGAAGAAGAAGCAGTGTTTTCTAGTGAGGAATTAGAAGAAATCATATTAAAGCTTGGCTATAATGCTTCCACAAAATCGGAGGATTCTCAGAAGCTATTGATAAAGATCGAACAGCCGAATAATGGGGTGAGGCTTCAACTACTTAGACTAACATTAATATTTAGCATCTTTTTGGCATTTCCCCATATTGAAATGGACACACTAGACAACTTTTTGTGGATGTTTTTATTAGTGTTATCTGATTACAATGCAAATAAAGATGAATTGGCTGCCTTGGAGACTTTTTTGAAAACGATATTCCCAAAATTTGCTGATAGGTACATGGATGTTGATATATTTGTTGGCAAAATTATCAATTTGACAAGTAAAATACATACAGTGAAAATTGGACAGGTAGAGGAGTCCTCCTCCATCATTTTTTCCAAATTGGTTAGTAGAAAAATGGACTATGAATTGCAGTACAATATTTTGAAACTACTCAACGTTACATTTGCAATGGAACTGGATTCCAATATCAGTTTAGTAATCAACCAGTTAAATTTGAAATATGTATGTGATATTGGCCCGCTTGAAAGAAACCCCAAACTATACAAGATAATCAAGAAAATACCAATAACAGGCAATATACGTGAACGAATACGATTGAATGATATTGACTTTGCCAATGAGATTTACATATATTATTACAAGATCAAATTATTGCCATTCATATTAGTTACTCATCCATTTAATTTTGAAAAAGATCGAGAGCATAACTCCAAGGTTATCAAGAGTAAAAAGGCATCATTGGATTTTTTACTTGCCGATTGTTTCCAATTGATGAAGATAATGGGCAGTGAAATATCCATCAAACGCGATTTGTGTTTTAATGGAGAAGAAATTATTCGATTATTGACCGATCTTCATCAAGATTTGACTTTACAAGGTGAAAAAGTGGAGTATGATTTGAGATCTATTAATGAAGATTTTTTTTATGGAGATTCTTGATACTCATTACCACTACGATCACAATCACAACCAACTACCTCCACCTTAGTTTACCAAAGGAAAAAAGAAAAAAGAAAAAGCCTCTATTAATTAGTACAACACTATTGAGCAGCACTATTGAGCAGCACTATTGAGCAGCACTATTGAGCGGCACTATTGAGCAGCACTATTGAGCGGCACTATTGAGCAGCACTATTGAGCAGAGCGAGATAGCGTTGTAACAAGCTACAAAGTGTTGCTCCACTATCGAGCAGAGCGAGATAATGTCAGTGTGCTCCACGGGTTTGATTGTTCAAATGCATGGTTAAAAGCCACAATGAGTTGGGCTTTAGTATAGAGGTGGGGGGGAGAGAAAGAAAAAAAAACCCACTGGCGTTCTCATCACCAGCACCACCGGCACTAGCACATTAAAAAAAGTACTGAATGTGCTGATGGGGGTAGTGGTGGCCACTTCAGATATAAAAGGTAACTATATATAGGCCGCATCTATCGTTTCCAAAGTTCTTCTTTCAAATTATCAACTTGTAATTCTATTTTTTTATATTCTTCCACTTTTCTATTGTTCCAATTTCTTAATTCCATTTTTCTATTCCAATTTTCTTTTGGTTTTGTAGTTGGTGATAATTGTGTAATAAAGATTTGAAGACTTTTGATATTTGGTACTACTAGAAGTCACACATTCAACACCCTCGCATTTTTCATCAACCTAGTTCCCACCCTCCCTCTATTTTTGGTCCGCGAAAAACGCAATATGACTACGGAAACAGATGGTAAATCCAATGAAACACATTTTATTCCCGGCCAACCAGTTGAGTATGTCAACCCTGAACTTACAGAATTGGAACAAGCCAAACCTGGCAGGACAGTCAATTTGAAATTTGGTTTTGGACCGATTCCATCCAATGCTAGTAATAAGACCATCTTCTTCTTTGATATAGACAATTGCCTATATCCTCGATCGACGAGAATACTTGAGATGATGCATGATAAAATACACGAATATTTCAAGAATAACTTAAATTTAAATGATGAAGACGCTAGCAAATTGCATACTGACTACTACAGAACTTATGGATTGGCATTAGAAGGATTAGTGAGAAACCATCAAGTTGATGCGTTGGACTACAATTCCAAAGTGGATGATGCATTGGACTTGCATGCGGTATTGCGCTATGACAAAGTCTTGAGGGAGACCTTATTGAAAGTGAAAAAATTGGGCAAATTTGATTATTTTTGGCTAATTACAAATGCTTATAAGAACCACGCTTTGAGAGTAATTAGCTTTTTGGGGATTGGCGATTTATTTGAGGGATTGACGTTTTGTGATTATTCGAAATATCCTATTATTTGCAAGCCTATGAGGCAATATTTTGATAATGTATTCCAATTGACTCAATTGGACTGTACCGATGAGGCTGTTTTAAGAAAACAGTGGTATATCGACGACAGTGAGTTGAATGTTAAAGCTGCATTTGATCTAGGCGTGGGGCATGTTATTCTCTACATTGAAAATGAACAAGATATGGCTAACTTGAAGAAACATACAGATTACAAAAAGTATTTTGCTGGAAACGGAAGAAGAATTGAACTTTTGAACAATTTCTCCAGTTTACCAGACCTAGTTGGTCCTTGATGGAAAGCTATGCCCCCACCTAGGTGCTAATTGGTGAAACTATACCCCCACCTAGGTGCTAATTGGTGAAACTATGCCCCCACCTAGGTGCTAATTGGTAGAACCATACCTAGTTGATTGTTGATTATCAGACCTAGTTGGTCCTCCTTAATGATTTTTATATATAGAGCGCGAAACAAAACATATAGAGATGCCATAATAGAAATGTTCTAGAACCAAAGGGGGAAAAAAAAAAAGAAGCAGGAGAAAGACTAAAGAGTTGAAGGATGGCACCATGGCATCGTCCAAGACTATCTTGTTTCTCCATGGGTATACTCAGAATGCATCCTTGTTTCGAGCCAAAACTTCGGCACTACGTAAAAAGTTGATGAAAATGGGGTTTAATTGTGTTTATTTGGATGCACCTTACGTTTTGACTCCAGCAGATCTTCCAGTAAGCGATGACTCACTTTTCAGATTTGACTCAATATCAAGTAAGGAAAAAGAGGATTCCGTAGTATATAGGGGGTGGTGGATTAAGCCTAATCAGGGGAACGATTGTGTTGATATCGATGAGTCGATTCATGCAGTGCGTAAATATATAGAAAACAAAGAGACTGTGGACGACGATGCGAGAGGAGATGAGCATTCTGATGTTGTTGGGATTATTGGATTCTCGCAGGGTGCTTCATTTGCAGGATTAATTGCACATAAATTCCAAACACTTTTTAAAACTAAAATCCCTTTAAAATTCGTTATACTTTACTCCGGGTTCAAACTAGATACTTCTAAGAAATCTGGAAATGAAAAGTATGATCTGTATTATCCAAAATCACAAGAGGATTTGGAACTGAGCAAGTTGCGGTATTTACATGTTTATGGGGAATTGGACACTGTAGTTGACGAAACTAGGAATTTGACACTATACGATATTACTAAGAATCTGTCTGATCTATTGAAACACCCAGGTGGACATTTCGTGCCTAATTCAAAGCTTTTTATTGACCAGGTGACTAACTGGATACATGATGTCATGGAGGTGGAAGAGAAGAAGAAGAAAACGAATAAGAAGTCTGAACAGGAGAGTGTGGAAAAGGAAAAAGACGATATAGATGCATTATTGGAGATGATGGATGGATTTGGGAAAGCATAGATAATTGTAAAGATGGCGCAGATTGCAAAAAAAAAAAAAAAATGGCAAATGCTGTAATTTCTATAACTCATCATGCTCTACCTTTTTCTTACCAGTTCTATACTTTTCTAATTTCCTCCCCTTTTTAGATAATGGACCTTCAACTGGCTCAACGCCAGTAACTTTGGAAATCCATTTACTCAAGTTTAATTTGTCATCCAATTTCTTGGATTCATCGTATGCAATTAATTTGCCCAGTTCTCCATCATAATAAAACAATGTTGACTTTTCAGTAATTGGAATTTCCACTTCTTTACCATCCAAGCTGACAACCTTTGCTTCATCGTTGTGCTTCCCCAACATGGCGAAATCTACTCTTGATAAATAGTCAATCGCCAATGTTTTCAACAAGGGACTTACCAGATTAGACTTGTTAATGAGGAGAACCTTGGGAGTATCACTATTTTGCAGTACCCAATCCTTAAAATCATTGTCCATGTTATGTAATTTCTTTACATAATTCTTTATTCTCGATGTAGCAAACTGCAGTATTGACTTCAAATTCCGTGGTCCCGTATACACTTCGCTCGCATGTCTCTTTGATTTCTTCCAATTACCATCCTCACCAAATTTGGGAGGTCTAAATACCATCAATGTGGGGAAGCCCTGTATACGGTACTGGCTACACAATTGCTTATTTTCGTACTTGTCACAATTCAAACTTGCCACGTTGATGGCCAATTGCGAGTCTTTTGCAAAATGGTTGGCCAATTTCGTCCATACGGGTTTCAACTGTTGACAATAGCCACACCATGGTGCATAGAATTTGACCACGGTAGTGTAATTTGTGTGATGAATGATTTTATTGAAATTTGTAGCTGTTAGTTCAAACACATTTGGGTCATTTGAATACTCGTCTCCTTGCGCTTGCGCCAAGATGAAGATGCAAAACCGTAATAGTAGAAAAAGCTTAATGAACATCTAACTCCCTCTATATAGCTGCAGTGGCGGTGGTGGTTTGTAGACCTTTAGCTTGTTGTATTAAAAGTAGGAAACCTTTTAATTCTCAATGGAGTTCTCGTGAAAAAAATTGATGTGCGTGGCTATTTAAAAAATACGTGGTTATTTTCATTTTGGTCGACGTAGCCATTTTGCGGCCAAAACTGGGACACTATCGAGCAGAGCGAGATAGTGGAGCACATTGACTATTAAAACTGGAACACTATCGAGCAGAGCGAGATAGTGAAGCACACTGACTACTAAAATTGGAACACTATCGAGCAGAGCGAGATAGTGGAGCACACTGACACTGGTTATGTCATAGTAAAAGCTCAACAAAGTTTTCATACTCTTGCTCTAAAGGAGCATATACTCTCATCCTCTTACTCTAATGGAGCATATACTCTCATCCTCTTGCTCTAAGGAGTATGTTGACCTCTTTATATACTCTAATCCTGACTTTGCTTTTAAAGGGCTGGAATACACAAATCTGTTTATTCTGTTACCTATAATATCCCAGCCATTAGAGAAGATTTGTTTTTATTCTTGATTAGCTTTCTCCTGGATTGATACATCACTCCTTGTTATACATAACAATCCAACCTTGTGATAAATAACAATCCACCCTTGTTATACACAACTTTCTTTCCATAGCAATTCTTCTCATGCCAAATCTTCCTATAATTCTTCTCATGCCAATTCTTATATAGCAATTCTTCTCATGCCAAATCTTCCAAAAGGGTAAGCTTTTCAATACTCATTCCCCTTTACGCGTTCCTCTACACGCTAGTTACCACTATACTAGCTCACCAGGATAGCAAAAGAGACAGTAGAGACAATAAAGCTACTTAAAAATTGAGCAGCTAAAGCGGTGAATTAAATCACCATAAAACTGCCATCTTTTGAATCTGACATATATTCATTGTAACTACAACTCAACTTTTCTCTAAAAGCGTACCCAGAATGATCACTTACTGATTTTTCTCTATAAAATTACACACAAGCTTATAATAAAATCAGATATACACACCAACAAAATTCATGATATAAATAGCACTGAATCCAATGCTAACCAGCGCCACTAACGAATTGAGAAAATAAGCCAAAAAGCTCTTATTCTTAATATCTCCTAATAATGTGGTGGATAACGATCCGAAAGCTAGTAACACCAATAAAATGGTGTATATGATGATTGAGTTTTGTTGAGGTGGATCTACAGGATGAGATAGAGTCGTGAACTGGTTACTGAATTGTTCATATGATGCTCCGTAGTTACGATTGACCGACATTTCAAATTGGTTTGGGGCTAAAATCAAGCGGACAGTACAACGACGTGTGTGTGTGTGTGTGTGTGTGTGTGTGTGTGTGTGTGTGTGTGTTTATGACTTCAATGTAAAATACTTCAATGTGAGGTTTACGCTGTGGTGGTTTTTTTAAACTTCAATTTTTTTTCCAGTGCACCAAAGTAATAAATGGTTTTGATATATCCTCATATCAAGACGAAAGATTTTGGAAAAAGATGTCGGAAAGTGGTTGGAACACCATTGATTCAGATGCAGTATGTTGCTCAAGGACACATGGGCTTTTCTTTTGCATATAGAAGATAACTAACTGAAAAAAAAATTTCTTTTAGGGATTATTCACTGAGTTGGTTGAGAAATTAGGTGTTGAGAATATTGAAATAAATGATTTGTACTCAATAGATTCAGATACTTTACAAGCATTGAAACCAGTATATGGGATTATTTTTTTATTTAAATATGGAAAATTGGATAGGGAATATGCCAAAATGAACAAGCCTATAACGGGCGAGTACGATTCTGGTAATGAGATATTCTTTGCAAATCAGACTATCCAAGATGCTTGTGCTACACAAGCTGTGCTTAACATTCTATTCAACCAAAATGAGATTGAGCTAGGCAAGGAGCTAAATGACTTCAAAAGCTTTGTAACTGGATTTGATTCAGAAATGATTGGCGAGACAATTTCCAATAGCGAGCTAATTCGATCGATCCATAATTCATTTCTGACTCCAAATCTACTTGCTATAGATAATAAACCACCGCCTAAGAATCAAGATGACAAAAATGACGGATTATTTCATTTTGTAGGGTACATTTACAAAAACAATTGCATTTATGAATTGGACGGGTTGAAACAGTATCCTATAAGGCATTGTTCATGTAGTGATCAAGATGAATTTATAGCCAAGATTCCTCAAGTAATTCAGCAAAGAATATCTAAATACGATTCAAGCGAATTGAGATTCTCACTATTGGCTATAACAGATAACAAATTGGAAAAGGCAAGGTTGGATAATAACGAAATAGAGGTGTCTCAGCAGCTAAACAAACGTGAATTATGGCGTCGAGAAAACGAGTTGAGAAGAACCGATTATACTGGGTTGATTGTTGAATTATTAAAGAATATCAGTAAAGAAAAGACAGATAGTGAATGGGAAGAGATGTTACAAAGAGGAAGAAGCAAAACACAACAAACAATTGCGGAGTCTCTTTATAAACAATGAGAAAGGAAGAAGAAGAAGAAGAAGAAGAAGACTATCTTGGAGATTTACGCCTTTTTTTTTTTTTTCCTAAACTTCATCATAACCGCCAGCACCAAATCCAAATAACCCATGACCACTGCTATGTCTTGAAAAGTAATCGAAATCTATACTGGTAAAGCAAGACAAAATCACCGCGCGTTGATCTATTGTAACACCATCTTTGCAAATCTCTCCATATGACTTTTCCAACCCTTTGAAACTCGCAGGATCGAACCGTAATATATAAATCCCTGTATCAGTAAACATCTCTCTACCTAAACCAACCCAATTCCTATCTATACTAGATATGACCTGTCCTCGATGATTCTTCACCGGGAAATCAAACGAGAGAAATGGTGCATCAACATCTCCAAACTGTTCATAATCCTCAGTCTCTTCATCTTCAAGTTTGAACAAATTATATTTCCTCCTCCACAAATGCCAACGCTGTACACTCTCGCCAACAACTTCATACATCAATTGATTTTCATTATAGTGATCATATCCTGGTAACAATGCTTTGATATGAGAGTTTATAAAAGAAAATGGTCTCTTTATGCTTAATGCCAACTCCCCCTGTATTGTATACACATCGATATCAAAAGGCCGATGTAATCTGAAAAATTGTCTTCCCAAAGTTCTCATTAATCCTATATCCTTTTCGCGCATAAATCCAATAGTTTCACCTGCTGAGTTCATAATGGTGTAGTTATTGGCTTGTTCGAATCCGATAAATAGGTTCAAAAACTCAATTTTTCGTTCAATAACAAGCGTAGGCTCTGAAAGAATCGAATAAATCGGATCTTGTGGAGTGATTATCCCATTTAAATTATTTGGGATATGAATTGAAGCTCCGACATCAGGAAAATGGGAGTTGTAACTGTAATCAGAATTGTTGGTGAATCCCTTTTCTTTGGCTCTTTGCTGTGCCTCTTGGAATTTACGCACTTCTTCGGCACTTATTTCCTGGGTAATTCTAGTTCTATTACTTCGACTATTATTGTTATATGAAGGGAATCTTGGTAGGGAAAGCTGAGAAGAAGTATGAATATGACGGAGTGGTGACTGTAATGGCCTTGTTTTAAACAAGGTATGTCGTACAAACCTCATCTGGGGAAAAGGAAGGGGAAGGGGAAGGGGAAAAGACATCTTAGTAGCTAAGAGCTGGTTTTCTTTGCAGGTTCAGTGGTAGCAACGAAGAGCCTCGCTCTTGCTCTCGTTCTTTCTCGCTCTCTCTTGCTCTCTCTTGCTCTCTCTTGCTCTCTCTCTAATCTCGTAAAAATGTCATCTCTTCCTTTCGCAGCCAATTGGATTTCCAAAAACAGTTAAAAAAGACATTTGGTAGCATATCAAAAGAAAAAAGATTTTGGTGGGTCTGTTTGTCTGTTTGTCTGTTTGTCTATTTGTCTATTTGTTTTGTTTTGTTTTGTTGATTATTGGATCACGTGCAAGGCCAAAAAAAGTCTGTGTGTTTGGATGCGACAGTTTTTTTTTTGTTTTTTTTTTCGGGGGCTGCTGGTGGTGCTACTGCTGGTGCTGGTGCTGGTGCTGGTGGTGCTGGTGCTGTTTCGCTTTTCTTTTTTTTTCTTTGCGAGAGAAAAAAACTGAGAAATAAATCTATGTCACTACCAACCCACAACACATAATAAATTACTTTAGTTGTTCAAAAAAAGGGTAACTACCAAATGACCTTATCATCGAGAAGAAGAGAATTAAGAGCAGCTTTGGAGAAAGGTCGTCATGTAGATGATGGATCAGCTGGTGGCTTTGGAACTGGTGAGGCGTTAAATGATGCCCAAATAGCTCAAGAATGGGCTGATCATCATCAGCAAGAAATTAAGGCTGTTCAGGATGAAGCTAGGGAAGATGAGGAAGATGAGGAAGAAGAAGAAGATGATGATGATGAAAGGGTAGGGGTGGAGGTGGAAGGAGAAGTGGGAGATGATGTTGGTCAGCGGTTCTTTCCCCAGACTGGTGGATTTGATGGAGACGTTGTTAGTGGCGGTAGTGGTAGTGTTGAATTTTCACCAAATGCAACCGGTAGCAGTAAAGGAACTAAACGCACCAACAAGATTCCTACAACCGGTAGCTCTAAAAAACAGAAACCAAATGAAGACGGAAATGGTGGTTTAGATAATCAAGGTATTACTACCCAAGTTGGAAATACAGATTCAGGTTCAGCTGTTAATGCTGTTGTAGCTGTTGGTGGCGGTGTTGGTGGCGGCAGTTCTGGCGTTGGCAGTATTGGTGGCAGTAGTTCTGGTATTGGCGGTATTGGTGGCGGTAGTTCTGGTATTGGCGGTATTGGTGGCGGTAGTTCTGGTGTTGGCGGTATTGGTGGCGGTAGTTCTGGTGTTGGTGGCGGTGTCGCTGGTACCGCAGGAGGTACTACCACCCAGGTCCCCAAACAGACAAGAACAATATTCAAACATATTGATAATCCTGACTCAACAATTTGTGAGTTTTGCGGAAAAGAATTTAGAAATGTAATTGATAAGAGGAACCATAGAAGAACGCATTCTCAACCAAAGAAATATGAGTGTTCTTCATGCGGTAAGAAATTCAGCCAAAAGGCCAACTTGGCTATACATGAAACCCATGTTCATCATGACTTGGTATTGGGAGATGATGAGATTGTTGGTGGCGTTGAAGGTACAACAAGTGAACAACAGCAGTTTAAGGAGGAAGTTGAGCAATTGCATCGTATGCAACAGCATGCCCAGGAACAATTGCAACAACAGTTACAGCAGCAACACCAACACCAACAACACCAACAACACCAACTTCAACAACAACAGCAACTTCATCTTCAGCAACAACAGCAACAACAACAACAACAACAACAACAACAACAACAACAACAGCAGCAGCAGCAGCATCAGCAGCATCAGCAGCATCAACATCAACTCCAGCTTCAACTTCATCATCCACAACATCAACCTCACATTCATCATCAACAATACGGAAGTAATGTGGTTGACGATAATGTCAATGTGTTTGCTGATGATCCATCGAAACAACAACCTAACGTCAATTTGAAACAAGTTCGAGTATTTCATTGTAATTCATTCAAGTGTGGTAAAGGATTTACATCATATGAGAAATTAATGAATCATATAGAGACTGATCATAGTGAAATGCTGCACGTGGCAGGAAAAGGTAGGGGTGGTGACGCAAGTGCAAGTACAAGTGTAGGCAGTGGTGTAATTTACGATCCTACTAATGCTGCTCAGGCTGCTCAGGCTGCCGCGCAAGCAGCGGCTGCAGTACAAGCAGTTGCAGCTGCACAAGCAGTAAATATGGTGAATGCAACAGGACCTGGTGCAACCAATAATGACCATCACCCCCAGTTGGGCAACTACAACACCGCTGCGGGCCCTGGTGCAGTGACGGTGGCAGCACCTACAACAGCTACCGGTTTACCCACCACCACTACTACTATTCATCCCAAACCAAGAACAAGAAGAAAAGAACCAACACAAGAATCGATTAATGCAAAGATCCACCATTGTACTCATGTTGGGTGCGATCGAGCATTTGCCAAGATTAGCGATCTAACAAGACATTTTAGGATTCATACAGGGGAAAGACCTTATGTGTGTGAACATTGTGGAGCATCATTTAATCAACGGTATAGGTTGACTACACACGTGCGGATCCACACAGGAGAAAAACCCTTTAGTTGCAAATATTGTGGAAAGACTTTTGCCAGAGGTGATGCTGTGCAGTCGCATATCTTCTCGATACATCGTGGCAAAGGTGAAGTATTCTGAGAGAGCGAGAGAGCGAGAGGGGGAGAGGGTGGGAATTTATTCAAGGATTTGTTCTAGTATATCACTATCTTTGTGGTTTTGTTATGTAATCTAATTCTCTTTTATATCCAATTGATAAAAATGTACATTGTATTTAATATGAAATATGAGTGTGTTACTTACCCGTTTATATAGAGAAATGGATTTTATGATGACGAAGATGAAGATTCAAAAAACAAAAATGCCTTAGAATATAATGTTTATAGCTTATTTTTTTCATTGACCAATAACGTGCTCCAATCGAAAATTGGTTATTTTTCGGATCCGATTATTTTGCAAAACCTTGAACCCCATGCCCAGTCACTTTTATTATAACGCCTTTCTTCTCATACACAGGTTTGATTATATCATTTTTAAACTTTATTTTTAACCTTTAAATTTTTTTAAACCGTCAATCAACATGCATCGAGATGCCTACAATAAAAAGTGAGCAATTGGGTCAGAGAGAGAGAGAGAGAGATAAACAATGATAATAAATAAATTATGTATATGTATTACACAGTTCATTTTCTAATTCCACGGGGCTTGTTTGTATTCAACTTTCATTTTGATCTGGTTAATTTGAGTTTTTCTTATTAGGGGTGTTCCCACTCAAATTGATGCCCGCCCCGGACTCTTTAGTTAATAAATCCTTTACGTATTCATAGACTGTAAAAGTAACCGCTTGACCAGGAGCAACTCTCATAATTCTTGGAGTGATACCTTTATAAAGTGCGTTGATACCTTCTTCCTTCACCAACTGTTTACCAATTTTGATGATACGTACTAAACCACTTTCATTTGACGCATATGAAGATTTTTGCAATCTAGTCTTTATTGTGTCAAGTGGGGCATTTGACAATGGTCCCAAAGCACCTGAAATCAAACCAATACCACTTGTTTGCCATGAAGGTAAGATTTCCTTGCCTTCACGTTTTTGCAAATATTCCTTAAGTTTAGAATACACTGTAAAGTTGACACCTTGGTTTGTTGCTTGTCTTGCACAAGTCAAAGAAACACCACGATACAAGGTTTTAAATCCTTCTTCTTTGCAAATCAAATATGCTGCATGAGGAGCATTTCTGTATTTTGGAATATCAAGAGGATCTTTCATTGAATGATGCTGAGCTTGCAATCTAATCTTGACAACTTCCATGGGGTTAACAACCATTATAGACTCTGTTATACCTGCACCAACACCAGCAAGAAATGTTTGACCAGCTGTAATTTTACCATTTTCATCGTAAAAGAATGATCTATAAAACTCATAGGATGAGAATCTTATAGCCATTTTGGGCACGATACCAATAACAACTGCTCCCAAACCTTTGTAAAGCGACAAAAAGCCTTCCTTCTCAACAATGTTTATACCTGTTCTTATAAACCCCGGTGGTTTCTTTCCTGATTTTCTGTATAATTGCATTCGAACCTTGATGGTATCCAAGGGATGACAACATAATGCCTCAAACAATCCTGCTACACCACCAGCTACAAAATCAACGGCACCTCTCTTGGCCTGCTGAGGCTTCACGTCTGATGACTTAGAAGCAGACATATTATTACTTGCAAAAGGAGGAGGTGTGTATATGAGCGCCTGTGTGCTATAAATCTACAAATAATGAATAAATACGGTAAGAGGTTACCCTTTACCCTTCAAAAACAAAAAAAAAACAACAAAGAAACTCTGCTCTGGAAAAGAAAGACAGACAAAGAGGATGAAAAAATTTCCAATGGAATTATTCAGTGGTTATAAACTCCACGCATAATTCACTAGTTTCCAGGCCAGTTTCGATTTTCTTTTCATTTTTTTCATAGGAAGAAAATAACTTACCGCTGTAGCACAAAACTAATTGAAATAAACAAAAAAAAAAAAGTCTGGGGAAACCAGCGGGGGGTCCATAGTGCACGACCCTTCATTAAGCTGAAGAAAAAAAAAATCAACCAATCTTTTACGAGACAGATAGATTATCAGGAGCTACCAAGTACTTGTAATAGGTCCGATCCCGTGATGTCATCCATTCATCCATTTCTCCGGGACATTTAGTAGTAGCAGAGTAGTTAACAGAAAACACGAAAATGACAAAAGAAAAACGATAAGTTAGAAATGACAAAAGAAAAACGGTAAGTAAGAAATGGCTTTGTAGTTGATTTGACAGCTTGCACCTCCTTTCTCTAGTTTTCCTGTTTATGGTTAAGAGAGTTAGCTACTATACAGTCGATTAGTTATCAACGGCTATAAAGTTGGTTGGTTAATAAATTCCCGGACATGTAAAGCCGTGGAAATAATACATATATATATATATATATATATATATATTACAACAATTTAAGCACTATACTGCAACGAGGCTCATATCTGTGTTATAATTCGAATAACACCTGCTACCATTTAGTAATTTTTGCTCACTATTGTAATAGTTTGAAATATGTCATTATTGAACCATATTGTTATTTTTGGTGACAACGCACAAATAATGGTGCCAGGTTTATATAACCAGATTTTTTTTTTTTTTTTCAGCCTCGGTAGAGATCTGGAAATTGCCGAATAACCAGTAATATTAATCTCTGCGACATCAACTTTGGACAAGAGAATGTTTACACGGATATTACTAATCGCATTAGTGTTTAACAAGAGAATTTTTACACTAATCGCATTAGTGTTGTGTCATAATCAAAGTGTCATTTTTTTTTTGGTAATTATTTAACAACTATACAAATTGTCAAAAAAAGATCAAACCCCAAGGCAAGGGGGGTGATGCAAAGATCAAACCCGTAACGATAGTGTCGGTGGCAGCTACTGTGCTCCACTACCTCGCTCTGCTCGATAGTGTCACTCGATAGTGTCGGTGGCAGCTACTGTGCTCCACTCCACTACCTCGCTCTGCTCGATAGCGTCGCTCGATAGTGTCGCTTGATAGCGTCGCAAGGTTAGACAGGTGCAGGAATTTTTTCCAGTTTTGGCACGTTTTCCTGTTCTTCTTCTCCTTTATTCAGTTCTACCGCTGTAGTTTCCTTCTCCCTTTTGATCTGAGCTAATCTTTTAGCTTCCCCGTGAACATCCATAACATCATTCGAAAGCCTCAAGTAAAACTGATGAATCTTTGTTCCTAATGGTGTTTTTGCAGCATCGCTGAAATATTGCCATAAACTTGACTTGTGTAAGGCATCCTGTGCTCGATTATACTGCTGATTAACTCTTGAATTTGGATCTTGCGAATGAACATATTTCTCATCTAAATCCTTTATAAACTTGTTGAATCTCTCCGAAATGCCATTTTTCTTATCAAATTCAGTACCGCGCTCAATTATTGCATCGCTGAGCACATAACCATCGGCTAATAATTGTGCCAAAATAGCAAATTTGGGTTTATCTTCCTGGTCCACGTCGTCATATGTTTTGTCTCCCGTTGTCTTTTTGTCATCTGTGGCTGTGGCTGTGCCAGAAGAAGAAGTATCGGTTGGTTTGCTCAATTCACCTTCAGTTGTTGAAGATTCTTCAACTTTAATAAATGAATTTTCCAATTCGGCGTCATTAAGCAATAATGCAGTTGTTACAGCTTTTGGAGAGGCAAAAACTATTTGAAAAGATTTAGTATTTTTGCCATTGTTTTCCAATTCAATTAAATCATTGATCTTGCCACAGAATGAAAAAAATTCACGCACTTTTGCTGAAGAAACCTGGGTTGGGATATTTGATGCAATTACTGATGTCATTTTTGATTTTAAAAGAACCTTATGTGTAGAGGAAAAAAGCAACAACAAGATAAAGTGAGGAGATAAAAGAAGGGGTCGAGAAGAAGGCAAGGGGGACAAATAACCATAGTTTTATATCAACTTAATTGAAAGCAATTTTAATTGAGAAGATTGTCATGTGTTAAATTTTTAGTCAAATTTACTTTTCACGTCGTAGAAATTGGAAGGAAAGAAGGGGAGGGGGAGGGGGAGGAAGGAAGAGGGGGTGGCGAGAGAAATAAGGTTGAGGCGCGAAGCGCGAAGTGCCAACTAGACGAGGGGGGGGGGGTGATGTTATTTGGTATAAAAAGTTGAGGGTGATTATACGGTAGCGTCTATTGGTGTAAAACGCACAGCTCGCCCCTTATTAGCCTTTCTTACACCATTGGGAAGTACATAAAACAGATGTATCTTTCAATAGTAGTACTAGAAAAACTTGCATTATCATACATATTTGCTCTCTCCTATATATCCCCCTTACACCAGAAGAAAAATGGTACATAAAAATAAATAAAATATTGACACTATAGAGCAGAGCGAGATAGTGTTGTAACTAGTCAATATGGTCCACTTTCTCGCTCTGTTCGATAGTGTCATAACTAGTCAATATGCTCCACTTTCTCGCTCTGCTCGATAGTGTCATAACTAGTCAATGTGCTCTATCTCGCTCTGTTCGATAGTGTCATAACTAGTCAATGTTAGAGGTTGGAGCACACTAGCTGCCACAGACACTGTTGATCAATAACCTCTGAGGTTACAAAAATTGAGCTCTAAGATATAAAGCTTGAAGGATGGATATTCCTGTGTATTTATATTAATCTATTTGATCATTTGTATAGCCATTTTTTTTTTTGGTATCGTTTTGAGCAAAAAGGTGAGATCCCAAGAAAAACAAGTGCAAAAATAATGTATAATTAGAAAGGCTCACCTCAAATTTGATGCGTGTGTTGATATAGGTGCCCACTATCGAGCAGTGCGAGATAGTGCAGCAACACTTGGCAGCTTGTTACACTGACTAGCTGCCCATTATCGAGCAGTGCGAGATAGTGCAGCAACACTTAGTAGCTTGTTACACACTGACTAGCTGCCGACTATCTCGGTCTGCTCGATCGTGGAGCAACACTTAGTAACATGTTACACACTGACTAACTGCCGACTATCTCGGTCTGCTCATCGTGGAGCAACACTTGGTAGCTTGTTACACACTGACTAGCTGCCGACTATCTCGGTCTGCTCGATCGTGGAGCAACACTTAGTAACATGTTACACACTGACTAGCTGCCCACTATCTCGCTCTGCTCGATAGTGGAGAATGGGGGATTTAGATTTCTCTTTATACCATATAACAGCTAATATCACCCTCATCACTACATGAACCTCCATCACTGTTATAATTTAGCAGCATAACACAATCACCATTTACACCACCGCTACCATTGCTACAATAATCCAGTATGGCACAATTATCAAATATCATCAAGTCAAGGTATCTTTCAAATATCGAAATTGTTGATTTAATATACATCTTAACAACTCTTGGAATCTCATCGTTTATAAACCAACACTCCGTCTCCTCGTCTTCAAAAACGGCCTTGGCTTTTAGTGCAGCCGTTGCCAGCGTAACTGAAGATATGGTTGTAATTGTGGTTGTGCTCGTGGCTGTAGTGTCATCCATTGGGTTTATCACTCGTAAAAACTCCAAATATTTGCGTATATGATAATTAATCCGTGTTGAATGATGATTCAATTTTTTATAACGAAACTCATTTTTCAAGTATTCATGACTGAAAATAAAAAAAGTTAGTAATTACACCTCGATAGAAAACACCTACTCAACAAAAAAAAAAGGAGACATACCACTTCGATATAGTTTCAATGTCTAATATATCATACTTGAACAAATCATCTAGTAAGCATAACATTATGTAAATCTCATGGTATATTGATATTAGATGCTTATGATGTTGTTGCTGGTTATGGTTAGATATCAATGAAGATGACGGAAATGATTTAGCTCTTAATGAAGAATACATCTTCCTATACTTTGAATCAAAGGGATTCGACAATTGTAAAGTGCTTAACATAGTGAATAACACACGGGTTTGATAGATTTTTCCTGATTTGAACTTTGTTGCTCAACACAGCTTAGTGAAAAAAAACTTTTTTTGTGATTACAATAGATAAGGATTAGTTTATAGATTTTGGTTTACAGGAGAGAGATTGCTCTTGGTATATAAATACTCAAAACTTGTTATATGTTATGTACTATTACCCTTTGTAAAAGTGTTGGTGCGTGTGTGTGTTAAAAAAATATTGAGATATGTATGGTTTCATTAAAAGTGAAAATGGAAATTAACCGTGGGTTGTTAGGAAAAACTTGTGGTTGATTCTTTTTTTTCCTTTCACTAGTCCGGGGCGGCGGACGTTATCTATTTTTTTTTTTTTTTACTTTTTTTGCAGCCAAAATTTCTTTTTTCTTATGGCCAAAAGTAGTGGCATCAAGGGGGTAGGATAAAAGAGAGAGAAAAAAAAAAGAAGTAAGAGGAACAGGAGCAAGAGGAGCAAGCAGAGGAGTTTGAAAAAATATTGTTATCTTTGGTCATGAGTAGAAAGGAGAAAGAAGAAGTTGGTAATGTAGTTGATTGCAATTGATTACAATTGTTTGTAGTAAACTCAACTCAAAAGTAACGGAAACGTAGTACCCATATTTATTGTCGTTCTTATCTATGACACATTTTGTTTGCCGAAGACGGTATAGTCTTGCAAAAATTTGTCTTTAATTTTTTTCTTTCTTTTTTTTTTTAAAGATGATCCCACGGATAAAAAAAGACAGAGACATTAATATAAAGATAGGATAATCAGTGACACACGAAAATAGTAGAGGATAGTAAAAGACAAACTGGTAATTAAACTCAAGTGTTGAGCTCGTTTGGGTTGGGTTGTCTTGACAAAGGTCTCAACTATTGTTTAATTTCTTACCCTCCCTTGCTTTTTATGTCAAAAAACAATTTCTGAAAAACCCCTTTTTTCCATCCTTTTTTCCATACTTTTTCTTCCTTGCTTTTTTTTTTATCTTTCCCTTGAAAGAGTTGGTTGTTGCTGACTACCGGGTTCAGGATTAATAAATGATAAGATAAGTAGATATAGCCTCAAACCCGTGCGTAGTTGGGGTACCATCCTTACTTTGCCTACTTATTCAATTAACTCTCTGTAAACTAAGCTTGTAAAGGTGAATCCAATTTCAACTTGTTTTCAAATTCCACTTGTTTACGAGGGAAAAAAAAAAAAAAAAGAAAGAAATACCTAATCTGGTCTAAACTATTAGAGTTATGTAGATCTCAGGTCACGTAATTAACTGTATCATAACTAATTCTATATTTCATTTTGTAAAAATAGTAACTTTTACGGCAACGAAACATGAGAAATGACAGGTACCTCGGTATTGTTAATCTTCCTTTAGCCCAACTGTTTCAATATGGCAAGGTCCATGGTACTTTTGTATTAGTAATGGGTAGAGTGTATGTTCAAAGAAAATAATGAATATCTTCATAGCACGAAAAAAGAGTTTATGGACTCTGGTCTCCCATTGCCTTTAGAGGAGAATGTGAATATGTAGGTTTCTAAAATCTATCAGTTTTTATTTTTCTTTCTTTCTTTCTTTCTTTCTATAGTGCTGACTCTTGCTAGAGCAAAGTTTCACCCAAAGCACATCTACCTATAGCGCAAGCAGCACCTACAGTATCCAAAACATGTTCTTCAGTCTCTGCCAACATTGGGTTTGTCTCTACAATATCTAAACTTTGCAATAAACCAGTTTGAGCAATATCCTCAGCAATGAACAAACCCTCTCTCAAACTCAATCCGCCTTGTACTCTTGTTCCAGTAGCTGGGACATATGAAGGATCAATAGCATCGATATCATATGATAAGTGAATTGGAAACTGACGATTTGGATTAATCTTATCCAATGCCATATCTATTACTTTCCCAATACCGTATTTATCAATATGATACATTGAGAAAGCAGCGATATTGTTCTCACGAAGAATCTTCTTTTCACCTTCATCCACATCACGAAGTCCTATATAAGCGATTTTGTTCAGTTTTAACAAATGAGGTACCCACGAGAATTCTGGCGGAAAAGTCTCTGATTCTATCCCCATAACAAAACTCACTGGACAACCGTGGAGATTGCCTGAAATAGTGCTTTTTGGAGTATTGATGTCGGCATGAGCGTCTACCCAAATAACACAAGTTTCCGGATTATGTGAAAGCGAAGCAGCAATGGTAGCAGTGCCTATTGAGTGATCACCACCAATGACAATGGGCATAGCATTTTCAGCCAAACTATTTTTCGAAGCTTGAAAAATTTGTTCACAGCATTGAGACACAATAGCTGAGTTTTTCACATTATACTCGTTTTTGATATTAGATTTCTTGGATTCCAAATCGAGAGACTCAAGAGGATGAACAATGTTTGTTTGCCATCCAAGAGAGTCAACTTGCTTTTGAAAACCAGCATTGAGAATATACTCAGGACCTAATTCAACACCACCTTTAGGCTGTCCTCCTGAAAAGGGAGCCGTTATAATTGTTGCCTTTTTGCTGGGATAGTACTTATACTCGATCGATGTCATCTGGTATATCTATTGGCAATATAAGTAAGAAAATAAAATAAAATAAAATAAAATAAAATTTAAAAAAAAAAAAAAAAGAAAAAGAAAAAGAAAAAGAAAAAGAAGAAAAGAAAAAATTATTAGAGACTAATGTAAGATGAGAGAGGGTATAACGGTCTTCTTATATTAGTAATGTTGTGGGCTAAAGAGTGTATAAGAATCTGGGCGAAAATGGTGGCCAAATTGTGTTGAGATCTGGGCAAATATAGTTGTAGAGTCACCGTAAAATCCGCGCGGGGTTGTAGTGGAATTGCCGTTGGTGATATGTGGGGAGTAATGTTACACTTGATGTTACCTAATAACACTCCGACACTTTGAGACCCTATTCAGACAATTATTATGTAAGACAACAATTTCTGACAATATAGTAACGTTGACAAAAAGAGGGGATGAGATAGTGTAAATGCACACAATTTGTGGGAAAAAAACAAAAAAAAAACAACCGGAACTAAAAATCTTAACACATTGTATTTACCACACTAACTGCCACCGGAACTAACTGCCACCGGAACTGACTACTACCGACACTGACGTAGTTTGGCTGAGCCTTTGGCTTCTCTAGTTGAAGGATATTAAGTAGAACAGAACTTAGAGTAAATAGATAGAGCTTGGAGTAATAGAGCACGGGTTTGATAGTGTCGGTGGCTGCTACAGAGTATTGTAACAAGCTAGCCAATGCTGCTCCACCATCTCGCTTCGTTCGATAGTGAGCAGTATTGGCTATACCGAAACTAACGACAGCAGTAGAGAAAAGAGTTGGAGATGTCAAGGTTAATAGTTGAGAGGAGTAAAGATGTTGTATGTTACTCTGTAAGATGTTATCCTCTATCCATTCTGTTTAAAGTACTCTACCAGCTAGTATCAGCAGCTAGTGTCAGCAGCTAGTGTCAGTAGCTAGTATCGGTAGCTAGTATCAGCAACTGCTACGGCCATTTCCGCCAGCCACTTCGCCCTACGGCTACGCGTAGGTCGCGCTGTCGCGCTGTTTTATTTATAATTTTTTTTCATCCCCACGTTTTCTTCTTCCTCACAACCAAAACCTTTCTATTTAAACAAGTTAAAAAGAAAGGTTTAACTCGAAGAAGCCAAAACTGTTGAGAATATCTGCAGGTAGGAAAAGATATCAACAGATTTTGGCTTTGTTTTTTAACTCATCAATCCTTGCGAGATTTTAACGTGGAGTTTTTTGGTTATTCGAAGCGGTTCTTTGTTTGGTTATTCCAAGTAGGTTTTTTTTTAGCATCAGGTGTTGTATCCACCACCATTACCACGGGAGGTTTAGGGGTTATTTGCTTAACAGGGGGACGCGCACGCGGGGCACGAAAATGAAGTTTGGTAAAACGTATCTATCGCACCAGATTCCAGAATGGTCTATCTACTATATGAACTACAAGCTACTAAAAAAGATCATCAAATCTCTTGATATGGTTAGAGATTCAGATCTTGATTTAGAAGAGCTGGAATTTCTAGAAATGATTAGAGATAAGTTGAGTAAATTCTTTTTTGAAATTGACAGAAATATTGAAAGTGTTGACGAGTTTTACAATACAAAATTTAAAGAGTATGATAGAAGGTTAATCAAAATTGTTCAAGTTTTAGACTACAAGGATAATGTAGTTAACCATAAAGTCGAAAGCAAAGAAGAGTTGGATGAGATTATTAATATACTAATTGAACTAAGAGTTCTTTTCCGTAATTTGAAGTGGTTTGGCGAGTTGAATCATCGTGGATTCATCAAGATTTTGAAAAAATTGGACAAAAAATTAACTTCAATATTGAATGAAGGCAACGTGAGTGGGGAATTGTCAAATAACAACAAGGAAGCTTATTTGACCACAAGGATTGACGCATTACCTTTTGCTAATGAATCCGAATTGAGTAATAAGTTGGATATCATATACAAATTATTGTCACAGTTGGGTACAATCACCACAATGACTAATGAAGTTAGATTGGAAACATTGCATATAGATGATCATTCGGATAAGTTAGCTGACATCTTACTCCGAGATGACTCAGAAGCACTCGTGTCTTTTTTGGCTGAAAAGAGTAAGAAATTCAATATATCATTACTAAATAAAGCAACCATGGCTAATGCCACAAAGTGTATTGATATAACTTGGCAAAAATTGGGTAGTTTACACAATGAAAAGGATATAAATGGTCGAAACTTTTTCCACCAGCATGTTATTAGTTTGGGTAAGGAACAATTTAAAGAAGAACAAGTTCTTCGCCCTGGAGATTCACCAAATTGGTTAATTGGAAGTAGTAACGGAGCAGATAACAATAACATTAACAACACTAGTGGTCTATTATACATTCTTAGCCAATTAGAGTCCAGGTCTTTACTAACTGCAAAAGATCATTATGATCGTACCCCGTTGCATTACGCTGCTCAATATGGATTGGTTAAAGTTACTACTATTTTACTTGAGTATTGTACAAAATGGGACTTGATAGATTTGAGTATTTCAATTGACAACATTGATGTGTGGGGAGATCAAGAAGGGTTTTCTCCGTTGCATTTATCAATTATTGGCAAACATCCAAAGACAACTGAAGCTTTGATAAAGTTCAATAGTCCAAAGACTTTAACGTGTCCCGATTTACTACTTTTATCAGTTCGATTAAACTCTAGTCGGATTTTGAGTTCATTGATTAATGATGGAAAGATTGATATCAATTATACTGATGTGAAACATAGAAATGAAACAGCTTTGTATATTGCTTCAAAAATGAATTTGCCAAACTTGGTGGAGTTTTTATTGGAATCTAATGCAGATACTCACATTGGTGAATTGGTATTTGGATGGACTCCAATTTTTATTGCGGCTTGTGAAGGTTTTACCACGATTATTAAACTTTTAAAAGAGTTTGATGCGAATTATGACATTGTTGATGATAGTGGCTGGCTACCAATGGAACATGCATGTCTTCGGGGTCATTTAGAAGTTGCCGACTTACTCAAACCGAAAAATGATAAATTGTTACTTTATGACATATATCATCCTGAAAACAATGTTGTTCGGATTCCAAGTGAAGCAGCAAGTCCTGTCTTAATGGCAACTAGTAGTAGTGGCGAGGATATTTCTAGTGTGAATAAATTGCCACAAGCACATAAAAATGCAGTTAATGAATTTTACAAACAGTTGAAAAATTCGTCATCCAACAATGTGTCAAGATCAACATCGCCAAAGAGAAGAAAGAAATATAAACCCGTTAAATCATTTGGTCACAGGTATTTGAATGAAGACGAAAGTTTGATATTGGTCACTTTAGGAACAACAGATTTGAGAGATGATAGTATCCCTGTTGAATTGAACAAGATTTCCCTTGCGCATAGTTTTGCTACTGAGTTGGATACTGCATTATCCTTATCAATAACGTGTCGTCACAAACTAACTAACCAAGCTGTTGAGCCATCAGTTATCGTTGATTTACCATTGGAGGATTATCACGGCAGTGCTACCGATCCCATATCATTCAAATTGACCAATAATTTATCGATTGATGATGTTATCATCACTTTTGACTTGATACCTACTTATCAAGTTAACAAAACGGTATTAGGTAGAGCTATTGCGCTTTTGAAAGATGCATATACAAAAGTTGGACCTCAACTTTGTTCGTTGAATAATAATATTACCATTCCGATTTTAGAATCAACGAATTTGAATATTCTTGGATTAATTAGATTTGAGTTTTTAAGAGTATTGCCTTTTAAACATCACGCAATGAACATTGCTCGTTCAGATACTTATTGGAAACAGTTGGTTTCAACAAGAGTTATTGGGCATCGAGGCTTGGGCAAAAATGAAAGTGGGAGACAATCATTGCAATTGGGTGAGAATACCGTAGAATCGTTTATTGCTGCTGCATCATTAGGCGCTTCTTATGTTGAGTTTGACGTTCAATTAACCAAAGATTTTGTACCTGTTGTGTATCATGATTTTACCGTTGCAGAGCTGGGGGTTGACATACCTATGCATTTATTGACACTTGAGCAATTTCTTGGATTGAACAGGATTAGAGGAAAGTCCCAACATTCGGTTGACGATGAAGAATTGATCAGAATTAAGCCAAGAGCAAAGTCTTCTTTCCAGTTAAATCCTCAAGGAAAACATTATGATGATTTGGTAGATAAACAATTTGAGAGTCAAATCAATGAACGAATGAAATTAACACAAACATGGAAGAACAAAGGATTCAAGGGGAACGCAAGAGGAACATCAATTGCATCCAATTTTGTTACTCTCAAGGATTTATTTAAGAAGCTACCACCAAATGTTGGTTTCAATATCGAGTTGAAGTATCCCATGTTAGATGAAGCTCAGCTGGAAAGCATGGGAGAATTGGCCATTGATTTGAACTTGTATTTGGACACCATTCTTAAGGTGATTTACGATGAAAATCTGAATGGTCGCCATATAGTTTTCTCGTCGTTCCATCCTGATGTTTGTTTGCTTCTTTCTTTAAAGCAACCAACGATGCCTATTTTGTTCCTTACTGAAGCAGGAACTACACCAATGGCAGATATTCGTGCTTCGTCTTTACAAAACGCCATAAGATTTGCAAAGAAATGGAATTTGTTGGGAATTGTTTCCGCAGCACAAACAATAGTGAAAACACCTAGACTAGCTCAAGTTGTTAAACTGCTGGGTTTGGTCTGTGTTACTTATGGTGTAGAAAACAATGAGCCTGAACTGGCCAAATTGCAGATGCGAGCTGGGGTTGATGCTGTTATTGTTGATAGTGTGCTTGCTGTTAGAGAAGGATTAAGAGAGCACAATAATTCCGTTAAAGAGTTTGAAGATTCTGGAAGTGGTGGGGACTAAATTAAACTATATCGACCCTATCGACACTATCGAGCAAAGCGAGATAGTGTCATACCTTGTCAATGTGCTCCACTATCAGCAAAGCGAGATAGTGTCATAACTTGTCAATGTGCTCCACTATCGAGCAAAGCGAGATAGTGTTGTAACTAGTCAATATTAGAGGTTGGAGATGTTATAGAACAAAAATATGATAGATAGAGATAGAAAGAGCCTGTCTTTCACACCCACCCACACACACACACTCTCTCTCTCTCTCGAGATAGTGGTGAAGCAAGCTACAAAGTGTTGCTCCACTATCTCGCTCTGCTCGATAGTGTCTCTCTCGAGATAGTGGTGAAGCAAGCTACAAAGTGTTGCTCCACTATCTCGCTCTGCTGGATAGTGTCTCTCTAGGTCGAGGTCGACTTAGTTTGTACGAGCGAGTAGTAAAGTGCGCGCCCTGTAGCCAAACGATACAAGGCAAAAAAAAAAAGAATATACTAAATGTAATTCTTCACGATATCTACTTTATTATTTACCCCCGTGTCTTTTCTAAAATAAAGGATTGTACTAGATTCCACTAGATTTGATAATGAGTAATTGTCAAGGGTCCAAGGGCAATGAGCAGAATGATTCTGTTGCTCCAAAAAAAGCGCTGACTCAAAGTCCACTACCTTCTCTATCACCTCTTTCACGGAGTCGAGGGATTGATGCAGTGCACGTGAATGCTGCCCGACAAATGGTTCAATTACATACGCGAGGTAGGATGCCCTTGTCGCAGCAACAAACAACGCCTAATACTGCAGATCTTACCTTCACAAGTCAAACAACGCCTAATACTGCAGATTTTACCTTCACAAGTCAAAGCGAGCAAGTTGTATCACTGAGATTTCCCAAACCAAGGATAAGCATACCCAACCACAATGGCAATGAGGAGTGCAAGAATCCACAGTGTTCTCATTGTGGGAAGATCATTAACCCTTCACCTCAACTGTTTCTACCTATTCAGGATAAGCCGTGCTTGAAAGTGAACCGTTGGGAGATATACACTGTAAAGAAGCCGATATTGTCGAGTGCAGAACTAGATTATCTTGGGGAGACCGAGTTTGAATTCCCCTTACCTGAAATGATATTTGGGAATAATTTTGTTCGAGTTAAGTATACTGCTGGGGAAGAAGGTGGTGGTGGTGATAGTAATAGTGGAGCCGCCAAAGAGGAAAAAGCCGAGTTATGGTTTAATGCGATTGACGCATTAAAGACATTGGACGAGGACTGTTGTTTAAAAGTGAGCTATCATCAAGAATGGTTGGAACTGCGTCGGAAAAGATCCAAAGCTAGGAAGCAGCAAGCCGAGAAAAGAGGAGGAGGAAACGTTGTTTCCTCCCATTCGATTGAAGTAGGTACGGAAGAGTTGATTAGCGATGTAGTCAAGCCCTATGATTGGACATATTCTACAAACTATAAAGGATTATCTAAAAACTTGGACTTTATAAATGGCGATGACTTAGACGAGGATTTGGAAATACCTATATCTCGATTAACCCAGCCTGATCCGATACTATTTTTTGAAGAGATGATTTTATTCGAGGACGAATTGGCTGATAATGGAATAAGTATGCTTTCAATAAAGATTAGAGTAATGCCCACATGTCTTTTAATATTATGCCGGTTTTTCTTAAGGATCGATAAAGTTATATTTAGGATTAGAGATTGTCGCGTGTTCATCGATTTGGAGAAGGACTATGTCATTAGAGAATACAAGATACAGGAATGCGATTATAATACTGTGTTGAGAACGCTGATGAGTGGTAGTGGTATGGGCAGCGGCGGCGGCGCTGACCCAAAGAGATTGTTGAGAGATCAAAATTGGGTTAGTATGAACATCCCCGTTGTCAAGCGTACAATTGAAAAATGTACTTTGTAGTAAAAAAAAAGAAAAAAATTTTTTTTTTTTTTTTTTTTTTTTTTTTTTTTTTTTTTTTTGAAAAATTTGAAAATTTTCAGGTTCTTTCCAGGAAGGATTCGATTCTTGTTAACGGGATCGATATTTAGTGGCTGGATTCGGTATGTTTAGATATTCAAGTCGAGGAGGTATACGTTGGGGCCGCCTACGTTTCATTCATACGGTTCCCAAACTATCTCATCACGACGTATGGTCGCAACAAGGCATTCCTGGTTTATTCTCGCGCCAAGGTTACAATACTGCCTGGAGTGATTACCAAAACTATTTGCTTACGAATCTTACATTATTGACCAATGGCACTGGGAACGAAACCAAGTCGCCGTACCAAATTTTGCTTAACACGGCCAAGAATACTCTTCAACAGCATACGTATCATTATGCCGCTATGGCACATATGAATCATTTTTTTTTCCAACAATTGTGCGATTCAGAAACGGCAAAGTTGACGAAACCTTCGAGATTTCTTATGGAGAAACTAATGCATGAGGATATCTTGGATATAGACTCGTTGAGGAATAAGATGTTGACCATGGCTGAAAACGCGTATGGTCAGGGCTGGATATATTTAGTTGAGAATAAAGATAAGAAGTTGAAATTTCTTAGATGTAATAATGACGGAGTGCCTTATTATTTCGCAAAGAGGCAGGAGTTGGACCTTAATGTGGGGATTGACGAGTTGAGCTATCGACAATTGGAGAATATGCAATTGAGATGCAAAGATAAGGATTTAAGGGATAAGGAAGAGGAATTTTATTTACCTATTTTGGCCATCAATTATTGGGATTATATGTATGTTGAAGATTATGGAGTTACCGGGAAGGTTGAATATTTGAATAATTTATGGGACCATTTGAATTGGGATGTTATCAACAAGAGATTATTCCAAATATAGATAGGTGAGAAGAAGAGGGTGGAGATTGCGAGAAGAAGGTGGAGATTGTGAGAGTTTGTAAATATGTGTACTTCATAGATCCTAAATTGAGAGTTATCAAGATATATGGTAGTATCTCCGTTTAACTTAACTTTTGCATTTAGTGTTGGTGGCAGCTAGTGTGCTCCACTATTTCGCTCTGCTCGATCGTTTCAATGGCAGTTAGTGTTGCTCCACTATCTCGCTTCGCTCGATAGTGTCGGTAATAGATAGATAAAACGGGACCTTGAAAGCTACTTTATTGGGACAATGTGCCCAAAAAGGAAAATTCATTTTTTGTAAATAAAATCCAACTATTAAAGTATATAAAAAACAAAATTGGTCAAGATTATCCAAACATGGCCTGGATAAACAACATTAAATATAAACCTAACTTTGTAATACTGGTAGTATTTATACCATCATTTTTGGATTTCCCTGTTGGAGTCAGCTGGAGAGGGTACTGAGTTTTTGTCCACGATAATGTTCCATCAACAGTTGTTTTTGAATATTCAAAAACAACCCATTGTAAGGGCGCTTCACTCTTTGTTGTTTTGATTTTTTTGGAATTATATGGAAGAAACGTCACTGATCCATCTAAACCGATATCTGAAATTGTAGTGGGGACACTGTTATATAGCCATGCTGTTCCTATCTCTCCCGATTTCGTGCCGCTGAGTTTTGTGTATTTGAAATCAACAATTACAGTTTGAGTGATGATATCAGGAAGAGTTGTCGTCGAACTTTTGCCCATTATTATACAAGCAAGGAGATGTAAGCTACTAAAAGTTAAAAGACTTGGCGAGATCAGTTTAAACTGAGTAGATGTTAAAACAGACCCACGTTTTAAATAAACGAAGTTATTCGCCAGTATTTATACAAAAATTAAGATCAAAGAAGGTTAATGATTAAACATTACCCACATGTCATATTTCCCCCTTTTTCCCTCCTTGGGAAGGAGTCATTCCAAAGTGTTTTTGTTTTGATATTCAATTTTTCACCATTCAAGTGCTTCAAACTTATAATGTAGTTATCTGAAATTTTTATCTATAAAATCAGTGTATTTTTTTTTAGTGAGAGCTTTTAATCAAAAATGTGTCAAATCAAACGACACTAGACTAAGCATATTGTAGAGCAGCTGGTAGGAAGGGGAAGAGGGGAAGAAGGGAAGAACTTCTATCCCCTAACCTCCAATTCCGCTTTGTGCTTAAAAATATTTGAGGTATGTCTCTTTGTGATAGGCCCCAAAGAGACATACATGTAAAGCATGCGTTTAGAAAGAAGTTGTTAAAATTGAGCTATTTAATCTAGCAGTTTGAGAAGAGCCCCCACCCCTCCGATACTGCATTAACCTATATAGTATCAGACTTGAATTTATCAGGGCTCATATTAATGATACTTTCTGGGACTTTCGGACGATTATCAGGTATATATTAAGCTGGGAATGCGTACAAAACATTTTCGGAATCTAAAAAGATCACCGATTCTCGTTATTGTGCGCGGGATTGGAATAAAACTTTGACACAATTGGTGCATATATCGCTTAAAGAATTCATAATTTGTCACTTGAGATTATCAAGAAACAATTAATACTTTAAAGTAATACAGTATGGTTGTCTAATAATATTGTAAAAGCAATTTAAGACTAATGTTGGCCCTTTGTATGGTGATTGTTTTGTATAGACCAATCGGGTTGATCCTGTTTAGACAGGAAAACAAGTAATACATGCCACGGTAAATATTTTAAGATTGAGCATTGCAGGCTTATTTTTATGTCGGCTTAGTTATAGAGCATTGCAGGTTTATTTGTATCTCGGCTTAGTTATAAAGCACTTTGGTTTTTGCAATCAAATCGCATGATAAGAAAATTAAACCACTTGGTAGCAGCAGCACCAAAAGAGGGCACCACCAAGGAAAGCACACAGTCAACACAAGACTTAGAGGAAAAGGTGAAATTTAGAGAAAAGAGGTCAAACTCAAACATAAAAATCCTCCTCCCACCATTAACAAATCATCTCTTATATTGAAGATATAAAAAGAAAACTGTGGAAAAGTTATAGATATTTAGCAACTAAATCAGCCAAAAACATCTTTACTTCTTCTGACAAGTACATTTGTCCTTCTCACATTGACATGTGGACTGGCATGTACACTCGGAACTACAGCATGGGCAATCGGTCTTTGCAGTCATTATAATCTTGTTCTTTTCTTTTGATTAATTGGTTAGTTTGAAACTTTTACTCGGTTTTACTCAGATTGGTAAAATGTGGGGTTGAAGAAAAAAATAAATTAAAGAGTGGAAGTGAAGGGGAATTGATCTTCCTTTTATATTCCCACTCGAGGAGCTTGATGAAGCCGCCCCTTCCCCCTCTTCCCCCGCCTCGGCGCCAAATTGCATATAAGGAATGTAGAAAAAGTGGTCTCAACTACTTGCGTTTCTGACTTTTTCTCACTCACCACTACATCAAAGCACAGTCTGTATTTCGTTATCAGTTGATCCAAACACCAATATTAGCTCTCTATCGGCAGCAACTAAATATTAGAATTGCTTACTAAAACCTCCACTCCACAACAAATCCGCTTTCTTCCGTCTTCTTTCGCATTTCTTTCTTATTGCTTCTTAATGTCCGCCTCCGATGTCCGTTTTTAGATAAATTTTATACGTTGCGCGGCACCGCTCGCCCTTTTAAAGGGGGCCTCAATAGGAACCACCAAGAGAAAATGCGAGAAAAATCAGGTGGTTTATACATTCTAAGGGTTGATGTTCTATATATATATTGAAGACCTGCAGATGAAAGTTTAGGGATTAGGACTTAACCGGGGGAGGGGCGTTTCTTGTCTGTCTTATTTGGGCAAAAAAGGTGTGGAAACAGATTTGTTTAGTAAAGCTCATTCATTATTCATCAAATTTCAAGTCAGTTAAATTTTTGATGCCAAACTCGTTAATGGGTGCATCCCTATCAATAATCAGTTGATACTTGTGCAATCTAGTTTGAATTTCGTTCAATTGCAACATAATGTGAACAAGTTGACCACCTCCATCATCCTCCTCCTCCGAATCTTCTTCGTACCATGCATAGGGTAAGCTACAAACTAATTCAAGTATCAATCGACTTTGGCCATCTATTTGATGCCAGTTTTGCACTAATTTATCCGTATTTTGTTTTAGTGTTGAAACAAGGTCATCTTTTGTATTTAAATCTTGCACTTTCAAAGTGAGCGTATCTAAATCGACATTCAAGGATGCAATTTCTTGGGATAAAGACCGAATTTCTTGTTTTTGCTTCTTTACTTTGTCAGTATCCTCCTCATAATCATCGCCACCACCACCACCAACTCTGCGTAGTTGATTTAGATTTTGAATTTGAAAAGCTAAACCCTGTTTCCCACCCCTATTATCGTCATTATCGTCGTATAATATGTTTAAATACTCTAGAATTTTCTGCTCAGAAGTATTCAAATCAGCGTGGTGGATTGCTTTTTGTACGGGATTCAACATCATGAAATACCTATTTAGCAAATCGTTGATCTTAGTTTCTCGATTAGCCAAAACTAAATACCGATAAAGATCTTGTAAGGATGATGGAATCATGAATTCTTGTTGAATCTTTGTAATTTCATCTGCCAATTTGTTTACTGGGGTATCTGTGAGATCCTTGAGTTTTGTTAGGTATATCAAGTGGTTGAGTTTATAACTTAGCTTTTGATAAATCTCATAGTAGTATCTTTCTAATTCATGAATAGTTGGCCAGGTATTATCCTCAGAATCCTTCTCCTTGACACCCTCATCTAAATCTTTTTTCCTCTGTACTAACTCGTCCTTGTCCATTTCTCAGCACTACCAGCATTACTAGAGATAGTTATCAGTAAAACATCTTGATATCTCCAAAGCAAGAGGGAGAAAAAAAAAAAAGTATCATCACCTTTGGTAGAAGGCTTTGAAAGGCCCTTTTTTTTTTTTTTTTTTCAACGGTACAAAAATTTGATGATATCAAATTGGCAGCTGTTATCATTATCAACAACACCACCGGCAAGTGGGCTTACCAGCTTTTACCCAAACATGTTTCAGACAGACCATTCCTTAGTCAAAAGAAAGCTCTTACAATTAGCAGCAACAGGTAGATTTAGTTCCTTCACACCAAAACAGCTCTATACTACATTTAAACAATTATCATCATATCTTTCGCAGTATGAAGATAAACTTGACTTAATCGAGCTATTTCAGTTATTTGAACTCAAATTCTATCTATCGATATTGACTAATCACGACATAGAGGCTAAAAATATACTTGACAGGTTGAGTGACCAGTTTGGCCACGATGTGAATTCACAACGAATTCGAATTCTACAATCTATTTACTACGAAGCACAAGGCCAATTGAAAAAGGCTGGTGATTTGTTGAGTGAGAATCCCGATGAGTTGCAATTGTCTAGAAGATTGACCACTTTTGCTCGATATGATCCTACCGCAGAAAAGTATATTAAGAATTTGAATTTTTATTTGAATTTACAACCTGCTGATGTTCTAACCTGGTGTGAGTTGAGTGAAGAATATAGGAAATTGGGATTGTATGATAAAGCTATCTATTGTTTGAATAATGTCATTATAGTAGAGCCTACTGCCTATCCGATTTTTTATAAAATTGGACTATTAAACTATTATCATTTTTTGCAATTAGAACAAGAGTCGAAAGAGGATAATATCAAAAAGGGTAAGTTGATTGAATTGATGAATGTGTTGATTTTAGCGAGAGATAACTACTTGTACTCATTGGAGATAAATGACAAGTATGACAAATCATGGGTTGGCTTGTGGAGCATTGTGAATGCAGGGTTTGCATTTAATAAAAAATTAAAGAAAGTAAGTGAAAGCAGTAAAGCTATTAAAGAGTATTTAAACCAAGCTGATCAATTGAAAACAATTGTTGAAAAGAAATTGAAGCAATTGGATATTGAGATAGAAAGCAGAGTTGGAGCAAAGGGCTGAAAGGAAGATGGGGAGGCACTTTATTTCTCTCTTTTTTTTGTCTGCTCTAAAGGGGCAATGTATACTAGAGGTTCAGTAGAAAAGCAAGATTCATTGTTGAAACGATTAATTTCCTCTCCTATGGTGGGTGTGCCACATTAACCTTGTATAGACCTCACACAAGTTATATCACGTGACTTAATTGAGTAGACACGTAGGTTTGGTAGGTACACATGGACCGAGATATTGATTAAGATCAACATGTTGACCAAATTGCATACCAACAAGGGATCATTAATGATGCTGAAGGAGAAGCAAATCAGAGACATTCTACAAGTTTTCAAAAAAACAAAAAAATCAGGGACAAAATAAATTGCAATTTTTTAAATACTTCTATAAAGCCATAAACTTCACAAGAACCAGCATCTAAAAACTTATTAGCAAATCTTCATTCCAAGCAAATAAAAAAAGAAGCCCTATTCAATTCATCATCATTTCATAGATTTTCTTCTCATTTTGTTAGCTGTAGACGTTGTTAGCTTATTTTTTGTCACATTTGCATGAAGATTCAGAAGCACATTTGCAATCTGAACCACATTCACAACCTTTTGAGGAGTAGTTAACTAATTGAGCGACCATTGTAATAATGTAAAAATATTTGTTTTCTTTGTTGTTTCTTTGTTTGAATAAGAAAAGACTTCTTGATATTCTGATAAAATGAATCTGCTTCTGAAAGGTGGGAGATGTGCTACTCTATTTATACACTTTGACAAAGAGGCGAAAAAGGAGCGGTATTTTAGCCAAGTGCGGCGTTTTCCCAATTGGGAAATGTCCTTGAATCGGTCAAAAAGAGGAAATCATCTGGCGTTCTATCTCTTTCCATCTCTCTCTCTTGCTGTAGAGAAGAACCTAGATTTCTTTGTGCTACTGCAACCTCAATTCCCACCGCCCCCTAATCACCAACTACCAACCGATATTGTCCTTACATTACAACGCATTAATATAAAGGACAAGGGGGGGTTTTTTTTGTTGATCCCGGTTCGTTGTTATGTTACATGGCACAGCAAAAACAACTCAACAAAAGAACTAGTAATACAAGCAATGGCAATTATACCGCGACAAAAAAAACACTGATGGCAGAAAAAAAACAACTAAGGGCTATGAAACCAAAGGCTATAAAATTAATGGCTATAAAATTAATGGCTATAAAACTAAATGGCTAAAAAGCCAATGGCTAAAAAGCTAATAACACAAGATTTGATGTCAGCTTCTGAACCTTCTTTTTTTTTTTTTTTTTCTTTTTCTTTTTCTTTCTTTCAACTTGAGAGTAGGGCTTTGGATTTATTTGTTATACGATGGCATCTCTTTGCCCCTATCTAAGACAAAACAAGCACAAGCCTCGTTTGTACCACTTGTCTCTATTACCTCTCTTGTCTTGTTTTTATGAGGTGACATAGGAAAGGCTAATAATATCTCATGGTTTTAGACCTACTGAGAAGGAAAGACTCCCCCGCCTTCCTGCCTAGTGATATTTTTCTTTTTTTTTTTTTTTGGCTTGGGTATGAAATCTTTATGCTTTTGCTGAGGGATAATCGCCAACTTAGAGAGAAAGAGAGAGAGAAAGAGAGAAAGAGAATGTGTGTGCGTGCGTGCGTGCGTGTGTGTGTGTACGTGTGTGGCTAAGGAGGATGCCTACTAAACTAAAACCTTGATTATAGTTTATAATTAAATTTAAAATAGTTTGTAATTAAATTTCTCTATCAACTTGGCTATTGCGCTCCCTTAAAATTCACCTTTATAATTTAAATCATCTCTTGCTAAAACATCATCTAAGAGTCCAGCAGAAGCTGCAACTAAACCTAAAAATGGTCTAGAAGGATCCAAGACTTTAGATAAGTATTCAGGGTGGTATTGTGTACCAACAAAAAATTTATGCATCAATTGAGGTAATTCAATCATTTCCATACGTTTCCCTGTTTCGTCTTTACCTATGAATTTTAGACCCTTGGCTTCGATTTGCTCGATAAGCTCGGGATTGACTTCGTATCTGTGTCTATGTCTTTCATGAACTGCTTCCGCACCCCCATAAAGTTTACGCAACACACTATGTTGTGAATCCTTGGTAAATCTTGTTTCGTGTAATCCTAGTCTCATTGTACCACCAAGTTTCACTTGGTCAACATCGGGCATGTATACAACTGAAGGGATGATTTCCTTATCTCCTTTTTGATAATTATCAAATTCTTGAGATGTTGAGCCCTCTATACCAACAACATTTCTAACAAATTCGATAACGGCAATTTGCAAGCCAAGACAAACTCCCAAGAATGGAACATTGTTCTCTCTAGCATACTTTGTCGCAGCAATCATTCCCTCAATTCCCCTTGAACCAAATCCTCCTGGAACTAATACACCATCTGCTTGACAGACATAATGCCATGCTTGATGGTAATTTGATAAATTTTCTTGCTTCATTTCTTCTTCCAAATTGGACGATTCTACCCACTCTATCTTCAACCTGCGGTTACATCTCATAGAAGCATGCTCTAATGACTTTATCACCGACAAGTATGAGTCGTGCAAATGGGTGTATTTACCAACAAGGGCAATGGTAACAGTTTCAAATGATTTATCATGGGCAGTCGTCAAATTGATCCATTTGGTTAAAAGTTGTTCACCTTTTACCAGTGCCTGTGGATCAACTTCGCCAATTGTTAACTTCTTCATCAAGAACTTCATCATTTTCTGCTGCTTCAATAATAATGGAACATGATAAGTTGAATTGACATCATGAACAGCAATAACCTGATCAGGCCCCACGTGACAAAACATTCCAATCTTACTAATACTTTGATGATGCAACTCCTCTTGACATCTACATGCAATCATATCCGGTGTCAACCCCAAACTTCTCAAATCCTTAATGGCAGCTTGTGTAGGTTTCGTTTTTTGTTCTCCGTGAATAACCGGTACCAAACTAACATGGATCAATGCAAAATTATCCGAACCAACTCTAAACTGGAATTGTCTTAATGCCTCAACAAAGGGAGCACTTTCAATATCTCCAACGGTACCACCTAATTCAATAATACAAACCTCGGGCTCCAACCCAGTATCATCAACTGGAATCACGGCAACAGATTCAATCCATTCTTGAATAGCATTGGTAATATGTGGAACAACTTGAACTGTTTTGCCCAAATAATCCCCTTTTCTTTCCCTTTCAATAACTTTGGAATATATTTTACCCGTGGTGATGTTATGATTTTTAGTCAAGGTGATATTCAAATATCTCTCGTAATTACCTAAATCCAAGTCTACTTCACCACCATCGTTCAAGACAAAACACTCGCCGTGTTCTAATGGTGACATCGTACCCGCATCAATATTCATATAGGGATCAATCTTTATAGATGTTACTCTCAACCCTAGAGTCTTGAACAACAAACCTGTCGATGACGCTAAAACACCTTTACCAATACCCGAAATAACACCTCCGGAAACAACAACGTACTTCATTTTTAAACCCCAACTACTTGATGAAACGCGTTAATTGAAAAAAAAAATAGAAAAAATTTACCAAACTTTCAATGGTATGCAAAAAGGTAGAAAAGGATAATATGGGTAGAACAAAAAAGCTAAATCTAGGTCTTCAACTACGAAATCGAAGAAACTATGCCCTCTTAACTAATGTGAGTTAAGCGGGAAGAAGAAGAAGAAGAAGAAGAAGAGGGAGAAAGAAGGGGGAGAAGAAGAGTAAGTAAGTTTAACTCGTTCATTGTTTGGTGAACTTTTTTTTTTTTTTTTTTTTCAAGCTCTGCTCGGTAGCACCACCTGATTTGAGCCATCTCTTCAAAAAAACAATGTCGGCCAATATATACACTTTCATTAAGGGTTATGGAACATTGTAGAACCCAGAAAGTACCTTTGAATTAGTCGGAACAGGTATGCTTCTTTGATATATGCCTCTTCCAATCCACCATGGCTCTCAAATAAAACACCACAATGAAAATGGGTCATGGCAAGGAATTTCATGAAAACCAGTTGTTTCCTCAAAGTAGTTGTATATTATTATGTAAATTTTGTTCTCTATAATTCCATTTCCCTGTTTTACCTAGGCCGCGCCGCCAGGACCCTTTTCTGAGATCCTCAACTTGCTCAACATGGTGCTTGCTACTAAGTGTTGCTCCATTATCGAGCGAACCGAAAAAGTGCCACTAGTCGGTGTTGCTCGATAGTGTCGATCTGCTCGATAACAAGCTACAAAGTGCTGCTCTACTACCTCGCTCTGCTCAATAGTGTTGTAACAAGCTCACAAGTGCTGCTCACTATCTCGCTCTGCTCAATAATGTTATAACAAGCTAGTCAGTACTGCTCACTATCTCGCTCTGCTCGATAGTGTCGTAACAAGCTAGTCAGTACTGTTCCACTTTCTCGCTCTGCTCGATAGCGTCGGTACTCATACAATTTTGACACCTCCTATCTGATTATGTTCATTCATTAAAATCTGCGCCTTGCCTTGTTTCATGAGATGTTCCTGAATCACCTTAATCAATAACAACTCATCCATATTCTGTAATTCTTCAGGCAAAAGACTCTCATTATCAGTGTCAAGGTAAGCAGCAGCAGCATCATCATCATCGTCATCATTATTGTTCTCTCCTCGACCCTGTCTGGTCAATTCATAAAGAGTGAAAACCGTTCCTTTTTGTCCCGTGTTCGATATATAATCGTAGAGAATATTCCCCCAGTCAACTATGCTTCTCCAATATATGAACATCCCTAATTCCGGTTTTTTATGATTGATATATTCTGCCTGCTTCGTGTGGATTAGATGAGCTAGAATTGTAGACCTGAAATCAGCATTGACATGACGATTGATGGATTTGTTTTGAAATAGCAGAGGCAACGAGGTCTTGGATGTTTGCGAGTGTTTGGGAAGACCCTCGCTGGTTAGCGATGTTATTTTGTAAAACTCACAATATTGTAGTATTATATTGGCCCATGATTCCAATTGTTGTTGTTGTATGGTTTGGTTGGGCTGTTTGGTATAAAATGGTGGGAATGAGTGGATCTTGGGGAACTCAAATTGAGGTCGCAGTATCGACCTCGACTCTGACATCCCTGTACAAGTATGCAGGGGTAAGAATGGGGAATGAAGTTTCAACCCGCTCCAAAGTGTCGATAGGTGGGCAGGATATTAATTAATATATAGATGACATTTTTCTACAAATAGATTTAAAGCTACCATATAAACTTGGATAGTGTTACTTACACTTTGTGAATAAGTCCAAGACAATATAGAGAAAAGTAACATACGTCTCCGTCATTATTGAGAGCCACGAGCCCTTTGATTTACACTACATTTCAAACCTCCCCACTTCATTTTTTCTTTTAAATGTTTTTCAAATTCATTATTATACAACAACTCTTTCCATATTCTACTTCAAACTCTCCTTAAGCTTCAGCCATATCTCTCAAACGACGAATAGTCGATCTAACAGTAGCAGCAGCAGCAGTAGACACAGTGTATGCACCACCAGCAACGGTCTTCTTACAACCTTTACAAGTCCAGATACCTGCGGCACCTCTTTGAACAGTTCTTTTACCACAGAATGAACAATCGTATTTGGCGTGTTGTTGAACTTCCAATTTCTTGGTTTGTCTTCTTAATGATGAACCATATCTGACACCAAATTTACCGGTGATTCCTACTTTCTTTGTTCTTTTAGTCCTACAAAAAAAATATTGTTAGTAAAATTTGCTCAAAAGGAATGCATTATGAGAAAGACAAAAGGTTGAATAAGTCACATCAAGAACTTTGGATTTGTGAGAATTCATTAATGTATAAATTTGACTTAAAGGTTCACAAGCCTCTTGCGTTGTGATACTAATTGCAATTGGTTTTTGACATATTTAACATCGAGATAAGACATTCATCGAGTCATCAACCCATCGACTGATTTGCCTAGTAACAGTAACACTTTATAAACTTCCCCCTCCTAACAGAACATATAATCTGTCACTCCCACTCTCTTCTTCTCTTTCTTTCTCTCCCTGTTCCTCTTTCATTTCCTCATTCAATAAACTATCCTCTTTTCGTCTTTCTCCTAAACATGACACCTTGTTTCTGGTATGTCCACATACATTTTTGTTCTACTATGGTTATTAAAGAAACGTTAAAAGAAGCTTTCAAAGATTTCACCCTTTTCATTCTTTTTTTTTTCAGTTCATTGCAGGAAATTTTCAGTGCGAGTTTGCCTAACAAATTTTTTTGAACTTCTAAATTGATTAGGGTTATAGCCCTTGTGTATTTTGGTAGCACAAGTAGAACCGCGCGCCTTATACACGCGGTAGAGAAGTATACAGTCAAACTCGTGGGGAAAAAGGGAGGGGGAGGTTAAACTAAAAATATACAGAAACCACTCATCTTGTCCTATTTTCATGGGGGTGGCCTGACCTCACTGCTTCCTATTTCTGTTATTCTGTCTCTTTTCTGTTTTTTTTTTTTTTACCCGCTTATCAGTTATCTTTTCAGTTCATGCAATTTTGTAAATACATTAGGAATTCTATTTAGACTACGTAAAAAAGAAGAAGAAAACAATCAACTTTTCTCAAAATTTTCCGTTAATATATCACATTCTTGGAAACAAATCTGCAGGTGCCATTTCAACATCCTCTACTTCATCCTCTGTATTCCTGTCAACTGGCATTGGCGCAACCATGGTTTGTTGTAGCTGTAATGGTTGTTGCTGTTGCTGCAATAGTTGTCCTTGTTGTGGCAAAAGCCCCTCGTTCGGTCTGAACACACGAATTGGTAAACGGTGTGGTGGTTGTGGTGACTGTTGTAGTTGTTGCGCCTGTTGTAGCTGTAGCTGTTGTTGTAATTGTTGTTGTAATTGTTGTTGTAGCTGTAATGGTTGTTGTTGTAATTGTTGTTGTAGCTGTAATGGTTGTTGTTGTTGCTGCTGCTGCTGCTGTTGTTGTTGTTGTTGTTGTTGTTGTTGTTGTTGTTGTTGTTGTTGTTGTTGTTGTTGTTGTTGTTGCTGTTGTTGTTGCTGCTGCTGATTAATCCCTTCTCTTCGTTGCATTATAATTTCAGCCAATTCTGGATTCATATTGATATCGCGAGGAACCGCCATACCTCTCCTTTCCCATAGATTCAATTCGTCATCTTCAACATCTAAATCGCCGTTAAGAAAACGACGTCTCCTCTCATTAAATAAAGTATGCATATCACCTTGATCCAAGTGATAATTTCTTTCCTCCATTACCTGATTTAAATAGTTTCGCAACTGATTAACACCATGACCACTAAACACACAAAAGAGGGATTTTTGATGTTCATTAAAATCTGGAGGTGGGTCCCGGCAGTATTGAGTTATTTCCCTTCTTAAAAATGCAGCAATCCCAGTAAGAGATAAATGTGTTAATTTAGGACAACTTTTGAGCAATAAAAATATTGGGCCGATATTCAAGTTTGTACAGTATGACAAATGTACTCGTTCCAAACAGTCTTGTTCACCACGACGTCTCACCAATTCCAAGATTCCCGAATCCGTAATTAATGAGCATTTCACCAATCCAATCCTTCTCAATTTCGGTAAATTAGCCAATTCGACTAATGTCCAGTCGGTCAACTGCGAGCAACATGCAAGATCAATATATTGAATACGATGGCAATACCTCACCAATGCAGCAACACCATAATCTGTGATTAAGGCACAGTGTCCCAAGTGTATATAATGCAAGCTTCTTCCCAATTGACTTAATGCCCTCAAACTAGCATCTGTAATTTGCATGCATTTACTCAAAACAACATTTCTCAACCTTGGTGCACAAGCAACTAATTTCTCAACTAGCTTATCGGTCACTGCATTACACCCTGTAATATCGATTATCCTCAACTTTTCCAAAATAAAGCCTTCAGGTAACAATTCAAACAATTTATCAGTTATTCCCGGGGCATTGCTTATACGGAACTCCCTCAATTGAGACAATTCCAAAAAGATCCTCTTCAAATGCAAGTCAGTCACGTTTTCACATCCATGCAAATCAATCTCCACCAACGATTTACAATTCTCGTACATCGCCAATATACTGTCATCAGTAATATTGTTGCTGGAATTGAACTTTAGCCTCTTTAACATTGGGCAACTTCGTAGTAATTTAACAATTGTTTTTTCGCCAACGTTGCCGCACCCTGGGGCATATAAACCTTGCAACCTCGGACAATTTTCAGCTAATGCATTTATTATATCATCGTGGATATCCGTAACACCGGTCAAGTCAATCGATTGTAATCTTTCGCAGCCCTGTAACACATTGGTTATTGGAGTTCTTGTTAATTTTGCACAGTTGACCAATGTCAATCTTTCCAATTTGGGACATCCTATAAATAGATTCAATAATTTATCATCGACTAGTTTAGTCATAAACGACAAGTTTAGTCTCTTGATAAAGTGTCGATAGTCCCAATGGGTTTTTCTCCTATCGTACTCCATCACTTGTCTAATTTTTTTGAAAGCTGAGTCATTCTGCATATTGGGACGAAACCATAGCATCTCGATGATCAAATCGGCAATCTCTCTACAAGTTGTCGCCAATAAATACCAGTCTTTTCTTTCCAAGTAGTGGAATATCTGTAGTAGCACCTCAGTGGGTAATCTTAATATAGCTCGTTTATTGACCATCTCCTTTTCATCAACATAGGGCCCATGAGGCCGCTTGATACTAGACAACCTGCGTTTTATCACTAAAGCCTTTCTAAGCTCTTCATAGTCATAATACTCATTGTCAATCATAAAATCGTTGTCCAATCTCTCTGTTCCGTAATAGTTGCTTTCTTCAGAGCTGTTGTTGCCATTGGAATTATCGCGCCTAATTTCCTCATTACAACTGGTGGCGTTGCCGTTACCGTTACTGATACCGTTGCCGTTGCCGTTACCGTTACTGATACCGTTGCCGTTACCGTTGTTGTTGTTGTTGTTGTTGTTATTGGAATTGGAATTGTTTCTGCTGTTGCTCGAATCCATATCTATATCGACAATCCCTTCATCATATAGCGATAGCTGATTTCTGTGAATATGGCCTCTCGTTTCCACAGTATGGTTGGATTGCTGATAATCCTCTAGACTCGTAGGGGAACTCATGGAAAAAGGGGGGGGGGGGGAAGAAAGTAAACTGTGTGGTTATATAAAAAAAACGCTTCGATTAAGTTAAGACACGATTTGTGGAAAATCCAATAAGTGTCGATATGGAAGAAACGGCGTTGAGGTATAAAAATGCGGTACCGTATTCGTTGTAATTGTTACACACGTAGACTAATAGACTATTTCTCTCTCTCTCTATCTCTCCCTCTCTCTCTCTCTCTCTCTCTCTCTTTGTGCGTGTGTGCGTGTGTGTCTGTGTGTGTCTGTGTGTGTATGCCTCTATGTTACCAGTAATTGTGTATTAGTAACAGCTTTGGTGTAATTATTGTTATTTTCGTTTCACTGAGAGAGAAAATACTTGAATGCTACCATATGTGGAAAAAAGATTTAAGGTCAAGGAGACTGCACGATGGGAAAAGGATGTAAGAGGAAAGGCGGGATTAAAGATGGAGATAATAAGTTTGTGGGCTGTTTTTTAGAAACACTATCCAACACTATCCAACACTATCCAACACTATCCAACACTATCCAACACTATCGAGCAAAGCGAGATAGTGTAGCAACACTTTGTAACTTGTTACAGTCGAGAGTAGCGTAGAGACTATCGAGACACTATCGAGCAAAGCGAGATAGTGCAACAACGCTTTATAACTTGTTGCAACAACACTTTGTAACTTGTTACAGTAGAGACTATCGAGCAAAGCGAGATAGTCGAGTAGAGTAGAGTAGAGACTATCGAGCAAAGCGAGATAGTTGAGTAGAGTAGAGTAGAGACTATCGAGCAAAGCGAGATAGTCGAGTAGAGTAGAGAAAAGTAGAGAGAGTAGAGAGAGTAGAGAGAGTAGAGAGAGTAGAGAGAGTAGAGAGAGTCTAGTGTCGGTGGCAGATAGTGTGCTCCACTATCTCTCTCTGCTCGATAGAGTCGATAGTGTTGATAGTGTCAGTGGCAGCTAGTGTGCTCCACTATCTCGCTCTGCTCGATAGTGTCGATAGTGTCGATAGTGTCGGTGGCAGCTAGTGTGCTCCACTATCTCGCTCTGCTCGATAGTGTCGATAGTGTCGATAGAGCCGATAGAGTAGCAGCTAGTGTGCTCTACTTTCTCGCTCTGGTCGATAGTGTCGATAGAGTCGGTGGCAGTTAGTGTGCCCCACTATCTCGCTCCGCTCGATAGTGGTTCAGCTCGATAGTGGCTACCCGTCTAGTCTAGTGTCGTCTGGATTGTTATATATAACAAGGAGTAAAAAAAGCCAATCAGATTAGAACAAATCTTCTCCAATGGCAGCTATTGTGCTCCACTCGATAGTGTCGATAGTGTCGAATATTATAGGTAACAGAATAATCAAAATTGTGTGTACCTCACCTATCAGAATAAAAGTATATAAAGAGTTCAACATGCCCTCTGTGAAGAGTACTTGAAAAGAAAAGAATAACAGCTAGTATGCTCTAGGGAGTGAAGCCATAAATTGTCGAGGACAGCTAGTCTGCCATAAATTGTCGAGGACAGCTAGTCTGCCATAAACTGTCAATGACAGCTAGTCTGCCATAAACTGTCAATGACAGCTAGTCTCCTCTACCATCTCGCTTTGCTCGATGGTGTCCCTTTGCTCGATGGTGTCGCTACCAAATGCCCATACATTTTGTTTCACCAAAAACATTAAACAAACCAGTAACGTTGAACAATACTTTCCTTAGCTGTACAAGTAAATCTCAGTTTGTAGGCTTGTTCCAGCGCGGAGCAAGAAAAAAGCAATTTTATTCTTAAAAGGGGAGCATAAAAATGGATGGAGTGCAAGCGTATACTGATGAGTTCATTGCCATATTAAAACAGGATATTAAAGATGAGACAACTGGTAAACGATTATACAAAATGTTAACCATCAACCCTGGCGCAGTAGAGGCGAATATGCGTAAGAAGTTTAGGTATCCGAACGACTTTGATCTTTATAAAGTGCCAAACAAATTCAAACCGCTAATAACGCTACATATCAAAGTCTTGGCTGCTGTTCACGACCATAAATCCTATTTTGAAGCTTTTGACACATTGAATGAAATATGCTTGAGTTTGGTACGAGCTTGCGAGCAACAAGATAAATGGATCATGCCCGCTGTTATAGGCATGTACGAGGAGCTCCTCATGGTGTACAAGGCAAAGAACAAGCGAGATCCCGAAGATTTGGATTCGTTCATTGTAGATGACTTTGATGACTTTGGTTCAAGCAAGAAGAAACTGGATTTGGAAACTATTATTGATACATTACGTCGCGGCTTTAACGTTGTTTTTAATGATAAAAATCCCGATTTGAATCAAAGCAAGAAAAACTATATCTATTTCTTTTTGGCCAATTTGATGAAGTACTGCTTCAAAATGGGCAAGTTGGATTTCGCAAGGAGTATTTCTAAAACCGTGGAAGGCAACAAACAGTATAAACACCAGGTGGTGTCCATGTCTCATAATATCGCAACTAAAAAGAATGCAATAACATACTTGTACTACCTTGCAATAATAGCTTTAGATGATGGTGATTTTGTATCGAGCGAAGCAAGATTAAATGAGGCCGTTACATTAATGCATGATTACAACATCAACAATAGACATAGCAAACAAATGCAACAAATTCTACTTATATTGATTCCATTGAAATTATACCTACACGGTAAACTACCGAATGATCGTATCAAGATTTCCGGTTCTGGTTATGGTAAGGGAATACACAGAAAAGATAGTGATTGTATATGGACAAGATTCCCGCTCTTAAAACACGTTTACAAGGATAATTTTTTCCAAGCAATCAAGAAGGGGAATTTTTCGAAATTTGATGAGTGTATCAATACGTTTCAGATAATGCTATTAAAGAATCACTTGTACGTTTTAATGGAATTAATTAGACAATTGGTGCAATTGCAATTGATCCACAAAACTTGGGAAATTTGTCAAGGAATTGAAAGAAACCATATAATTAGTCTAAGTGCTTTTCAAATAAGCTTTGCATTTTCAAATTTTTACAATGAAGAATCTTACAATAGAGGTTCATTTAGAATGGATGCATTTATTGACAACATCAGCATTCTCGAAATTGAAACCATTATCGCTAACTTGATAAGTCAGGGTAAAATCAATGCATATATCAGTAATGGTCAAAAATGTATTGTTTTTTCAAAAACAAACCCATTCCCCGGTATTACTGATAAAAGAGTTGCAAGCTAGAAAAAAAGAAGAGGGAAACAAGAAGAAACCCAAATTCATACTTCAAATCATTCATCACATTTGTTGTATTTCTTCCTTTCATTTTTTTTTTTTTTTTTTTTTTTTTTTTTTTTTTTTTGTTTTTTTGTTTTTTGCAAAATCTAAACAGCTAAACGAGGTTTAATAAATCTATCAAAATCAAGCGCATTCTTGTCCTTTTCTGGAACTGATACATCTCTTTGATCAATCATAAATCTACCAAAGTAATCATCAACTTGCTTCAAACCTGTTTCCGAAAACTCAGAAACTTGAGCAACGTGGCTATCTGGTCTAACAACAAGAATAGCACCTTCTTTCTTAGAAATACCGTATGTTTCATAAAGATCAAATTGATGACCACTTTGGTGAAGTTTTCCAACACCAGCAAGTATCGACCAGTAATCAACGCGGTTTTTGAAATCTTCACGTCTAGCAAATTCTGGAAACTCGTAAAACTCAACATCGTTTCTCTTGGCAGCATGAACAACAAGAACTTCGATAACTGAGTTGGCAAAAGCATTCTTTGGTGTGTATTTATTGGCAAATGACTCGGAGGACAAAAGAGGGCCATTAAATTCATGTAATCTCTTCATATTTTCAGGGTATTGTTTAACATCTCCTGCAAAGAGAATAACTCTGAATCTACCATCTGAAGATAATCGGTCTGCAAAATGCCATGGTTTGTGGTCAATTTGACCTATCGACCAGTCACTGAATAATCTCCTACCAATTGGTATTTTTGATGCAAGGGGACTGAAAACTCCTTTTTCTTCTCCTTCTTCTTTTTCCTCTTTTTCTTCCTTTTCAGTATGCTTAAGGCCCTTCTTGTTAACCAATATGGAATCATCATAATCAGAAATGGTTCCACTTGCAAATTTTAAGCCTTGTACCCAAACACTATGAAACTCATCCATATCGGCAATATCAGTCTCACCCTCTATTACTTTAGCATTTGGAATCATTGGTTTATTACTAAACAATCTCGAGAGTTTGTGATCAAATGCAATTAGATCACGAGCAACCTTGATTCTTTCATCCTCATAAGTTTGTAAAATGTCTTGTTTAGCTAAACCTTTACAAACTAAAGCCAATTTGAAACCCAAATTATAAGTATCTTGCATAGAAACATTCATACCCTGGCCGGCTTTTGGCGAGTGAGTGTGGCACGCATCACCTGAGATAAACACACGTAAATTCCTTTCAAACTTTGGAGAAACTCTTTGTCCAATTTGGTAAGCAGTATACCAACTCAAATTGGTCATTTCTAGTTTGTATGGTGCAATAATTGCTTGAGCTTGCTTCATAATGGATTCTGGAGTAATCTTGGATCTGTCAATTCTACCTTTCTTTTTTGCGTTTGGATCGTCACAATTTCCCATGAATTCTCTTGGAACATCAGTAGTTCCAGCATCTCTCTCAACTTCCTTTAGTTGGATATAAAACCTCACCAAATCAAACTCTCTAGGAATAATCATCATTGAACCACTTTCTTTTGAATGAATGGCATTTTTAGACCTAATATCTGGGAAATCAGTAATTGGCGAAATATCAAGAACACCCCACACAAAATCAGTATGCTCACCTTCCATACCAATTTCCAATTGCTTCCTAACCCAAGAGTGGGCACCATCAGCACCAAGGACATATTTAGCGTGAATCAATTCAAAATCCTTCTTTTCACTTTCTTCAATACTGGAGTTGTAAAATTTATCTTGATCACCGTCAAAAGCTCGGTATAAACCATTAGCAATTTGACCATATTGTTCGGGATTAGCCAAGTCTTCATTCACTTTTTTAACCAAGACTTCAACTGCATAGCTGTGGGCATCATCTTTGGCATTTTCGTCAATCTTAATAGAAACTGGTAAGTAAGGACGTTCAACTTTTATTTTTCCGTCGGAAAAATGCGAAATAGATTCATCAAACCATTTTTCAACGTTACCCTGATTAATCACAGATTCAGTATATCTCGAGATTCCAGGCAAAGTATCGGGAGCTCTCGCTTTTCTAGTTATAGTTCCATTCTCGTCTGGTGACCAGAATACCATCTCTTCCATCTGGTTAGCAACTCTCCATGCCGAGTCCATAGTTTGCCAATCAAAATGTTCTTCACTAAATGACTTAAAGATCTCTAGAGATCTGGTTTGTAAACCATCAGCTTGACCGGTGAAAGTTTTGTTTGATCTCTTGTCAATGATTCGCGTAGGAATACCGCATCTAGCCAACCAAAGAGCACACATGTACCCCGAGGGACCAGCTCCGATAATCAACACATCAGTATAAGATTCTTTGATTAAGTTTGTTGAAGGCATTTTGCTTTCTTGAGATATATAGTTTTATTAAAAGGAAAAGGATTAAATCAGATAGGTTCTTAGAATAAAGGAGAATGGTGTGCTTTTCAATTTATTATATATAAAGTTTTGCAAATAGTACATCTCAGTAAACACAGAAGGGGACAAGATGTTGGGTGGGCAAAGGGAAAGAAGAACATACAAAAATAACGCAATCACTACTACTACTACTACTACTACTACTACTACTACTACTACTACTACTACTACTATTACAGCAGCAGCAGCAGCAACAACAACAACTACTCCTACTACTACAACAACAACAACAACAACAGCGCATTCATTAATCGAAGCTCGATAAAAATGTAAATGTCGTGTAAAAACTTTTCTAGGTTCAAGGTTATGAAGGTTATGAAAGTTATGACAGGTAAATCCGATGCATCTCCGATGAAATCGTGTACTTTTTCTTTCTTTTTTTTCTTCCTTTTCCTTCCTTTATATAGAAACACTCGGTAGTTTATTAAATTAGTAAGAAATAATAATGAAAAATGTGTGGGGTATTTCGGAAAAAGAGAAAATATATAAAAGCTTCAATGATAATTAACCCCTTTTTTTGACTAATCCATACAATTATCCTTCTTGAAGGTAGGAGAATAAGTCTTTTAGTGTAACGAATTCACACATTCTCGAAATTATACCTATCACTGCGTACGTTAATATATTTTTAATATATTACTTAAAAATTAGTAAGATTATATATTTTCTTTTGACAATTGGTTCCATTCTTAGGAAAAGGTTATGTTCTTTACTTTTAGGTTGGGATAATGCTTATATATTCATACTTTCTGATAGACGAATAGCTAGATTCGCATAAATAATACGCCCCTCACCCTTCACCCTCCCCTCACACCATATTCACTCGTACACTCGCGTGTTTGAGTGCTATTTTCATTGGACAAACCAGGAGCTTTTTTACACATTATGTTGGTTCCAAAAACGCAAAGCCAAATAAATAAATAAATAAATAAAAAAAAAACACACAATTCAACGAGTTTTTCTATTTTATTTCATTTTGCAGAAATATAAAAATAAAAAAAAAATGTAAAAAGATTGATTATCGGGTTAGAAAACTCATGCTTTGTACACTTATTGCTTGACGTAATTCGAAGGGAATACACCTTGGACACCGTTGTATTTTCCCAACCACCAACCAGGATCATCTTTGTTAATAACTTCAATTGTGGCACCTGCAGGGAACGACAAGTCACCTTGAACCTGGGCAGTGTAATCATATAATGCAATACAAACTTCTGGAGATGTTGGAGGTGGAGTGCTGATGTAAGCTGGTGGTGCGGATAAACCCGCTGTTTGCCCAAAAGCCTGTTGCGATGGGTAGGCCTGTTGTTGTGCCCCAGATGGAGATTGATAGCTATAATTGCCAGCTGATGCTGATCCTGCCGCTGCCGCTGTTGTTGGTGTTGTTGGTGACGCATAAGGGGTGCCTTTGTAATCCGGATTGTATCCCTCATGGTTTTCTTGATAAGTCGGAAGTTCATGAGACGATGTAGGACTATTGGATGATGCAGCATGCCGTTTTTTAGCCAATTCCAATTTCGACTTTGCATGGCCAACTTTGAAATGGGTAATAGTAAGAGCGTCAGTTTTTTCTTCAATGTCTCCCTTTTTCAATTGATAAGCTTCAACAATGTCTGGTGATATGTTGAAATAAGGGATTTTCATCTCTTCCAAGGTGGTGTACATTTGATAGAATATATTTAATTGCATATAGTAAAACAGCACAAACAAAGGGCTGATGAAGTCACTTTGCTTTTGAAACAAAACAGGAAGTTCATTCTTCAACATTTCATTATAGTAATCGAATTCTTGTTGAGCAACCTCGACTTCTGCTTGAGCATTATACAATTTCTCTTCATCTTTCACTGATTTTTCCTTCTTCAGCTCATACTTTGCATACGTTCTTTTGTGTCTATCCAAATCCAATTGCTTGTGATCTCTTTTGGTGGCCATTTTTCTGATTGCGGCAATAATCGTCAATAGTTCCTGTGCAGGCTCAACAATTCTTTTTTCTATCAACTCCAAATCCGGTTTCAAGGTTTCCTTCAAGGAGTTGACCAATTCTCGATACTGTTCTGCTGCTTCTATACCCTGTGGATTATCCTCGGGCACAGTAAAAGAGGGATCGGATAATTTACCACTAATTGGCTTATAGATCTCTTCAATTGCCTTGGAAAACTCAATTTGATCTTCAAGCATACCGCTAATTGCCTGGAAATATTTTTTGGACTCATCACTCAATTTCTTAGTTTCTATTTCAATCTCTCTGAATCTTCTTTCGGCATCTTGATAAACTGGGTCTTGAGTTATTTCTCCCATATTCATTTTTTGACGGAAAGTCTGCGGAGCTCGCACAATAGACTTTTTGATACCTTTGAACGACATACTTTCTCTCCTTAGCTCTTGCTGTTTCTGCTGTTTCCTTTATTGCTCTTGTTGGTCGTTGTTGGTCGTTGTTGTTATTGGCAGAAGAAAAAAAAAGTTATCGCTAATAAAAATTGTAAAGAGATTCTTTTTTTCCAAAGAGGATTTTTACTTACAACTGAGCCAACTACTGGGAGACGGCTGGAATGGTCTATCACAGTAGATCATGTGCCAGTGCTATTGAAGGTGAAATTGGTAATAGCTTGTAAATAATAGCACTTTATTTTTAGTTATCAACTCTATCGACTCTATCGAACTATCGACACTATCGACACTATCGACACTATCTTGCTTCGCTCGATAGTGGAGCAGCACTGACTACTACCGAGTTAAGTCTATGAAAGATTAGACATAGAGAATGCTAAGTTTATAGAGAAGATAAGATATAAAGGTTAAGTTTATAAAAGATTACAAGCTTTTAATTGTCTGATTGATCAATTTCAACACTCAATGGGAAAAAAAAAAAACTAATTCTAGTAACTTCCCTCCCAAAAGGATCGTTATCTCAACTACTTTATTTTCTACGCTAATCATGGCTAAAAGAGTACACACTGAAACCCAGATCGGGAATATTCCTTCCAAGTAAAGAGACGACACTATCGAGCAGAGCGAGATAGTGGAGTATACTAGCTCTTAACACTATCGAGCAGAGCGAGATAGTGGGGCATATTAGCTCTTAACACTATCGAGCAGAGCGAGATAGTGGAGTATACTAGCTCTTAACACTATCGAGCAGAGCGAGATAGTGGGGCATATTAGCTCTTAACACTATCGAGCAGAGCGAGATAGTGGGGCATATTAGCTCTTAACACTATCTCGCCCTGCTCAACAGTGGAGCACAGTAACTGCCACCAACACTATCTCCACTATCTCGCCCTGCTCAACAGTGATAGGATGAAAAACTCATTCATTGGAAAGTCTGAAGAGAGAGTAGACATAGACTTCCTCGCTCTGCTTGATAGTCTAGAGGGTACTTCAGTAGTAAGAGTTTCTTTTCCCTCTCTTCCACATAAGTGCTGCTCCACTATCTCGCTCTGCTCGATAGTGTCAGTAGTGCTGCTCGATAGTGTCGTTGTCGGCTCCGTTATCGCTGTATTTCTCAATACAGTAATTTTTCCGTTCTTTTTTTTACAACCAAAAGCTTCCTATTAAACGCCTTCTATTAAGCACCGTTCCATCAAACGCATCAGATTGAAAGGGTAGTATAAGCAATGGTTTCAAAAGTTGGTCCATGGCAAGCAATGATTACTACTCTGCTTTCATTGACCCTAATACCGCTAGCTTTTCTTCAGTCCTTGTATTCGGATTATCCAGGACAATATGTTTTCGATAGAGCCTACTATTTAGCAGACAGATACATAATTCACAGCCCCTTTTGTGTGCTTAGTAAACTCAAATCAAAAAGAGTCAACTACACCCACAACGGGTGTCCAATGCAGAGATATGAAGGTTATAATGCGTATCTAAGATACAAGCTCCGCATTTGTCATCAGCCTGCTCCAACAACTATTGATTCTTTCACCAGATCAACAACCGATCCAAAGTATATCGAGCAAGTCAAACTGGCAATTCAAAAGATTTTGCCTTCTAATCACGATGACGGCTCTTTGGCACCGGTGATCTTGAGATTGGCATGGCATGCTTGTGCAACCTATGATAGCCAAACTAAAATCGGCGGATCGAACGGCGCTACCATGAGGTTTATTCCCGAGATCAATGATGAAGGTAATATGGGGCTCGAAATTGCACGGGCAGCTTTAGAACCGATTAAACAAAAGTTTTCCAAGATTACTTATTCGGACTTATGGACCTTGGCAGGGAAAGTTGCAATTGAATCCCTAGGTGGCCCGTATATCCCTTGGTTTCCTGGAAGGTATGACTGTCTTGATACCAAATATGTACCACCTGCAGGATTATTACCGTTTGGGGACAAAGCAGCTAACCATATTAGAACAACATTTACTAGATTAGGGTTCAGTGATCAAGAAACAGTTGCTTTAATAGGAGCTCACAATCTTGGTCGATGTCACAAACACATTAGTGGCTGGGAAGGAAAGTGGACTAGAGAACCCCTCCAATTTTCATCAGAATTTTTTAAAGCTCTTGTCCATGAATCTTGGCACCAGGGTGAAGTACCGGAAACAGGGAAAACTCAATATTACAACGAAGATGGCACTTTGATGATGCTAAATACAGATATGGAGTTAATTAGAGACCCTTCGTATCGAACATGGGTCATGGAATACGCTAAAGATGAAGAAAAATTCTTTGTTGATTTCTCCAAAGCATTTGCTAAACTATTAGAATTGGGCATTGAACGAGATGAATATGGAAATGTAATTTTTAAAAAAAATTTATAACTTCTTTACCTACAATGAGTACAAACAGAAGATAAAAAGAAAGAAAAAAAAAGGGGGAGTGATTATCAGTTATACCACATCATACATAATAATCATCTTACATTAAGATACTGGTTGTGGTGAGCGTATATGGGTATAAATTTTTTTTTTTGAAAATTTGTGTAATCGAATGATTATCTTAAAAAAAAAAAATTAAAAAAAAAAAAAAAAAAAAACAGGTGAAGATTCCGGAAAAGCAATACCGCGGTTGGGTTATCGTATTCTTTTTATTCAAGCAAAAATACTTGATTTACTTTATACAAGGGTGGAGGACCAAATCTTCATCTAGAAACAAAGAAGAGCTTTTACTTAGAGACAGAGACATTCCGGAGAAATACACACACATACACATTGATTCAGTTCCTTTATGATTCCGTCACTTGAAAAATATGATGTGAGTCCCCAGTGGGGATTTCTTCCCTCTTCATTACCACTCACTAGACTTCCACAAAAGTATTATGAGATTTGGGAGACTATTGCTGACAATTTACCTTCTTTGATATTGACTAAAAAAATACGGCAAACTGTTGACGACAAATTACCAGTATTGAAGACGGACTTGCTTTCAAATGAGGGTGAGTATAGAAGGGCCTATCAAGTATTGGGGTTTATAGGACATGCATATATATGGGGCACGGATACTCCAACAGATCGGCTTCCTGCGCAAATTGCAGACCCCTGGATAGAAGTTTCCAAAAAATTAGGTTTGCCACCAGTGGGGACGTATGCTTCGTTGTGTCTTTGGAATTTTAAACAGATTTTTCCAAGCGACGATATATGGGACTTGGATAATCTTACTACGATCAACACATTTACAGGGTCAATTGATGAAAGCTGGTTTTACTTGGTGAGTGTTTATTTTGAACAAAAGGGATCGTTGGCGATTGCTACTGGAATAGAAGCATTGAAAAGTGCCGATAAAAGAGATTACAAAATGTTGATGAAACATTTGGAGCAATTGGCTGAGGCAATTGATATGTTGGGTACCGCATTAATGAGAATGGAAGAAATGTGCGATCCGCATATTTTCTACTTTAGAATCAGACCATATCTTGCTGGTTGGAAGAATATGTCCAGTGTAGGATTAGAAAAGGGGGTCTATTATGGAAATGAAGCCACACCAAGAAGCTATGCTGGTGGCTCAAATGCACAATCTTCATTAATACAATTTTTTGATATAATACTAGGTATTCGTCACTATGCAACTGGAGATTTGAAAACGGACAGTTCGTTCATGAATGAAATGAGAAAATATATGCCTCAGCAGCACCGCGAGCTCCTTGAGGCTCTTGAACCATACTCAAGAACTATCCGTGAAACTGTTGATTCGAAAAAAGACCCAGCGCTTACGCTTGCTTTTGATGCATGTTTGGCGATGTTGAAATCATTTAGAGATAAACATATACAAATAGTAACGAGATATGTTGTTCTTCAAGCCAAAAAGATTAACAATATGGGATCGGGCACTACACTTCGGTCGGGATTAGCTAGAAAGAAACAAAACGGAGAGGAAAAAGGTACTGGAGGTACATCGTTACTTCCATTTTTAAAACAGTGCAGAGACGAGACTGGTAACGCAGCTGCTGGAAGTTGGGGAAAGAGAATCCTCACTGATGGAGTCTTGCGTTTGAAGTATTCAAAACCCAATGGAATTAATGAGGATGAATAGCAGTAGAGGATGATGTTTCTGTATGGATTGTAACTAGATGACATGTAGATGCAACTTGCTTAAAAATGATATGCTCACCTAGACTGGTATGGTCAGATTGATAATGTATACTACCACATCTGTTATGCTCTACTCTGGTCTGCTCTGGTCTGCTCTGGTCTGCTCTACTCTGCTCTGCTCTGCTCTACTCTGCTCTGCTCTACTCTGCTCTGCTCTACTCTGCTCTGCTCTACTCTGCTCTACTCTGCTCTACTCTGCTCTACTCTGCTCTGCTCTACTCTGCTCTGCTCTGCTCTACTCTGCTCTGCTCTGCTCTGCTCTGCTCTGCTACATTTAGAAAAAAAAAAAATCTTCAATATTGAAAAATCTTCAAGATTGAAAAACCTTCTTTTCACTATTTTCCACTTTATCCAGTGAATGATAAAACGATTGTTTTCAACAACGATGGTCAAAAAGGTAAAGGCACAGGAGTTTCTTCTTAAGACCCCTAAGGGTACAAAAGATTGGGCTGATAAGGATATGGTTATCAGAGAGTCCATTTTCAATAAGTTATCGACGATTTTCAAAAAGCATGGAGGTGTCACCATTGACACGCCAGTTTTTGAATTGCGGGAAATTTTGACAGGAAAATATGGTGAAGATTCGAAATTGATATACAATTTGGAAGATCAGGGCGGGGAGCTCACATCGCTTCGGTACGATTTAACTGTTCCATTTGCTCGATTTGTTGCATGTAATAATCTAAGCACCATTAAAAGATACCATATTGCCAAAGTTTATAGAAGAGACCAACCTGCAATGACCAAAGGTCGAATGAGAGAGTTTTACCAATGTGATTTTGATATAGCTGGCAACTATGATGTGATGGTTCCCGATTCTGAAATTTTGAATATTTTATGTGAAGGGTTAGTTGGGTTGAATATTACTGATTTCAAAGTCAAGTTGAACCATCGGAAGATTTTAGATGGTATATTTGAAGCTTGTGGTGTTCCCAATGCCGATATTAGAAAAGTGTCTTCTGCGATTGATAAATTGGATAAATCCCCATGGGATGTAGTGAAGAAGGAGATTTTGGAAAAGGGACAAAGCGAGGAGGTTGCTGATAAGATTTGGACATTTGTTCAACACAGTGGGTCAATTAGAGAAATTATACAGGTGTTGAAGAATAGTGGATTGGACAATAAATCGGCAAGCGAAGGTATCAAGGAAATGGAAATTCTAGCTGAGTATGTTGAAGCTTTTGATATTCAAAATTATTTGAGCTTTGATTTGAGTTTAGCTAGAGGTTTGGACTATTACACTGGATTGATTTACGAAGCTGTCACTTCCGCATCTGCTCCACCAAAAAATGCTAGTGAATTAAAGAATAAAGCTATTGAAAAGCGGAAAAAAGGTTCTTCTTCACAGGAAGGTGAGGGAAAACAACAAGAGGTTGAGGAAGAGGAAGATGCATCTGCTTATGTTGGTGTTGGATCAATTGCCGCTGGTGGTCGTTATGACAACTTAGTAGGGATGTTTGCCAATAACAAATCGATACCATGTGTTGGTATATCGTTTGGTGTTGAGAGATTGTTCTCCATTATAAAACAACGTGTTGATTTGAGTAAATTGAGTCCCCAACATACAGATGTATATGTCATGGCATTTGGTGGTGGTGAAGGATGGAATGGATTCCTTAAGGAGAGAATGCAAATCACAAACAAATTATGGAAAGCAGGTATTAATGCTGAATATGTGTACAAGGCAAAAGCAAATACTCGAAAACAATTTGACGCGGCTGAAAAATCTGGTGCTAAATTAGCTGTTATTTTAGGTAAAGAAGAGTTTCCTGAAGGTAAAATAAGGATCAAATTATTGGGTCTTGGTGAAGAAAACGAAGGAGAAGTGATTTCAGTTGATGATTTGATTCCGCTGGTCAAGAAAGAGTTGAGCAACTTTGATGTTTACGATGTTACTGCTTTGCTTGATAACAACTTGTAAAAACCCCCCTCCCCCTTCCCCCTTTTCCCAGAAAAATAAGAATGAATGAATGATTGAATGATGGAAAGGATGAGAGAATAAAGAAATTTGTAGATACAAAACAAAACAAAACAAAAAAAGTTAATATAAACTGAGTCCTGAGTCTGTAAAAGGTTAATTGCCTACTTTTATTGTTATTATTCTTTTTTTAATTTTGATTCTCATCGAGTTTTGCTATCTTGTGCCCATGTTTTTCTTTTCCTTGTCTTTTAACCCTGTTCCATAATAAATTAACGTCATCAAACACAAATGACCATAAAACACCACACCAGCTCTTTACTTGAGGCAAGGGTTCATAAAACTCCGGTGCCATTGCTCGGAGTGCTGGTAATTTTGTCCATGCGATATATGGAAAATCGTGGTGTTCATTATGGTATCCTACATTCCATGTCAACAAGTTCAATGAGCCATAATAGGAGTAAGTTTCTGGTGGAGCAGGGATGATATTACAACCATCAATTATTTCCAGATTTCTTGGACGATTATTTTCGTTCAATACGTAATGTTCAGCTATGAAATGGCCAGCACATGGGTGTAATGATCCTGCCAAAAAAGAGCTTATTGGGAAATATAAGAAACTCTTGATGCCAAATGATTGAATCCAGATATAGTCAAACAATACTTGACTAATAACATTCAACAAATGGATATAAGTGAATTTGATCAGGGTAATGAACATCGGCCTCAATGCATAGAAAAAGATTTGACAAGTTGCGAAAAACGCTTTTCCTAGTAAGTTGGATAAAAATATTCCTTCGTATCTAGTAGGTAAATCGGTATCCAAATATTCGTCACCCATAAACTTGTGATGTAATTGATGGTAGGGTTGGAAAGAAGCCAGGTACGGAATACCGATGGGTATGTTTGTAAATATAGCGAACAACTTATTATGAAATGGTTTCTTGAATAACAAGTTATGACTCAACTCATGAATGGCGAGGAATATAGCTTGATTTGAAGTAGCGCCAATTATGTATGCCAATAAAAAGTATTTCCAAGATAACACGGGCGTGTTTCTCAAGTAATAGGCAACGGAACACTGCAAAGCTACTATAGCCATAACATACCACTTGGTCTTTGGCTCCCATCCAGTCAACTTTGTTACATCTTTGTACTTTGCAAGTATTTGTTTCCTTCTCATCACGTGTGGTTCCAAATCATTTGTCCAATAAAACTCATTGAGAACTTCTATTGGAGCGTCGGCTTGCGGCGTAGAGAATGTAAACGTCGTATCGCAATGTCTATGCTTTATAGGAGCGTCCATGACTTTAGTTTTTTTTGTTCCTTTCTTCCCTTTTGGTTCCTTTCTTCTCTTTTTAGCCCCCTTTTTTTTCCTACTGGCTTGTTCATGAACTGAATATTAAAAACGAGCGCTTTGTTTGCATCTTCACTTTGGTTTTATATACATTTTTTTTTTTTATTATAAAATTTTAAAAAAATCAAAATGCCGAAGATCATCCCATATTGACATGAAAGGCTTCTGGTTATGCAAAAAAAAAAAAAAAAAGAGAGTACGTCGTTTAAGAACCAACACCATAGCCACCAACACCCGCACTCAGTATCCATCAATAATATAGCCACCAACACTATAACCGCCAATATTGTAACACTACACTATATAAGCATACTCTCTGCTTTTGTCTCTCTCTCTCTCTCTCTCTCTCTCTCTTTAGTTTTTTGATTGCATGATTTTGCAGCTATCATAGAACAAAAACCGTTTTTTTAATACGACAAATAAATAAAAAAATAAAAAAAAAAGAATAATTATATCGAGATCTATAGCTACATCAAGTTACGCCAGGTAGTCTTAAAAGTGAGCAAGTCACTGGGTTCCATCAAAGGAATGCACATCAAACATTTATTTATTTATTTATTTTGGAACCCAGGTCTTTGTCGTTTTTTTTTTTATTAACAAGTAAGAAGAGCGTGGAGGAGGGCAAAGGGAGGTTTTGTTGTTGTTGATAATGATGATGATAGGAATAAAAAAGTTCCGCTACCAAGTGTCATTCCATTTTTGGAAAAGTTTGTAATTCCAATGGCAAACACTGTAGAGCAATGAGTTTTGCCATCAAAAGAGATAAAACTCGTGAGGGAACTTTAAAAGTGTGATTTTTTTTCTTATAGACTGCTCTTTGAGGAACTTGGGAACCGCTTGGGAACTTCTTGGGAACGCTCTTTTGGAACTGCTTTTTTGTACTGCTCATTTGTGATAAATAACCAGTATGTCTCAAGACGCCTCTAAGATTCAAGTTTACGTATACGATTTATCTCATGGGTTAGCAAGACAACTTAGTCCTGTTATATTAGGTTTCCAAATTGACGCCATTTACCATACTTCGGTAGTTGTTCGCGGCAAGGAATATTACCTCGATCAAGGAATACAAACAATTCCTGTAAACTCAGTTGCCCATCCCAAATATGGCCAACCTATAGAGATAATCGAAGTGGGGGAGACGTTTGTTGACGATAGTATTCTACAAGAGTTTATCAACGATTTGAACAACCATGATGAGTTGAAATACCATGCAATGAAGTATGATTTATTCACAAATAATTGTAATCACTTTACAAACACGTTAATTGAGTTCCTTTGTGACTCGCAATTGGAAGAGAGGATTTTGAAATTGCCTGATTTGGTATTAAACAGTCCCGCGGGGCAAATGTTGAAACAGTTGATTGAAAACAATGCATAAATGAGTGGCGACACTATCTACACTATCGAGCAGAGCGAGATAGTGGAGCAACACTGACTACATTGACACGCCAACACTATCGAGCAAAGCGAGATAGTGGAGCACACTGACTACACTGACACGCCAACACTATCGAGCAAAGCGAGATAGTGAAGCACACTGACTACACTGACACGCCAACACTATCGAGCAAAGCGAGATAGTGAAGCACACTGACTACACTGACACGCCAACACTATCGAGCAAAGCGAGATAGTGAAGCACACTGACTACACTGACACGCCAACACTATCGAGCAAAGCGAGATAGTGAAGCACACTGACTACACTGACACGCCAACACTATCGAGCAAAGCGAGATAGTGAAGCACACTGACTAGCTGCCACCGACACTTAGTAGCTCGTTACAACACTATCTCGTTCTGCTCGATAGTGTTGCTCGACAGTGGAGCTCACTGACTACACTGATACACCAACACTATCGACACTATAGTCATGCACACTGACTAGCTGCCACCGACACTTAGTAGCTCGTTACAACACTATCTCTCTCTGCTCGATAGTGTTGAGAGCTAGTGCTCACGCTACCAACTGTTCAAGAGAAGAAAGATTTTGGTGGTTCACAATTGATGGAATAGATTATTTACTTGTTTTACATTCGATAGTGTCTATACTCGGTAGCTTGTTACAACACTATCTCGCTCTGCTCGATAGTGTTGCGAGTAAAATTATTTCTGGGGACAGTTGAAATGTTGAGTTATTATTTGTATTGGCTATCTAGGTTATTACAATCTGTGCTAGTTGTCTAGGTTATTCCCGTTTGGCTTGGTGCTCTGGTTTTTTACAATTTTGCATCTGGCTTGCTACCTTTTTTTTTGATCAAGGAGACAGACTTGTAGAATAGTTTTATCAACAAAATTTAAAATATCAAATTCAACATACCAGATAATAGTGTTTATCATGTTTGCAAAACTTTGCTATAAATGCAAACCAACGTGACTCCGCCATATCTTGACTCCTGAGGAGAGTAATGGTCCAGAAAAATGGTCCAGATTAATGGCCTAGAGTAATGGCCTAGAGTAATGGTTCAGAGTAATGGCCTAGGGAGTCGCTAGTCAGTGCTACTCCACTAGCTCACTTCGCTCGATACTGTCAGTCAGAGCTACTCCACTAGCTCACTTCGCTCGATACTGTCAGTCAGAGCTACTCCGCTAGCTCGCTTCACTCGCTAGTGTCAATCAGTGCTGCTCCACTAGCTCGCTTCGCTCGATACTGTCAGTCAGAGCTACTCCGCTAGCTCGCTTCACTCGCTAGTGTCAATCAGTGCTGCTCCACTAGCTCGCTTCGCTCGATACTGTCAGTCAGAGCTACTCCGCTAGCTCGCTTCACTCGCTAGTGTCAATCAGTGCTGCTCCACTAGCTCGCTTCACTCGCTAGTGTCGCTCTTGATAAGAAGTCGTGTGCTGTGCAAATTTGGAGCAGATTTCAATTTGCAACACTTTGTTTCAACCAGACAACCAAAACCAGTTTATACTAGATTGATATATCACAGTGTAATTACTTTGATTCAATTCTGAGTAAGGAGTCAAGTTGGAAAGAGGAGCGAATGTTTACTTCTTTTCCGGTTTAAAAGGTTTGACTATTGAAGAAATATGGGCGACTCTTTTAATGTATGTTTATATCCATGTGTTACCTATCACACACATTTAAACACATACACCTACTAACCTCATTCCAGGCAATTGATCCGTTTAATTTGTATGATTCAAACACTAATCAGCAAAATAATACCTCATCTAGTAATCATGTAGATCCCAATCAACTCAACACCAGAATCAATTATTTTGCAAATATCGATTTTCGAAGAAATGTGCCATTGAATCTGCTGCTGCTGTTACAGCAGCAACAGCAACAACAGCAACAGCAACAACAACAACAACAACAACAACAACAGCAGCAGCATGAGTCTGAACAACCACTTGGACACCAACAGTACCAATCTCCGCCAATTTCCTCACAATACCAATACCCATTCCACCAGCGCGATTTTACTTCCAAGAAGATTTGGAATACTAATACCAACGCTAATGTCGGTATCGGTGTTGGTGTTGGTGTTGGTGTTGGTGTCGGCGTCGGCGTCGGCGTCAGTGCTGGAACAGGAACAGGTGCCACAACTTCACGTTTGCAACTGGAAAATATCTCATTTCAACATTTGGACCCTATCAAAGAACAATTTAGCAGTACTAATTTTTTTAATGATAGCAATACAATGGAGGAAACTTCATTTGATTCTATGAAAGTTGGTGATTCAAGGATAAATACTCCACATTCTTCTCAACTGTCAAAAAACTTGCTGCAGTCGGTACTTCAGCAGCTGCAAAATCCAACAAGTAGCAGTGGTGGGAACAAGTATATGAAGAATTCTTTGTTGAATGCTCCGAGTTATGTACCTATGCAATATGGTGGCGGATCAGTAGGAAGTGGTTTCAAAAACCATCCTAGTGGTGCATTGTCGAGCGGAGCAGGGACAGCAACAGCAGCAACATCAACATCAACATCATTGACACCCAACACGAATAGATATGGAACGGAAACAGAAAAGAGTAAAGAACCTGATTATTGGAAAGAAGAGCTAAGTAAACTAAAGAGCGAATTACTTATTAAGAATCAGATAATCAAGAATTTGACTGATCAAATTAATTTAATGAATAAGCAAAGATCAAACAAGAAATACATTGAAGTTAAAGAAAGTCAATTTGGTGGTAACGATCCTTCTTCTTCAATTTCACTGCAAACCATATTCCATGTCCCAACTAACCATTATCAATTATTTCAAGATTTGTCCAAGACACTTCAAGAAAAAATAGTTGAATTAGACGAGACAAACGAACGATTGGAAATTCTTTTGGTTTCACAGGATTTAGTTCGAAAACAAGGTGGTGCTACAGGGTATAATATAGAACAATTGAGTCAAAATTTGTTATACAAGTTGCAGAACTTGCAACAAGAGAATGAAGAATTGATCAGGATGGTGAGTATAGGGAGTAAGTCTAGTTTATTAGTTGAGAATGGGATTTTGAAGCATCAAATTAAGATGTTGAAGAAGAAATTAGGTCAGAACGTTGACGATAATGAAGATTAAGAAGGAAAAATTAAAAAGGTTGAAAGTGGTAAATTGAAAAGTACTTGGATAAAACAAGGCAAGACAAATCAAGATAAAACAAGACAAGAGAAGACGGGATGGGACAGGACAGGACAGGACAGGACAACCCACACACGAGTATATGGAATAACAATGTTGATAAAGTTTGCAATTGAACTTGAAATTGAACTTGAACTTGAATTTAAACCGATTGAAAATATTATTGTAAAAATTATTCAAAGATTTTCTCCAACTGATTTTTAGAAATCGTTCAAGACTATCGAGCAGAGCGAAATAGTCTAGTCTAGTCTGCTCGATAGTCTAGTCTAGTCTGCTCGATAGTCTTTCTTTTATCGACTAGACTTGCTTCGCTCGTCTAGTCTCTCTCTCGATTAATACCCCCCATCATATCGTCTTCTCTCCTCATCCTTCTGTACCCTACTCGAGTTCATCACTTTTCCTTTTGCATTCCTAGTGGTTGTTGCTAAAAATAAAAAAAAACGGGTGCAAAATTTCCAAATCCGACTTTTTTCTTTTCAGGTCAATTTTATTGACAAGGCCTCATTACCAAGATTCGGTTTAGAAAGGTTTTAATTGTTGTTGCATAAGAGGATGAGACCTACAATGGTAGAGATATAATGTCTTTTGAATTAAAGTTTCTTTTTTCTATATATAATGGACAGACTTTTATTGGTTTGCTTTCTTGGCTGTTACGTGTAAGAGTGCATTGTGCATTTGCTTGATCTCATCGGGTAGCGAAACATGAGTAAGGTACTGAGTGTTGCTCCACTATCGAGCAGAGCGAGATAGTGGAGGAAAGGGAAAAGAATAGACTGAAAGATGACAAAATAGACTGAAAGAGTGACAAAAGAATAGACTGAAAGAGTGACAAAATAGACTGAAAGAGTGACAAAAGATAATAGGGTAATAGGGATACAATTGGAAGGTGGGGGATACAAAAAAAAAGACTTTGAAGTTGTAATAACAGGTGGGAAAGAATGAATCGACACTAGTTGCCATCGAAAGTTGATAAATTTCATTTATATTGCTCTTTGTGTTGCTCCTTCCCCCTCCTCCTCCTCCCCCTCCTCCTCCTCCCCCTTCCCCCTGTTTCTTCTCCTTTGATGACTATGTAATGAAAATGTAATAGTTCTAGAATTTCAATACCAAACAGAAAATTATTTACCGGTTTAACTTTTAATGTCACAATTGTAACAGAAATAGAAACAAAGAAAGTAAGAGATTGGAAATAGAAAAAAAAAAAAAAGGAGGCGGAGGAGGCGGAGGAGGCGGACAAAGAAGGGGTTGACCTTGGAAAACAAGTTAACGTCGTTATTGAAAATAGGTGAAAACCTGTTGAAACCAGTGAACCCCCCCCCCAGTAAACTCTACTTGTTAACAGAAATAATTAAATACAATAGCACCACGCTGTTTAAAGTATATTTTTGTTAGTATGGTAACAAAAATACATTGAGGCCTGTTTTACACGTATTCTATTTTTGGTTATGATTCCTTTAATCTGGGATGACTATTATTTCTGTTACTCAATATGTTTAGTTTTAGTAATTTTCTCTCAAGCACATAATATAATGACAATTGCTGATTTTAGAATAAGGGGAGAGAGGGACAGTGAAGGGCGAGAGGGGCAATAAAGGGAGAAAGGAGCAGTGAAAGGCGAGAGCGTTAATTTCGTGACTGGCTAAATTTAAAATATCAACTTCATTATACTTTCCCATATACTTTCCATATACTTTCCATATACTTTTGCTATTATTTGCAGTTGTTTTGCTATCTCCTTCAGATCCCTGTGGTAAAACACGCCAAGAAGTTTAGTCGATAAAAAGAAAGAAAAAAGAAAGAACCTTTTTTTCCGCAACGGTTAATTTTTCACTTTTTTTTCCGATAGCTGATTTACTTTTCAATAGTCTAATCCTTCTTTCATTTGGGAAAGGAAAGACAAGAGTGGAAAGAGTGCTAAGGACTATTTGTGCTGACCAAGGGATAAGCTGTACTGATCTGAATTGACCAAGAGATAAGCTGTACTGATCTAAATTGACCAAGAGATAAGCTGTACTGATCTAAATTGACCAAGAGATAAGCTGTACTGATCTAAATTGACCAAGAGATAAGCTGTACTGATCTAAATTGACCAAAGGCTAATTTGAGTTGACCTGTGCTGATCTGTGCTGAGCTGAATTGAGCTGACCTGTGCTTATCTGAGCTGACCTGTGCTTATCTGAGCTGACCTGTGCTGAGCTGAATTGAGCTGACCTGTGCTTATCTGAGCTGACCTGTGCTGATCTGTGCCGACCTGTGCTGATCTGATCTGTGCTGACCTGTGCTTATCTGACCTGTGCTGACCTGTGCTGATCCGTGCTGATCCGTGCTGATCTGAATTGAGCTTACCTGTGCTTATCTGAGCTGACCTGTGTTGACCTGTGCTGATCCGAGCTGACCTGTGTTGACCTGTGCTGATCCGAGCTGATCTGTGTTGACCTTATCTGTGCTGAGCTGATCTAAGCTGACCGAAAGAACTACCCCTAAATCAACTTTTGAGTCTTATTTTCCTTATCAGTTATACAGCTCAGTCTTAAATACTATTATACAATGAACGCCTATACATCATCAAAAGCAACATTTCGTTTAGAAAAGGAAAAGGTTTTACCAACAACAGACCCCAAATCACCATTTTTCTACAATCTACCACCAAGTGACTCCAAACCAATTGATACCCTTTTGGAGTTTTTTAAAGATTGGAAATATTTCATAAAGTCGGTATTATACTACTTTCAAGAAATCACTTTAGTAAAAGAGTTGGAAGCAAATTTGAATTATCAGCTTATCAGTGCCGTTCAATTCCCAGGTTGCAGAGATTTACCACAACGGATTATTCATGATATCAACTTGAAAAGAGAACCAGCCAATAATAATACACCACCGAAAACTACGCCAACAAAGGAATTGAAAAAAACACTATCTAGTTCTAGCTTAAACTCTATGAGTAGCACGGCTACACATGGTAGTACTGCCTCGTCAGTCTCTACACAAAGTCACGGTCAAGCAACTCCTGCTGGAAATACAAATGCTAATGCAACTACAAGTAGTGGGCAAAGAGTTACACATGAGAAGGGACAGCGACCGGGTTTACTAAAGACCAAATCTAGCACAAATCAATCCTTTTTGAAAAATGCAACTAGCAATTTACACAAGAGAAATAGCTCTTTATCTTCATTAAAAAATGCACCATCGACATCACTGTTGCTGATACCTTTTTTACATCAACAGCTGCATCAACAACAACAACAACAACAACAACAACAACAACAACAACAACCACTACTGCACGGCCTGCACCAACAACTACAGCGACTGCAACAGCAACAGCAAAATGGACAATCACAACAACAGCAACATCAAAGTGGAGGTTCTTTACCTCCAATCTTAACCACTACACAATACACAAATGACGTTAAAATTTCCAAGGGTATGTTTCCTGAGAATTCACTATTCACCAATCTTCCTTCTTTGTTATTGAGTTCTCATCATAGTGCTTTTTCCAATAGTCACAAATTACACAAAGACTTGACAACAAAGCTAATTCCACGGTTGGAAATATTGCTCAAACAAGTATCGCACAAGATCAAAGAAATTAAGGCATCTTTAAGAAATGATGCCTTTGCAAACACAGAATTATCAAAGGAAGTTTCTGAAACGGGACAAGTTGTGAGTCGGTACACAAGTGCTATTGAGCTTTACTGTGGTCCCAACCCTGTCATCAAAGGATCCAGTGTTGAGGATGACGATGGAAGACTTGTTGAAGGTGAAGAATTTGTAGCTTTGGACGATCCATTGTTGTTGAAACTTAAAGTTGATTCAAGATTGAAAGCCCAGTTGATTGCCGAGAATTACATGTTTGCTTCCTATATCAACTTACAAAATATAAGTCGCGAGTTATTCACCTATTTAATCAAGGAATTGAATTGGGTAGTGGATAAATTTGGTAAACTAGATTTTAGTTCCGAGTTTTACCACTATTTAAAAACACAAGTTAGCTCGTCTTCAACCAAGGATTGGGAATATTTTATTAGTCATACACCAGTATTTGTTAATCCGTATGAGACAACTGAAGAAAATCCCCATCGTGAAATTCGAACATTCAAAATGATCAAATTACCATACTCCGATTCAATTCAAAATAAATGTCTTCGATTTGGAATGATGTATAAGAAATCTAAATTGATAAAAAGCTATACTAGATACTTTTATGTTTTATCGTGCAACTATTTGCACGAATTTAAATACGACGAAGAGCTTGCTTCTGCTGCCCAAGGAAAGAAGAATAGTGCCAAAAAGAAAACGATTGGGGGGTTTATTGGTTGCGATGATGAACCTATCAAATCGTATAACTTAAATGACTACTCAATCAGTATCAAGGACGAGCTGTCTTGGAAGTTTGTGTTAACGAAAAGATCGAATAAAAGTAGCAAGAAAACTCTTAAATGCGTTAATGAACAAGATTTCAAATTATGGTTTGAGGATCTTTTTGAGTTGTTGAAGTTTGAAGCTGATCATTATGCAAGATTTGCTTTTATACAAAGAAAAGCAGAACAAAACGGTGGTACAGAGGTCAAACCAAAGAAGAAATCAAATGTAGCTGCTAATTATAACACTGCTGCTCCTGCTGCTACTACTACTACTAATAATAATAATAATAATAATAACAATAATAATAATAATACCTCAGCAGGAGCATTTGCTGCCTCGCAGGGTCTTTCATTACAATTGGACAATATGTCAATGCCTGCTTTATCGGGGATGTTCACCCCAAAGATTGGTACTCCACGAGGTTCACCTAAGAGTCAATCGAATCAGGGTGAGGCTAATCCATTTGAAGAAGTGTTTTCTGACTTACCTCCAAGTAGTAGTACTAGGGCAAGTTCAGTTTCATCTTCGCCTTCACTTACACCAAGGATTTCTTCACCAAATGATTCGATGGCGAGTTTATCTACTTTGAATAAAATAAACACAAACGGGGTAGTTGGACATGAAGATTATTTGAAATTACAACAAGCATTCCTTAAACAACAGGAGGAAATCCTTAAATTGAAGAATCGGGAAATGGAAAATATCGAATTGATTCATCAAAAATTACAGTCCTTACAACTCTCCCAACAGTCTTCACTCGCGAATAGCAACAATAATGGTAATGATCGAAATAACAGTGACAATAGCAATAATTATTATAATAACAGTAGCAACAGTGGCAACAGTGGCAACAGTAGCAACAGTGGCAACAGTATCAATAACAACAATGGGGAAGTAAAACTGGGATTAGATGTTAGGAGAGGGTCAGGAGAGAGTGTTAATTCGTTTGTGTTGCACCATAATTCTGTGCCTTTGACTCAACGAGCCATATCTCAAGTGGATGGTGGTAGTGGTGCTACTACTACTTTTACTTTAGGGGCAGAGAGCAAGGAGAATGTAAGTGATGAGAATGGAGATGGGAACAGAGAAGATGTTGGTAGGAAAATACCTACTGTTTTTGTAACTAGTGACCATTAAAGACAATTTGGTGGTATATTCTTTCTTTTTATAGATTTATAGGAAATGAATGCTCAACTTTTTACACGCAGCAGAGCCAACCATGTTTAAACAAGTTAAACAAGTCTCGTTATTGAATATCAACACCATAGAGCGAAGCGAGATAGTGGAGCAGCACTGTTTAGCAGCATACTTGTATGATTTCCCCCCTCCTTTCTCCCCCCTCCTTTCTCCTTTCTCCTTTTCCTTTTTCCTTTTCCTTTTCCTTTTACCTTTTACCTTTTACCTTTTTCCCCATTTTTTTATACCTCACAGAGTCTCCTACCTGAGCCATCTCTTATAGCAAAATACCCATCCTTATTTGCGCCTTTTTCTCTCTTTGGAGAAGTATACTTTGCCACTTCTCCTTTGTAAAAATTGCAATTTTGCCAAATATAAAATTGCACCAAGCTCTCGAAAGCCAACAAGTCGCAGCGATATAGATTAGCAGCATCGACATTTAATGGAGAATCTGGTTCTGGATGATCCATAAGTTGTAAAACAGCAACTACCAAACTCTGTAAATTCCACGCCGGGCTCCACAGAGACTTGAGTATATCCAAACAAATTTCCCCCAGCTTTATATCTACATTTGGATGAATTATTGAAGTGAGAAAAGTAATCTTTGGTGGTTGTTGAGGATATGAGTGCGGTATTGAGATATTCAAAGTCCATTGGCCTGAATAGTACCATTTTGAGTCGGTTATTGTTGGCTTAGCAATAACAGCATGCCAATGGTATAAATCTTCTGAATCTATAGGATTTAGAGAGATGAGTTGTGCATGTTGTAGACACGGAGGGTTCTTTCTATACTCAAGAAACTCTTTAGATAACCTCTTTAGCGACGGCGACATATCAGGAAAGCTCAAAATTGGTTAATATGAAATTAATTAAAGAGATTTTACTGAAAAGGTCTTGAAAACTCAATACAAATTAAACTATTGTTTTCCTCTTCTATATATATATATTTATATATATACGCTGCCTTGTTTCATTCAACTTATTGAGCTCATCGGAGAACAATTTGATATTTTTATATCAAAAAATTTCCCCAGGAAATTTGATCCTCGGATTATGTAAGAAACTCCCCATTCATTAAGTAACATCGAATTAACTTTGTGTATATCTATTATCTAATGATTAGTCAATCACGGTTAAAATATTTCCCCCCATGTGAAATATCGATCATGAAAAAAAAAAAAAAATGAACAGAGGAATTTCGGTCGTAATTGCCAATTTCTAGAAAAAAATGTGATCTTTTTCAATGTTTCGGGGGTGTTGTCACGTGAATTGGCTATATAATTTACAATTTTTCGAATAATTTTTTTAAAGGTAGTGGTCAGTAATTAACCGGAATTGGAACAATATAGTTTTAAATGATTTAATGCATGGAAGACTTGTTATTACCCCTCCCTAAAAAAACGTACTGCAAGCCGCGGAGTTATTTAAAAATTCGCCCCACTCAATGCCACTATCGAGCGCCACTATCGAGCAGAGCGAGATAGTGGAGCATTATTAAATTGCTCTCTCACCGGCAGCGCTAGCTGCCACTATCGAGCATGGCGCCACTATCGAGCAAAGCGAGATGGTGAAGCACACTCACCATATTTCATTGTACTAAATTGCTATCTCACGGGTAGCTCGCTTTGCTCGATAGTGGAGCACACTCACCATCTTTCATTGTATTAAATTGCTATCTCACCAACGCTGCCTCATTGTCTTCGACATTTTCTCTACATTATCATTATCTCTAAATCTTTACTCACTCTTTTTTCTGCTCGCAGAATTTTGCATTAATTTCTATAAAAAAGAATACAAATTTAAGTATAACTGCAAGTGCTTCACTATGGAGCAGAGCGACATAGTTTCGGCAATGTATAAAAGACCATTTTTACCAGCACATTTGCTAATCCTCTCTCCCCTTTCACTAAATTTACTGCTAAAACTAAAGATTGCTATGATTCAAGAAAAAATGCTCTTTAAAGTTATAGAAAAAAAGAGAGAGAGGAGGGGGGAGGGGTAAGGAGGGGACCTACTTGGTTGACAAGATCACGTGCATTATCACGTGATAACCATTAATAAGTTACTACTATTTAGTAGTACTTGTGTCACGTGATTTAATAAGAGAATTGCGACACTATCGAGCAGAGCGACATAGTGGAGCACACTGCTGCCACCGACACTACTACGAGCAGAGAGAGATGGTGAAGCAACACTTTGTAGCTTGTTGCAACACTATCGAGCAGAGCGAGATTGTGTTGTTCGTTAGTCGAGCAACACTTTGGAGCTTGTTACAACACTATCTCGCTCTGCTCGATAGTGTTGCTCGATAGTGCTGCTCGATAGTGCTGCTCTATAGTGTTGCTCGATAGTGTTGCTCGATAGTGTTGCTCGATAGTGTTGCTTGATAGTGTTGCTCGATAGTGTTGTCGGTGACAAATTTATTCGATTTAATTGGCTCGTCATCGGCATGAGCCTGAACCGCTCCGGCGCGTTTAATATGCAGTCTCTTTCGGAATTTTCAAGAAGCTCTGCCAATTTTTTTTCACAATCATTAGCCTTGACTCATACGAATCATTTGTACACCAGTCATTAAGTATCTATTCATGAGCTTTGCAAATACAACGAGGAGATGCATTCGGAACTTCACAGTCACGGCCACGCGATATGAAGCTTCGAAGCCCAAAACTTTAAAGCTCAACAAGCATTCTGCTGTTGTAACCGAAGACCCATCACAAGGAGCTTCTCAAGCGATGCTTTATGCCACGGGTTTTAATGACGAGGATTTTAGTAGGGCCCAAATTGGAGTTGGGTCGGTTTGGTGGACAGGTAATCCATGCAATATCCATTTAATGGACTTGAATAATATGTGTTCGGAATCAGTCAATAAAGCAGGACTCAAGGCAATGCAATTCAACTCTATTGGAGTTAGTGACGGTATAACTAATGGTACGGAAGGGATGAAGTACTCATTGCAATCAAGAGAAATCATTGCCGATTCTTTTGAAACAATGACCATGGCTCAGTTGTACGATGGTAACATTGCTATTCCAAGTTGCGATAAGAATATGCCTGGTGTCTTGATGGCTATGGGTAGACACAATAGACCAGCAATCATGGTTTACGGTGGTACTATTTTACCAGGCTCCCCTACTTGTGGTGGCTCCAAAACCAATCCAGCAATTGCTGACAAGATCGATATCATTAGTGCTTTCCAAAGCTATGGTCAATACTTATCAAAACAAATCAATGAAGAAGAAAGAATCGATATTGTGAAACATGCCTGTCCCGGACCCGGTGCTTGCGGTGGTATGTATACCGCCAATACCATGGCCTCTGCTGCCGAAGTATTAGGGTTAACCTTACCATATTCATCTTCAGCCCCAGCTGTATCTAAAGAGAAGGCAGCCGAATGTGCTTCCATTGGTGATGCAATCAAAAACCTTTTAGAATTGGATTTGAAACCAAGGGATATTTTGACCAAGAAATCATTTGAAAATGCCATTGTTTACATCATTGCCACTGGTGGTTCAACAAATGCGGTGTTGCACTTGATAGCCATTGCCTCATCTTTTGATATCGAATTAACAGTTGACGATTTCCAAAGATTAAGTGATTCGACACCATTATTAGCTGATTTTAAACCCTCTGGTAAATACGTTATGGCAGATTTACAAAACATCGGTGGTACTCCAGCCGTTATGAAGTTTTTATTAGAAAAGGGCATGATTGATGGTTCTCAATTAACTGTTACTGGTAAGACTATTGCCGAAAACTTGGCCAATGTTTCTGGTTTGCCCGAGGGACAACAAATTATTCACACTTTAGAGAACCCATTAAAACCAACTGGCCATTTACAAATCTTAAAGGGAACATTAGCTCCAGGATCAGCGGTTGCCAAAATTACCGGTAAAGAAGGAACTTATTTCAAAGGTAAAGCTAGAGTATTTGATGAAGAACATGCTTTCATCACTGCTTTAGAGAATGGTGAAATCAAAAAAGGAGAAAAAACTGTTTGTGTAATTAGATACGAAGGACCAAAAGGTGGACCTGGTATGCCCGAAATGTTGAAACCTTCAAGTGCCTTGATGGGCTATGGTTTAGGTAAAGATGTTGCATTATTAACTGATGGCCGTTTTTCTGGGGGCTCGCATGGGTTTTTGATTGGCCACATAGTTCCTGAAGCTGCTGAAGGAGGACCTATTGCCCTAGTTGAGAATGGTGATGAAATCGTTATTGATGCAGATAATAATATCATTGATTTGTTAGTAAGTGAAGAAGAATTAGCTAAGAGGAAGGAGAAATGGTCACCACCGGAACCAAGATATAAAAGGGGTACGCTATTCAAGTATGCCAAGTTAGTAAGTGATGCATCTAAAGGATGCGTTACTGATTTGTGATTGAACAGTAAGACCGTGGAGGAGGTACGCACGCGAGTGGTGTGAGAAAGAAAAAACGATAAAATAATATCGATCTTAGAAAACAAAAGGAATACATACATGTATACATATATCCAGGAAAGGATTCGTCAAATAGAATGCATTTTTTTTTTTCTTTTTTATTTATTTATTTATTTATTTATTCATTGAAATTCATCTAGTCCGAATTATATAATCTTTTCCTGATTTTGTAATGTATCTGACCCAAGGGTATGATTGGTATTGCAATTTAGGCTCATTGATCCGCAAATATCTCACTTGGATACCACTAGTGGTGAAATAAGGTATGCTGAAATTAACCTTGATTGGCTTTTTGTTCAATGCACTTTCGGCTGATTCGTCCATTACTGCGGGTAATCCCAATTCTGCTCTCATTGAAAACAGCTTACCTCCGGGGAAAGTTTTCAATTTCCATACTAAGCAAGATTTTTCGGGAATCCATTTGATTGAACCATACTCTGCTTCTGTTTTGGGGCTATCTGCATCTTCCGGGATTGGTATTATTACTTCGACGTTATTTGCTGTTGATTTTTTCTTGATTTGTGCTTTTACAGTACACTGAATTTCAATTCGTGAATGCTTGTGAACCTTTGTCTTGCACTGGACCAAGATCAATGGTTTTTGTAAAAACTGTGCCAGGGATAGTCTATATGACATTAGTGTAAATTCCCCATCTGGTGGGATAAACGTAATTATTTTTTCATTTTCAAATTTTGATAAGCGAACACATTGATGGAATTTGATATCTTCCATTTCGATATTTTTACCATTGTTGTCCAAGGAAGAGTCGTTATTGTTGCCGGTAAAAATCCCCTTATCATTCAAGCCCAATCTTAAATCCGGCATTCCGCTTAAATGACTCTTGATATTGACTTCGCCCAAGATTTCGCTGTTCAAGACTTGTCCATTTGCAGTGATCAACATGTTTATACTTTCAACGACATCCAAAAACGCTTCATTCTTTTTGTATGTGATACCGTCTTTTCTCCAGCTGACTGCATTTGTCAAAGCATTAGGCGGTGCAACAAGGTGCGTTGGTGTGCTCTTTATCAAGGAGTAGTAATCTTGAGTGATGTACTCTTTTAATATTTTGAAATCAGTAGTTTGAACGATACCGAAATCCATCATTTCGTCCAATAGTTCGTAAATTATAACGAAATTGTCTCTTATACTTTCTTCTTCTAGCGACTTGAAATATTGGGTCATTACTTCGACTAGCTTGGATAGGAAAATGATCACCGTCATGACATTTTCATTTTTACGTGTTAAGGCGCAAATGTACAAGTTGTTGTGGTTGATAAAGACATAGTTTATCCCCTGGTCATTAATGAACGGCTTGTATTCACCATCATCTATGGTATTTTCCAATTCCAAGAGCAACATCGAGAACTTATCGATTGTATTGGGAGGAATGTCCCCCTTGTAGTCTCGGGATAGTAACGGCTTACCCTTTATGTCTAGAAAATGTATCTGCGACACCATTGCTGCCACTATATCAACCTAGCTTCCTAGCTTCCTAGATTCGTTTCCTTACTGAGCTAGCTCTGGTTTGCTGAGTTTGCTGACTTGGCTTTACTTGTTTGATTCCTTGTTTTAATTGAATGAAGAAAAAATTGACTTGAAAAAAAATTCGTGCTGGCGTATCGAGCGAACCAAGATAGTGGAGTAGCACAGTAGCGACACCATCGAGCGAAGCGAGATAGTGAATAGTCACCCACCTCTATGGGCTAACCTATATATCTCATTCCTCGATAGTGAATAGTCACCCACCTCTATGGGCTAACCTATCATTTATAGGCTAACATAGTTTATACTATATTCAATAGAGCAAAGCGAGGTGGCCTCTACTCTACTCTCCTCTCCTCTATTCACTATCTCAGTACTCTACTCTCCTCTCCTCTATACACTATCTCAGTACTCTCCTCTCCTCTCCTCTATACACTATCTCAGTACTCTCCTCTACTCTTTTCTCCAATCTACTCTACTCTCTACTCTCTACTCTACTCACTACTCACTACTCACTACTCACTACTCTTTACTATCTCATTACTCTACTCTACACTATCTCGCTCTGCTCGATAGTGTCGCTCGATAGTGTCGCTCGACAGTGGAGCATTGACATCCACCGATACTGCGACCTGAGTCTTGGAATTACGAATTTGCAGTTACTGTAAAGTAGCTGAATGGAAACAATGTTGGAACTAGTATTAGCAGAGTTTTGCGGCATGGATAGCCAATAATAGCTCCAGAGGATAGATAGCAACAATAGCTTTACAGTATAGATAGCCCTACAGTATAGATAGCCCTACAGTATAGATAGCTCTAGAGTATAGATAACTCTACAGCTTATGTAGCTCTACAGTACAGATAGCTTTACACCTAATATAGGTCTACAGTATAGATAGCCCTACAATTGTATTTAATCGCACTAGACATGTCAACATTTGTTTCAGACATTTTTTCAGTTTTTTCGGATATCCTGACAGCATTTCAGATATTTCGACAGCGTTTCAGATATTTCGACAGCGTTTCAGATATTTGTACAATTGTTCCAGACATTTCTTAGTTGTTCCAAATACCCCGACAGTGATTCAGACATGCCGACAGTGATTCAGACATTTCCACAATTGTATTCAACAAGTGTCGTAACAAACTACCAAGTGTAATCACAAACTACCAAGTGTTACAAAAACTACCAAGTGTTGCTCCACTAGCTCGCTTTGCTCGCTAGTATTCTAGTTGTACTTCTATCCACGGCACACTACAACTTATACCTCTTTATCAACCGTTCCCACCATCAAAATCAATTGATTTCCTCTTATAGCCCTACAATAGATAACCCTACATTAGATAACCCTACAATAGATAACCCTACAATAGATAACCCTACGGTATAGATAACCCTACAATACAGATAACATTACAGTATAGATAACATTACAGCTTGTGTAACTCTACAACTTGTGTAACTCTACAGCTTATATAGCTCCACAGTATAAATAGCTCTACAGTTGTATTCAATCGATTTCTTTTTATAGTCGCTTCAAGTCAAACAACTCACCACTATTGAATATATATTATACTCAATAATAACATCAATTCATTTATATAAATAAGATGTTTTATCTTAATATTTCTATACTTTTAAATTAATATCCAACTATATACAAGACTAATAACTACAATCAAATAAATACTATTAATAAGTTATTATCAACAACTAGTATCTACTATTAATTAGTATTTACTATCAAAAAATGTTTTCTATTAATAAGTTGTTGCCACTACTAGCAACTACTGTTGATAAGTAATTGCCACTACTAGTAATTGCTGTTGATAAGTAATTGCCACTACTAGTAATTACTGTTGGTAAATTGGTGCTGCTCCACTAGCTCGCTTCGCTCCCTAGTGGGTATTCAGTGCTGCTCCACTAGCTCGCTTCGCTCCCTAGTGTCGCTGTGTAGCCGTGTCGCCGTGTCGCTGCCTCGTGTCATTCTAGTCGTGTTTACACGCCCATAATATATTTCTTTTTTTTTTTGCGAGTAAATATGAAACCATAAACAAACCACAAAACAACAATATCTCAAAATCGACCCAGAAATTTTCCAACTAACCTTATACTTTCTTTTTGGGGATTGGGTCCTGGTTTCATAGCTGTTTATCCCTTGTCTAGTAGTGGTATTTGCTGGTAATAGTTGCTGGTTTTTGCTGTTCTTAATTGCTAGTCCTTGGTCCTTGCTACTTACTGCTTACTGCTTACTACACTCGCTCACGTACAATGTTGTTAAACTCATTAATAATAATTCCACTCCTTACCAAATTGGTCTCGGCAATTGCCCCCATCGAAGTCAAGGGAAACGCCTTTTGGAATACAGAGACGGGAAAAAGATTCTATATTAGAGGTGTCGATTATCAACCGGGCGGTTCCTCGGAATTGGAAGATCCCTTGGCTGACACTTCGGTGTGTGAAAGAGATATCCCATATTTCCAGGATTTGGGTCTAAATACTATCCGTGTATACTCCATCGACAACACAAAAAACCACGATGAGTGTATGGACAAATTGGCAGATGCCGGCATTTACGTTATCTTGGACGTCAATACTCCTTATTCTAGTATCACAAGATCAAATTCAAACTGCAGTTATAATGCTGATTATTTACAAGAAGTCACTGCTTCTGTTCAGGAGTTTGCAAAATATAACAATACATTGGGCTTCTTTGCCGGAAACGAGGTCATCAATGATGGGCCTTCTTTAGAAGCAGCTCCTTACGTCAAAGCAGTTGTTCGTGACCTAAAGACATTTATCAAAAATAGAAATTTTAGAACTATACCAGTCGGTTACTCAGCAGCAAGTGTTGCCGAGTACCGTTTGAGCTCCGCTTTGTATTTCAATTGCGGAGACGATGAATTGGAAAGAATCGACATGTTTGGAATAAACGATTACTCATGGTGTGGTGATGCATCCATGACTTCATCGCAATATTCTCAACAAATGAAGGATTTCGCCAACTATACTGTACCTTTATTCTTTTCAGAATTTGGCTGTAACACAAAGAGACCTCGTCCATTCAGCGAAATCGAGGTCATCTACTCAACTCAAATGTCACTGGTTTTCTCAGGAGGCTTGGTTTACGAGTACTCAGAGGAACAATCAGAATATGGATTGGTCACTTTGGATGATGATAAAGTGACTACTAATCAAGATTTCGATAACTTGAAATCACAACTCAATAAAACTTCTGATCCAAGTGGAGATGGTGATTACCTCGATAGTTCAAATGACAATGGAAATAATTGCCCTTCACTTTCAGATTTATGGAATGTTACTCTGGAAGTACCAGATACTCCTCTTGGTGCTCTTGGTTATATAAGGGGAGTTGTAGAACCAACGGGACATGGATTCGACGCTTATGTACAAGGAAACTGTCATAATAATGATGTTGATAATTTTGCAAATAATACTAGCACACTTAGCGCATCTACTCGTGATGCTGCTGCAACCTCTACTGCTGGTAGTGATTCATCATCTTCATCAACAAACACCTCCAAAGCCAATGAGGGTACTATTGCAACCACTGGTTTCGTTGGATTACTCACTTTAGTTGCAAGTTTCATTTTTGTCTAAAAAGGAAAGAGAAGATTAGATTATACTAGTTCCTTTTTGGGGGAAAAAAGTTGGAAAAATTATCGTATACAAATTATACAGTTTTAAATTAGTATGTTTTCATTTAATTCTTTTATCAAACTTTTTGCTTTATACCATACATCATTTCTTCTTTATTTATCAAATGACCTATTGAATCTATCTCGAGCAATAATTTATCAACATCCAAACACCAGTCGTTTAATATTCCATTAATGTGGTTATCGCTAGTTCTAGGATCACTTCCTTCCAAGTGCTTAGTTTTGGAGAATTTCACAATTCCTTGAGGACGATTAATCTTTGCTGTAATCATTCCCGAGTTTACTGCTTCACTGATGTATTTCTCAGAATCGTCAGTTGACAATTGTAACAAGTAAGCCAAACGGTCCAATTTGATACATTGATAAAATTTGTTTATTACGCGGAGATTGTGCTCAATTATTCTCTTTTGCAAATTCTCATAGTTTTTTATATCCTTAAAGATTGCTGATTGTGAAAACTCTGTTTTGTAAAGTGTTTCAATGTTTGACCAGTGAATGAGTTCGTCAGTAGTGAAGATCTCCAACAACTTGAATATTTTGTCGTCAACGTTTTTCTTCAATGTGGTGTTGAAGGTGAGCTTTTTGATTGAGGAGTCTAGAATATTGTAATAGACTATATCTTGACTAAACTGTTTCTGCTCTGCCTCCGATAATATCGGAACGTCAATAAGTAATAGCAAATTATGTACAATTGAGTCATAGTCGTGGTTGAACTGATCTATATCAATAAGAAATTTCAAATAGCGCACCTTAAACTCATCAGCTCTAGGGAAATTCTTTAAACTTTTGAGCAAAATTTTCCTACTCAAAATTTTGGCCTGGTTAAAGTCACCTTTTTGTAAGGTCAATTTGATCTGTTCTAGAATATACTCGATTTTATCACTAAACGGCATAAGTGAGTACGTTTCAACTTGCAAGTCGCATAGTATCTCAACAGCCTTATCCAAATCATTCTTTTTGTCGAGATATATCTCGGCTAATTGCTTAGATACAATGGCCCTCTCCACTTCAACAAAAATCTTTTTATCAGTAACGACTCTAATGGTCTCTATTAAATTCACTTTCGTAGCAAGTTCCTGTGGATGCAGCTCATTCAACTTGTCCAACTGCTTAATGACATCCTGAATAAAGGCTTGGATGGAAGATTTCAACTGTCCGTGTTTCTTCGAAAGAATCGTTATCAAGTCATTCAAATACTCCCAATCGTTATTATCTACCAAAGTGGTAACTATCTTGCTCAAGACCCTTTTGGATGAAGCCAAATCAGAAGATTGACGTGTTTGTTTCTCTAAAACAAGATACTTCTCCAACTGTTGTTTATAGTCACCGTTTTTCTCAATGAGCGGAAATTGCTCATCTAGTGTGGCGGAAAAATCCTTCTCTGCCTTTATTGGATCTTCTCTCGACATCTAACTACTAATAGTAACAGCTTTCAACGGCAAACTAATCAAACTAATCAAACTAATCAAGCTAATCAAGCTAATCAAGCTAATCAAGCTGGTGGTGATGGCAATGGGCAATGGCAATTTTTCAATCCAATTTCCGAAAATGCGAGTAATGCGCTACCGGTGTCGGAAAAAAGAAAGAGTGTCGGAAAAAAGATTTTTTTGAGACATCATCTCATCGCGCGCAGCGCGCGTTTAAGCAGATTGATTCAATATGTTTAAGCCCATATAGTTGAATGAGAGGATGGGGGATAGGTTTCTATTTACTAGCAAATGTCAGATGAGACGAGGGTAAGGAGAGATGAGATAATTAGGAAACATTTAGGCCAATTGGATAAGGAGAATCTTGACTTAATTTCGGAGTTTGCAACTGATTTATTGAAGAAATGCGGTTCTTGTAACTCATTTGAATCGTTTTATAAACAAGTTCAATGTAATGGAGGTGAAGAGTTTAGCAAGGAGTTTGTTAAAGAGTTGTATGATTTCTTGCGTACTGAAGGGTTGAACGGGGAGTCAACAGTTGCCGCTAGTTCAAAAGAGGAGCCAAGAGTCGCCGGTGGTTTGGAGAAAGAGGCTGTCAAAAGACGTCGAGAACTGGTTGATAAGGAGGAAGAAGATTCTAAAGATGCTATTTATGAGGGTCGTGTTATCTCCTTACAGCCTTATAGCGTGCTCATACGTTTTGGGAAAAACCTCGGAAAGTGTCACATTTCAGAGATCCCTCTGGTCAATGGAAATTCATGCTTTTGTCCTTCAGAAGTTTTGAAGTTGGATCAAAAAGTTTACTTTAAAATACTTGATCAATGGATTGAACGCGGGCGAATGAAAATGTCATTATCTATGAAAGGGATAGATCAGTCTACTGGTAAAAGTGATTCCACAACTAGGCTGTGGCAACAACAGCAAAGACCACAGCAAGCTACGCAACAACTTTTTGCTTTCAACACCACTACAAACAAATCGAATTATTTTCAAAACTCAAACAGAGTTGAGGATCGAAACAAACTGGAAGTAGAAACAGGAATAGAGCTAAACCAAGAAAGACCTCGCTTTTTACAAAACAAAATGATGTCTAGTGATGGGTTCAACATAAACTCAATAATCAGCATGGACGGGAAAATGAGTAAACTAGCTGCAAATGGATCAGAGTTGGCCAAAAAATTTCGAGAAGAGAAAGCAACGCAGCAGAAGTTGAAAAATAAATGGGAAAATGCAATATTGGAAAATGATCCATTGTATAAAAAGGAGGATAAAGCGCTGGACGTGATTGAGGAGTGGAAGAGTACGAATAATAGTAAAAAATCTGCCATATTTAGCGGCAAATTGATTGAGCAACAAAGGAAAAGTTTGCCGATTTATGGCATGAGAGAGGAGTTGGTTGAACACATAAAGAATAATCAGTTTCTAGTTATTGTAGGTGAAACGGGGTCAGGTAAGACTACCCAAATTGTACAGTACATATATGAGGAAGGATTGAACAAAGTGAATGGTGAATTCAAAATGATTGGTTGTACACAACCTAGGCGAGTGGCGGCCACATCTGTTGCTAAAAGAGTAGCAGAAGAAGTTAATTGTAATTTGGGAGATTTGGTGGGCTATAGTGTGAGATTTGATGATTGCACTTCTTATAGAACTAAGATCAAATACTTGACAGATGGTATGTTGGAAAGAGAAGCATTGTCTGATCTTGAAATGAGCAAGTATGCTGTAATTATGCTTGATGAAGCACACGAGAGGACAATTGCAACCGACGTCTTATTTGCCTTGTTGAAACAAGCAGCATTGAAAAATCCCAACTTCAAAGTTTTGGTGACTTCAGCAACATTAGATTCGGAAAAGTTCTCAAGATACTTCAACAATTGCCCGATTTTGAAAATTCCGGGAAGAACTTTTCCCGTGGAAATTTTATACACTAGAGAACCGGAAACGGATTACTTGGCTGCTGCCTTGGATTCAGTTATGCAGATCCATGTTTCTGAACCTGCTGGGGATATTTTAGTTTTTTTGACTGGTCAAGAAGAAATTGATACTAGTTGTGAGATTTTGGCTGACAGAGTAAGAGATTTAGGAAGTTCAGCTAGTTTAAAGATGATTATACTTCCTGTTTATGCTGCATTACCATCAGAACTTCAAAGCGAGATTTTTGAGCCTGCACCTCCTGGTTCAAGAAAAGTTATTCTTGCTACAAATATAGCGGAAACATCGATTACTATAGATGGTATTTACTACGTTATTGATCCCGGGTATGTAAAACTAAATGCATACGATCCTAGAAAAGGGATGGACACTTTGAAGATTTGCCCAATTAGTCAGGCCCAAGCAAACCAAAGAAGCGGTAGAGCAGGAAGAACCGGACCTGGTAAATGTTTCCGACTATATACTGAAAAGCTGTACACCGAAGAAATGTTTCCAAACACTGTACCTGAAATTCAGCGTCAAAACTTATCCCATACAATCTTGATGTTGAAAGCCATGGGAATTGATGATCTTTTCAATTTCGAATTCATGGATCCTCCTTCAACACAAGCTATGCTTTCGTCATTAGAGGATTTGTATATGTTAGAAGCGCTAGATGAAGATGGAGAGCTTACCCAACTAGGACGTCAAATGGCAGATTTCCCCATGGAGCCAGCTTTGGCCAAAACATTAATCAAGTCGGTAGAATATGGATGCACTGAAGAGATTTTAAGTATTGTGTCTATGTTATCGGTACAAACGATATTTTTTCGACCAAAGAGGAGGCGTAGAGAGGCAGATGAGAAAAAGGCGAGATTTTACCTGAGTTTAGGTGATCATCTAACGTTGTTCAATGTTTACCAAAGGTGGTGTACCAGTAACTATAGTAAAACGTGGTGTCAGGAGAACTTTATTCAAGAACGAAGCATGAAAAAGGCAAAGGATGTGAGGGTACAATTGAGATTAATTTTGCAAAAGTATAATTATACAATGAATTCATGTGGGTCGGATTTGACGCGTGTTTTAAAGACTTTATGTTGTGGATATTTCAAAAACACAGCAAAAAGGTACTCAACTGGGTACGAGACGTTAACTAATAGAGAAGTGGTTTTTTTGCATCCTTCATCTAGTCAATTTGGCAAAGATCCAGAATATGTATTATATGATACCTTGTTATTAACCAAGAGGGAGTATATGCACTGTGTGAGTGTTATTGAGCCGCAATGGCTTTTTGAATGTGCACCTAATTATTTCAAAATAGGTGATCCTTCGCAGCCTAGACGGAGTGAGAAGATTGTACCATTATTCTCGAGGAGCCAGAATAGAAAGCAGAGAAAGGGCTGGAAAAGACAACCTTTTTCTGTGAAAAGGAGGTAGAAACAAAAAGGAGAGACAACAAGGGAATCTGACAAGAAAACCTCAATCTTCTCAGAGACAACAAGGGAATCTCAATTTTTTCGCTTGTATTTTATTTTTATATGTAATCTCTATTGCCTCTAGTACACGCTACCAAACGCAATTTCAATACACTAAATCATCATTATTTGACACTATATCGCTCTGATTGAATAGTGGAGCACACTAGCTGCCGGCACTATCGATTTTATCTATCTATACACTCTCTCCTATCTATCTACACACTTTCTCCTTTCTATCGACTAGACTCGTTTCACCCGTCCAGTCTTTCACCATATTTCCACCACTACCTTTTCTATCTAAAACTATATCCTTTTCTATCTAAAACTATATGCTTTTCTGTCTAAACCTATATCCTTTTCTATTTAAGCCTATATCCTTTTCTGTCTAAAACTATATCCTTTTCTATCTAAAACTATATGCTTTTCTGTCTAAACCTATATCCTTTTCTATTTAAGCCTATATCCTTTTCTGTCTAAAACTATATCCTTTTCTATTTAAACCTATATCCTTTTCTATCTAAACCTGTATCCTTTCCTTTCTCTCTCTGGTCGATAGTGTCGTAACAACCCTTCATTTACTACAGTGGTTTTCTAATGGCTGCGAATATAATCATGCATTATACAGTTTTTCCATAACTCAAAAAGTGTCAAATTGCGCTAACTTTTTTCCCGATTAGGAATTAGCCGCATTATGTTTGTGCAACGCCTTTTGCCTTTTGCCCTTTTAGCGTTTGAATTCCGCAATTAAAAAAAAGAAAAAAAAAAAAAAAAAGAAATGGCAGAAATGGCTATTACTCATTGAAACCATTAAGTATATATTTTATAAATTACAAGCTTATATATGTCTATGTATAGGTGTATGATATAAACTGTAGATGCTTTTCTAGTATATAATTATATAGGCTAATCTTGGTAAATAGAAAGGAAAAGAAAAAAAAGAATAATGGCACAATCGTCAGATGATTGTCTGGTATCGCAAAATAGTATGTCCGATGGGTCTCGTAAATCTGTTGATCAATTAGTCCAGATTGAACCGTACGAGATATATTCTGTACGTTCGTTGAACTCTCAACTACAGGGGGATGAGGCAATATCAATACATTCTACGAGATTATCTAGGATCAAAACCAACCAGTCAGAGTTGTCGAGGATCTTTACTGGGATTAAAGATGATCAACTACAGGATGAAGAGAATAGAGATCAATATCGAGAAAGAGGTGATGCTGAGTATATTTTGGTCCAGGAGTTGGAAAAGGCGATTAGCAGCAAAAACATCAGTAAACAATTCACCTCGACCTATGATGTGGAACTGAAAGAGTATCAAGAAATCAAGACAGAGAAAGATGAAAAAGATGAGGAGGGAAAAGAAGACGAGAAAGAGGCAGAGGCGGCAGATAAGGAAGATCAAGATTATGAGTTAGATGGAGGGTTTGCATGGTTGATGGCCATTTGTGCCATGTTGGCGGTTTTCTCAACATGGGGAGCTAATGCTGCATATGGTGTTTTTTTAAACTATTATTTGAATAGTAATACGTTTCCAGGAGCAACTGAATACGACTTTGCCTTGATTGGTGGCATTGTTGTGTTTTTGGCCAATTTTTTAGCACCAATAAGTGCATTGCTTTATAAAGTGCTTGGGTTTAGAATGGTTTGTTGTATTGGGATTGTTGTTCAAACTGCTGGTTGGATTGTTGCTTCATTTTCAAAAAAGATATGGCATTTGTATTTAACACAGGGTGTGCTTGTTGGCATTTCGTTTAGCTTGATCTTCGTGCCTGCCACATTGATATTACCTACTTGGTTTCAAAAACGAAAAGCCACTTCAATGGGGTTATGTGTTTCGGGAGCTGGTTTGGGTGGTTTGATTTTTTCATTAAGTTTGAACAAAGTCATTGAAGATACAGGTGATCAAAAATGGGCATTGAGAATGGTGGGATTCGTATGTTTGGCAACGGCTTTGTTTTGTGCTTTAATGATGAGACCTAGAAATTACCGGTCTATTCCAACAAGGGAAAGAATGACTTTGGCATTTATTAAACCTCATGTTAAAGTGATATTTGACATCAAAGTATTTAAGAATTTGGGGCTTTGCATTATTTCGATATGGTTTTCAATTGCTTTGATTGGATATACATTGATGTTGTTTTCATTATCAGCATATGCATCATCAGTTGGATTGACTCATGCACAAGCTTCAGTACTTACTGCTGTGATGAATGCAGCGCAAACTGTTGGTCGTCCATCGATGGGGTTGATCGCTGACAGATTTGGCAGGGCTAATTTTACATCTATTATCTGTTTGGTGATTTCTATCTTGCTTTATGCATTTTGGATAAATGCAAAGACTTATGGTGCTTTGATTGCATTTGCTGTGGTCATTGGATTGATCGTGGGTGTTGGTTCGTCTTTAGCCCAGCCATTAACAGCAGATGCACTAGAGGGGGAGTTGGAAAAATTGCCTGCAGGCTGGTCGGGTATCAATATAATTGTTTCATTCTTTTGCTTAGTTGCAGAAGTTATTGCATTATCATTAGTGGTTCCAGATTCACCAAGTCCATACCTTCATACTCAAATATTTGCAGGTTCTTGTTTCATGGCATGTTTTCTACTAATGATACCGTTGCGAGAGTTTTATGTCCACAAGATTCTCAAAGAACGATATCACATAACAAAGAGTAAATTAGAAAAACTTAGAGGAGGTGTAACGACGAAAAGTGGATATCTAAAAGACGCTGCTGCTACTCAAAGGGATGACTACACTGAAGAAGGCGAAGAGATCTTTTTGGAAAGAATTGAAAGGTACGAACAACTTCTAACTAAGTCTCTCACCGCCTATTGTATACGTGCTGTATACCCTATTAAGGTATAGATTTGAAATAAAAACAAGTACCGACACTATCGAGCGAAGCGAGATAGTGGAGCAACACCAGCTGCCACCGATACTAGTGATATAAGCATTAGTGATATGCGAAAATAAACAATTATTCACCATCATCACCATCAACTACAACACATTCTCTTTTTTATCCTTAAAAATTTGTGTATTACAACTTAATTTACATTTTTTTTTTATATACATCAAATGAGGAGGTTTTAAACCATCAATAGATATTAATGTACAATTTTACAAAACCTTTCTCCAAATAATATATATGTATACAATGATTTTGTCATTAGTGAAAAAGAACATCAAGCTATTCTTTATATAACCGGTTCTATGATAACCTTCTCCGTGTTCAAACCCCTTAACGATTAGATTTAGCAACTCTCTCCAATTCATCCTTCTTTTTGATAGCATATGAAGTTGATGAACCTTTAGCAGCGTTAATCAATTCTTCAGCCAAACATTCAGCAATAGTCTTGATGTTTCTGAATGAGGCTTCTCTAGCACCGATTGTGATTAAAGCAATAGCTTGGTTGACTCTTCTTAATGGAGAGACATCAACGGCTTGTCTTCTAACGGTACCAGAAGAACCGATTCTAGTAGAGTCTTCTCTTGCACCTGAGTTTATAATAGCATCAACAATGACTTGGACTGGGTTTTGTTCAGTTAAAACGTGAATGATTTCCAAAGCGTGTTTAACGATTCTAACAGCTTTCAATTTTTTACCATTGTTTCTACCATTCATCATCAATGAGTTAGTTAACCTTTCAATGATTGGACATTGTGCCTTCCTGAATCTTTTAGTAGCGTATTTACCAGCTGTGTGTGGAACGAAAACTGGTGATCTGACCTGGATGTAGTCGACTAAGGAAACGTCGTTCACTTCAACTTCTTCAAATGACCATTTGTTGAATAATTTGACTTCTCTTTGTGCTTCTTGAACATCTAATGGAATTGGTGTAGCCAAGTTGACAACTTGTAATTCTTCAACAACAACACCTTCTTGTTGTTGTTGTTCGAGTTGTTCTTCAAATTGTTCTTCAACGTCAGACATATTGGATATAAGGTGTAACTTTGCTGTTTAGGGATAACAACGACAAATTTGAAGAATATTTCAATATGATAGTATAGAGAGATTATTAAATTTTTCGGCTTCTCGTTTGATGCCTTGGGATTTTTTTTTTCTTCGCGGTGTATTTTTCGGTCTGCTTTTGAGATGGAATATCACGTGGGGAATGGTTATAGCCCTATCCACAAAAAAGAAAAGTTGGTACAGGAGGAAGGGGGAGGCTGGAGGGGCTTGGGGGCTTTGGGGCTTTGGGGCTTTAAGGGCTACCCTGTTGTTATAAAGTGTTGTTAGTGGTGAGGCAACTATCCTCTCGGCGTAGTTAACACTGCTCCACTATCGAGCGAAGCGAGATAATATCGCTGCTACCCTGTTGTTATAAAGTGTTGTTACTGGTGAGGCAACTATCCTCTCGGCGTAGTTAACGCTACTCCACTATCTCGCTTCGCTCGATAGTGTAGGACCTGTCGGCGTAGTTAACGCTACTCCACTATCTCGCTTCGCTCGATAGTGTAGGACCTGTCGGCGTAGTTAACGCTACTCCACTATCTCGCTTCGCTCGATAGTGTAGGACCTGTCGGCGTAGTTAACGCTACTCCACTATCTCGCTTCGCTCGATAGTGTAGGACCTGTCGGCGTAGTTAACGCTACTCCACTATCTCGCTTCGCTCGATAGTGTAGGACCTGTGGGCGTAGTTAACGCTGCTCCACTATCTCGCTTCGCTCGATAGTGTAGGAACACAAAAAAATGCGTTTGTATGCATGCTTTCAAAAGAGGGAGCCGCTAGTGACTATTGTATTGAAAAACATTTACGTTTCTGAAATGTACAGATTTAATGATACACTTTAACTTGAATCAGAAAAATAGATATGGTACCAACCCGTGTTTCTGTAAATGGTGTCGATTTCATACAGCGCAGTTTTCTACAAGACACTATCTCGCTTCGCTCGATAGTGGAGTAGTACTTACTAGCTATACTATTGAGCAACGGCTTAACTGATTTTTTGTTTGACCGTGACAGTCAGTGTTGCTTCCAGAGTAGCAACTTATCAAAAATTACAAGAGCGTGGTAGATCCGGAAATCAGTCTTCTTTCTTATGAAAACTGTTTTCTCTTCTTTCTTTATCTATTATTGTGTATTTTTCAAAAGTCTTCTTTCTTTATTATTGTGTATTTTTTATTGTATTTTTTTTTTTGCTTCCTTCCCCACAAATGCATCCTTATATGATCAATACTGAAACGAAATAAAAGAAAAAAAATTAAAACTTACGAGATTAATATAGAACGGTGATGTAAATTCTGTGCTGGATAGTGTCACTACAGGACTTGAAAGGTTAGCAAAGTTACAAATCACCAAATGCAATCAAACCAGTGTGTGGACATATCCGGTTCTTTTGAAAAAAATAGAAAAAAGTGTACATACTTTTATTTCTTCCATTCATCATGCCATAAAAGTATATTTAACTCATCTTTTTCTTCTCTTTGTCTTTTTAGCGATTTTGTTTTATCTATTGTTCGTCATCATGTCTCTGTGTTCATTCGTTTTAGCTGTTTTTGCAATTGCCATAAAAATCTCAAGTTTTTTTTTTTTTTTTATTTTTATTTTCTCCTGAACCGGAGCAGTTCTTGATATGCATGGCCGTACATCTTTTCCCCAGAATACTGGAACAAAACTTATCCGGAATGAAAATTTCTGAAAGATATAAAAATACATTTCTTGCTTGGATTAAGTAAAACCCTGAAGTAGATTTAAAAGTAATAACTATATATTTTTCGAAAAGGATTCCTTCTCCAATAAGAAACATATTTTCTTTCTTTCCTCTGGATCTGCATCTAACGGAAATTAAAGTAGAAATTTGATTTAATTTGATTTGATTTGATTTGATTTAATTTGATTTACCTCAGTTTAATTTGATTTAGTTTGGTTTAATTTGGTTTAGTTTGGTTTCATTCAAACTATGTCTTTGGCCATCCAAAATTCAGAAACAAAACAAGAAAATATCTGTCAATCCAGTTCAGACCAAGGTTCAAGCACAAATAAAAGCCAGGAGATAATACTAACAACTACAACTACAAATACAATTAAAGATTTAAAACCAATTGATCCCAAATATGAAACTGAACAGTTGGCCAAAGAATTAGGTATAAATCACAAAAAGTTGATGTGGAAAATTGATATATGTGTTGTACCGCCATTTTGTCTTCTTTACTTCTTTGCATTTTTAGATCGAGTCAATATATCAAATGCAAAACTTTATGGTTTGAGCGAGGATTTGAATTTGACAGGAACTCAGTATAATACTGCCCTTACCTTGTTTTTTGTTCCATATATACTTTTTGAAGTTTTAGGTAATTATGCCATCAAATATGTGAAACCACACATATGGTTATCTGGATCTGTTTTCTTTTTTGGTGCTATCACCGTTGGCATGGGATTTGCTAAAGATTTTTCTGCACTTGCTGCAACTAGGTTCTTACTCGGTATCGCTGAAAGTGCCTTATTCTGTGGGGTTTTTTACCTCTTAGCTACTTATTATTCCAAAGCCGAAGCTCAAAAACGATTTTCAGCTTTTTTTTCATGTACTGCATTGAGTGGTGCTGCCTCGGGAGCTATTGCTTATAGAGTTGTTGAGATGGATGGATTGCACGGCATTAGTGCATGGAGATGGATATTCATCTTGGAAGGTTGTGCTACGGTTATTGGAAGCTTCTTTTTATTTTTTATGATTGCTGATTTCCCTGAAGAATCAAGATTTTTAAATGCCAAAGAACGTACATTTTTGAAGAAGAAATTGGAATGGTATTCGGGAACTTCGTCAGCATATGAATTGAAAAATACTTTCAAAGATGTGGGCGAGTGTCTCAAGGACTGGTTGATTTGGTTACCCGCGTTATCCTATTTTGGTTTGATTATCCCTTCGTATGGATATGCATATTTTGCAGCTAGTATCATCAAAGAAATGGGCTATACTGCTGTAGTAGCTCAACAGTACTCTGCATACCCATGGGTAGCTGCATTTGTAGTGATTAATATCACTGCAATTTGTTCAGACTTTGTCAAAAAAAGATTACCATTCTTTTTGGGTTCGTGCCTTGTTGCCATTGCTGGTTTATCAATGGTGTTGGCTGCAAAGGATTTTCCCCAAGTACGATATGGAGGATGTTTCTTGGCCGCATCCGGACTATACACGGCAATGCCAACGCTCGTTTGCTGGGCAGCACTAAATAACGGTTCACATATCAGAAAGTCAGTAGGTACCGCATGGCAAATTGGAATTGGGAATATTGGTGGTATTATTGCAACATTTATCTTTTTGGCTAAGGACGAACCTTACTATGTACCTGGTTTATCCACTTGTATCGGCGGTGTTTGCTTTGCTATGATTACTGGAGTCGTCTATTTTATCCTATGTTGGAGATTGAACAAGGTGAAGCAGACCGATTCATATAAGGAGAAGTTTAACGCAAAAACTGAACGCGACCAGATTAACCTTGGTGATAGAAACCCTGCGTTTGAATATCTTTATTAAGCCCAAACTAGTCCCAGCAGTAGCAAGAATAGTAACAAACAAGCTGTTGGTGCATACAACTTTCAAAACTCCATCAACTCCAGCAGTAGCAAGAATAGTAGCAAACAAGCTGTTGGTGCATACAACTTTCAAAACTCCTTCAACTCCTTCAACAATAATTTTCGCCTACCCTTTTTCAACTCTGGTAGAAACAAACAAAATAATAAAGTTTCTTCCTGGTATTGGCAGAAAAATTCATCATGTGTATCCTGGCCCAAGTTGATTAGTGATCTAGTGTGTTCCACTATCGAGCAGAGCGAGATAGTGTCGATAATGTCCATGACAGCTAGTGTCGATAGTGTCCATGACAGCTAGTGTCGATAATGTCCATGACAGCTAGTGTCGATAATGTCCGTGACAGCTAGTGTCAGTAATGTCAACTATTTGTTCTATCCCGTTTCCTCCCTTCTTGATTTCTTCGGCTATAAACATTTCTTTCCTTCGCTGCAGCTCTGGTATTTTACTCTCATTGACCCTGTTCCCCAATGACCAAAATCTTTTTTTAAAGCCACTTAAATTGGTCTCGTTAGTGCCATCGATTACTCGACTTCTGCATCATCCTTTTTTTTTTTATTTTTTCTCTCTTGCTCTCTTTCATCGCCCCCCCCCTGGTTCTTCAAGAATACAGCATATGTGAGAACAATCTAACTTGGTTGAACTAATTAGCTTTGATTTCTCAACAATTTAAATTCTTGAGAATAATCTAACAATTTAAATTCTTGAGAATAATCTAACATTTAGATAAAATCACTACATATATTAACTCACTATATATACAAACTCACTACATATATTAACTTACTTCATATATACAAACTTATACACAGAAAATGTCCAAAAACGAGTATTTCAACTCCCCCGATGGCCCACCTCCCACGTTCAACCAAAGTACAAACTCAAGCTATGTACCACAAGCACAACCATCGTACAATGCACAAACACAAGATAGGGGAGTTTTTGGTGGTAATCAGCACTACCAGCAACAGGGATACGGACAGGGACCTCCACCGAATGCGTATTATCAGCAACAACCGGGGTACGGCTACCATCAGCCACCACCACAGCAGTATTATCCACAACAACAACAACCTATGTATGTACAACAACAGAGAACCTCGAATAATGATGATTGCTTGATGGCGTGTTTGGCCGCCATGTGTGTTTGTTGTACTTTAGATATGATATTTTGAAGAAAAGGCATGACAAGGTAATGGCAAGGTAATGGCAAGGTAATAGCAAGATAATGGCAAGGTAATTGCAAGATAATGGCAAAGCAAGGGCAAAGCAAGGGCAAAGCAAGGGCAAAAGCAACGACAAGGTAACGACATTTACGGGTCATTGTTTTCATCTTGTGGTTTGGAGTACGCAAAAAAAAGAAACTACTATCCTCTTTTGAGCTGCCATGGTTCTGATTTAGAGATCGGATATACTTTTCACATTACTCACGATAACTTACTTTTTCAAAAAATAGCTACTCTCTATTTTGGTTTACTCTATATCGCAATCTATCAGTTGTTTCTGTAAAATGACATGATCCACATGTACAAAATTAGTGACCAATACCAAATCTGCCAATAGTACGCATATGGCATTTATCAAAAATCCATATTTCAATCTATCATCTTCTGCTAATCGACCAGTGAATGTCGGCCCCACGCATCTTGCCACGGTCTTGCCTATATTCACAGTACCCATAACTTTGGTGATTTCATGTTTGGGCATTATTGAAGTAAGTAAAACCTGTCGTGGCACCACGTCCATGGTTGATGTGAGATAATAAAAGATTAACAAAATGGCCACTGGAGTGAAATTGTGACATATTGCTATAGCGCCAAAAAATATAGCAGATGGAGCTTGGGTGAATAGTATTGCCTTCACCGGACCGATCGATTTTGCAAGATATGCGGATGGTATGGACGAGATTGAATTAACAAAATTGGTCACAAAAAACAAACTTCCAAGTGCCTTTGCTGCGAGTTTAAAGGTAATAGCAAGATAGTAAACCACCCATGCCGATGGCATAAAACCGTACCCAAGCGAATCAAGCATGAAAATGCATAATAATTTCGGCAAATAACTACGAGTGGCTTTTGAAATGGTGGTGGTTGAAGTTGTTGAAGTTGAATTTTCTTCTCCAAGTAATTCCAGGGTCTCCGAGATCTCGCTAATATTTTTATCCAGATATACCTCACATTTTTCAGATAAACACAACATGCTGAATAATTTCATAATCGCAATGGCAGAGTAAACATAAAAGACAATCTGATAACAACGAATTTTGTCATATTTGAGCTCATTGTGCAAATAGTCCACCAAAAATCCACAAACAAGAGACCCAATTGCTCCTCCTGCGGTAGCTAAAACTCCGTGTATAGCAAAAACTTCAGGCCGATGATTGTGAGGGGTCAAGTGAGCTATAGATGCCTCCTCTACAGTTTTAAACGGTCCAGTTTCGTCTCCCGAGGGAGAGATGACTCCAATTATAGCAGCAATTAAAAGATATGTAAAATCAGTAGATTCGGCAAATACCAAACCGGACAAACACATCATTATTGAGCCTATGATCATCACTTTTCGGCGCCCTATTTTGTCTGAATTCCAAGTGAGGAAATATGATATTATTGTGTCACCTACAAGCGTCAACATCATGAATAACCCTATATTTCGTTCTGATATACCAGTTAATTTCAAGTAAAGTGTAAGAACTTGGTTTGTGAAACCATAGCTTGTCATTCGAAGGAAAACCGAAAACCATAGTAGTCTTATATCGAGGGTTGTTTGATTGAAAGTTTTGAGTAAATGCATATTTCTTTTTCTCTTTTTTTAATTAGCAATTCTACAACTTCCAGTAAAAGGCAACTAAACAATAATGAGAGTATATTGACAATAATGTCAACCGTCAAATGCCACTATATAAGTCTTATTTTTTCAATTTTTTTTTCACTTTTTTCACTTTTTTCACTGTGCCGGAGATATTCCCGAAATGGTAAGACTCAGATCACTAACGGTTGGGCCACACCGTTGAGAGAAAAAAAAAGAAATGTTGCTCCTCGGGCCGAGTGTCGGGTTATACTAAAAACGAAATTAGGGGGCTATTGATCTAGTGGTCTCTACAATGAAGTACTCTCTTAAGCACACAATATGGTATGGTTTTTTTTCTTTTTTTAAAAAAAAGAAGATACATAGAGAGAGAGGAAGGGAAATAGATATTGAGATTAGATTCTCAATATCAGTGAAGTAGCTTTGAGTTTTTGCGAGTCAGAGCGACGTTGCTTTTGGGTAATATTCCAACTTTGTTTGCATCAATTTCATTGCAAAATTTTCGTTGTGATGCAGCAGTTGATGTATATGATAATTTCCATCACTAATGTAGTTTGAATTTCTTTCATAATGATTCCCGTGTATATTTAAGCTTGAACATCTAGTCGAGGCTCTGGCGGCTGATAATGATGCGTCATTAAAGACCATTTTCCAAACTTCAGGTTGGCTCTTGATATGTACCGAAGGGTGAGATATGATTTCATCAATACTATTGTTTCCTGTTGGATCAATCGGCGATAGTTGTAAGTGAGACGTTGGTAATGTGGTGACTGGTGCAGATGGAGTCGTTTCTGATTCTACCGAACTTCTTGTACTAGACACTCGGTTCAAACTTGCCTTGACGAATCGATATAACCTGCTCCCAATCCTTGATTTCACCTCTTGAGGCTGAACAAGTTCAGAGTAGTAGTAGCAGCTTTGTGGTGATTGTACATAATCGTTATTATTATCACCACTCCATCCTGACATCACATTCTGTGTTTGTTCATCACCACCCCATCCGGGCATCACATTCTGTGTTTGTTCATCACCACTCCATCCTGACATCACATTTTGTGTTTGTTCGTGAATTTTATCAACCAGATGTTGATCCTCCTTCTCCTCTACCTTTTCTTTCTTGTTCATCGCCGCCACTACCACCGCTCTTTCCTCCATTTCCTCTTCCATTTCCTCCTGCATTAGCTCACCCATATTCAAATTTAGTTCGAGTGTTGGGAAAAAAGACTTTTTCCGAAGTTGCAGATCTGAAAACATTCTTCTTGACGTATTTGCCATAAAGCTATGTGTTTCATAACATCCATCAAATGATGAAAAGATGTCAGCCTTTTTGGCAATATTATTATTGTTCTTTACTAGTAATGCTGGCATTTGCTTGTCCTGTTCCCTCTCTTCCTTCTCCTTCTCCTTCTCCTCTTCATTTTCTTCATTGCATTTCATTATTATCTCTGCGTTATCAATAACTCTTGGTGATGTTCTCAACGACATCAATTGTCCATTGCTACTTCTTTTGCGAATTACCCTGGGATTATTATCTGGACAGTAATATTTTTGTTTATAACCAACAATGAATTGGTCCATGTGGAGCCTAATGTCGTGACATGCGTCATATATATTTTTCATTATAGCAACAGCACTATATCTTTCAAAAGAGAAATTGTTAAAAAAAAAAAAGAGTAATAAAACAAATGTTGCGTGAGCCTCCCAGGCTTGGATTTAATGTGATGCCTTTTGGTATTGACCCTGGTGTAATTTCTATTTTTTTGATTTTTTTTTTAAATCTTTTTTGCAGTCATTTAATTTTGTTATTTGCAACATATGGCAATATACAGTAGAACTAACCTAACGGGGAAAAAAAAAAACCATCTCTTTACACTCTCTTAATATATACAGAAACAAATATACAAAATAATGACGCCAGACCAAACAAACGCTTAGTAGTGTCGTTGACTTATAAGCTGATATAAGCTCTTTGTTGAGTAGCGAGTTTATGCATTTGAGCCTTTTTCTCATATCCCGTTGACTTTCCTTCATAAGCGTTGATCAATTCTTCAGCTAATCTCACTGCAAAATCGTTTGATTTTCTATTCTTTGAAGCTTCTAAAATCCAGTTAATAGCATATCTGTTTCTTTGTCTTTCATTTAATGGCACTGGCACGATTTTTCTCTTGGCAACACCTGTAGAAACAGTTTTTGTTTTAACCAATGGACCTAATTTGTCCAAAGTCTCTTTCAAAACTTGTATTGGGTCTTTTCTCAATTTTAACTGGACTATATAGAATGCGCGGCTTACATTCTTTTGAGCTACGGTTTTTTTACCATGCCTCATAATCAAATTAACAAGATTCTGCACAGTAGGATCCTGTTTGAGAGGAATTCTTTTATCAGCATATGCATAAGTTTCTTCAATCTGTTCCAATGTAGGTTCAAATACTTTAGTGACATACGGCTCTGGTTGAACAAGTTGGCCCAAGTAAACTTCTTCTGATGTTTCATGCACCTTTTTCCCTTGCCTCAATTGTTTAACTGCATCTACCCATTTATCTAGATCTTCTTCACTTATGCTTTCTCTATCTATAGGGTATATCTGGCTGAATAAAGAACGAGAAGTGTTTGACTCCTCTAGTTTGTTTTCAGAAGCTTCTTTTGCCTTAGCTCCAGCAAGACTGGTGTTGAATCTTACGCTTTGCGTATATGCAACAACGCTAGGAACCCGTAAAAGCTGGTTTCTTAGACAGCTTCTGATCATGGACATATCTACAGTATTGGCTCTTATCGGTTTGTAATTTGATGATTGAAAAATTTTTAGTATATAGGTTTTTTTTTTTCTATTTAATTTTTTCGCTTTACATTTTTCGCTCTTGTTGGAAGAACCAGTATTGAGCAGACCGACACTATCGAGCAGAGCGAAATAGTGGGGCACACTGACCGACACTATCGAGCAGAGTGAGATAGTGGGGCACACTAACCAGCGACACTATGACACTACGACACTATTGAGCAGAGCGAGATAGTGGGGCATACTGGCCAGCGACACTGACTAGCGAAAAGGATCTAGGATCCAGGATTCTGGATCCTTTGCGATATTCATAATCGATCTCAAGTTTTAGTTGTACAGATCCAGAGGCCATAGAGATCATAAATTCTCTTTGTTCTTTTTTTATACCTTCTTTTCTATAATAATACAATTTTTATTTATTTTTATTTCATATTTCTACACCAGCTTAATACCTATCTGATCTACTGGGAGACCTTGAACGAGACCTAGATCTATCCCTGCGTCTACTGGGAACATAACTATCTGTTGTTCTTGGCTCCTGGAACCGTGGTGGTGCCTGTCCTGGTACATAAGAGTCTCTCTCACCCATGCTTCTGTAGTTATTGCCCCTATTCGAGTGGTGGCTTGGACGGGAACCTGGAATATATCTATCGTGTCCTCCTCTATAACGCAGAAATCCGTAGTCTCTTCTACCTCCATATCTAGGAGGAGGAGGAGGGCGATAAGGTGGAATAAAGTCGCCGTTCAACAAGGTGTGCGAAACAACCGTATCCTCTCCCCTATTTTCAAACTCCAATTTCCATATACCATCTTTTGGACCCTTATCTTCCTCAAAAGTCCATTGACTAATTGCTTTCACGGGGATATACTCAACATACAAGGGTAATCTCTCTGTAAAGAATTCTCTTGGCTCGACAAGGTTCTTTTTCGCCTCTTCCGAATCTTCACAATTTCGCTTCTCATTCTCAAATCTTTCTACTTCATGATTTTCAAATTCTTCTTTCAACCTCAAATCTTCTTCTTCGCCAGGGTATATTGATCCTAATAGTTTTGATCTCATGTACTCGGCACCTTCTTCATGGTTTACCAATACAATAGCATGTGTTCTAAGTCTGTTCAACCAAGCTCTATCAATATTGATTCTCACTTCCTTATTAGAGCTGGCAATGTCTCTCAAAAATTGTTGAAAATTCCCAGCATTAATTGGACGACGCAAATTTCCAATAAATAATGCTCTAGTTGTATGGAATTGCGATTTCTTGTTTACCTCGTAAACTACGTCTGTCACCTCGGACTCATCTGTGTCCATTGTGTCTCCGCTGCGCTTATTTGGTAAACGGAGTCCAATCAAGTCAATTTTTCTTACTGGTTCCCGTCGTTCCATCTCGGGTTTTCCAAATTGATAGTACGGCTTAGGTTCTTCCCTTTCCGCTTCACGGTCTGATTCAATATCACTCATTGTGGAAAATTAAAATGACATAAGAAACAAGCAAGAACTTGGGGATTGTACCACTTTTCCTTTACCTTTGGTTTCGTTATTTCTTCCAATGTCTTGGAAAAAAAAATGATTTATTTTTGTTTGTTTGTTGATTTGTATTTTTCGGTCAAGAGTGAAGGATTTCAATTTTTTACCATTCTTGGGAGAAAGATTTGAGCAAAGACAGAGCGGAGGAGGAGGATGGAAGTATGGGACGGCGTCATAATGCTAAGGAGAAGCTGATAATGCGAAAGAGAAGCTTATAATGCAAAAGAGAAGCTTATAATGCGAAAGAGAAGCTTATAATGCGAAAGAGAAGCTTATAATGCGAAAGAGAAGCTTATAATGCGAAAGAGAAGCTTATAATGCGAAAGAGAAGCTTATAATGCGAAAGAGAAGCTTATAATGCTAAAGAACAGCTTAATAAAGATACAATGGATCTCTATTTTTGGATTTGTATAGTAGGTTGTTATTACACTGATTTCTATAATGCGGCTTTCAAGGATGTTTTAAGCACTCCAAATACTTTTTACAATATCAAATAAACCATTACTTGTTGTTTCCATCACATATACACCATACATGGCGACAAGTGTACCAAATGTCAACGCTTTCGAAGCGATTTCGTACCAAACACCGTAAACTCTTTTTGGAATATAGTCGATAATACAACTTTTGAAGCCAGAATGACAATGAAATATTAATAACGCAGACAATGATGCGTCGATAACGGGAAACTCTACTCCGGCAACAAAGGGAGTCATCACCAAGGGGATCATAGTTATTGCTATAATTCTTTCATACGTCCAGTGGTATGCACCTTCGTATGAGTTTGGCAAAGGCGGCTTGTAAGCATCATTCACTGTATCAACTATGTATCCTGGAGGCTGTTCAATCTTTTTGAATTTTGACCAGTCTGGAATCAAGCGTAATGTTCTTGAAGGTAGTATACCTATCCCCGAAACCGAACCCCGTATTCCTACGCCTAGTCTAGAGACTCGACTGGTTAGTGGAAACATGTATGCCTTTCAAGATAGATGTAGTGAATGGCTGAGATGTGGAGTAGGAAATATAATTTTTTTTTTTTTTTTTATGAAAATTCGCATCTCATAAAATTATCATCGCCAGTATGAAAAGACGCTCCTACAAAATAACTTTTGAGACAGACTATCGAGCAGAGCGAGATAGTCTAATAACCACTCGCTCTTCTCTTTACATATAATCCAAAGATTCTATTTACATATAGCACAAACCCGTATATACTTTTCATTAAGATACTTGTTGAACATTTTGGATTTGACCAGCTGTGGTCAAATCACCAAGATGCTTCTTTAACGCCAGGAATTTGACCTGCTCTAGCTCTGTTTCTGAATGCAGTTCTGTTTAGTTTGAAATCACGAATTATGGATTTGGAATTACCGGTGGCTACACACCTGTCTCTAATTTGCACAGAGGACGTATACTTTGGCATACTTGTAAGTTGTAGCTGTGCCTCTACTCTAACTCTTGAAGGCAATTCTTCGTTTCTTGCAATATACCTCAAGGCATTTCTAGTAACTTCATGTTCAGCAAATTGCAATCTCTTAAATTGGTCCCTGAGCACACGAGCATTCACATACACATGTTTCGGTATTTCAAACTTCACCGGGAATCTAAAGGGCATTATAATGACCTATTTGTAAAGCAGCAGAGAGCCGAGAATATACTTCACTTGCCCTTAAGCGTTAGCACTGGTTTTATATACTGGTTATATGTTTCGATTGAATTTTTTTTTTTTTTCATTCTGGCCTTTTTAGAAACAATTGGTAGCATAGGTCAAATTCTAAGGGGGATTAATTGGGAGAAGAAAACCCAGTGATTATTAGTAACTACTTTCTCTAGGTAGGTATTACCAAACTTGTAGAAAAAGGGGATATTTGAGAGAAAATAAAGCAGTGATTATTAGTAACAACTTTCTGTAAGTAAGTTTTATAAAAGTTTTCTCAATAATTTAACTCTGCAATCCGTGTGAACTGATGATCATAATAGTCACTATCAAACGACACTATCGAGTGACACTATCGAGTGACACTATCGAGTAGAGCGAGATAGTGGAGCTGCATAGAAAAAGCGTCACTAGTCAGTGCTGCTCCACTATCGAGTGACACTATCGAGCAGGGCGAGATAGTGGAGTTGCATAGAAAAAGCATCACTAGTGTTACTACTAAGTACTGCTCCACTATCTCGCTCCGCTCGATAGTGTCGTTCAGAGGTACTACCAAGTGCTGCTATATGCTACCCCACTATCTCGCTTCGCTCGATAGTGTCGGTGGTCAGTGTCGCTAGAAATATCTAAATAGTAGAAATCCCAGAGAAGCAGAAGGCCCCAAAGTTGCAAATGAATTTTTCAATTTTCTTTTTTATCCGATTTCGGATTTAGCACTTTTTTTTTTATAAACAAACCATTGATAGCAGCTATGTTTACTGGTTTGGTAGAAACCATTGGAACGGTTTCAGAGTATGTTGAGAACGACACCTCCTCTCAAGAAGGCAGTGGTGGTGGAGTTTCCATTGTAATTACCGACTGCTCATCAATTCTAGACGATGTACATTTAGGTGACTCAATTTGCACCAATGGTGTTTGTCTCACAGTGACCGATTTTGACGCGGCGAAAACTTATTTCAAAGTAGGTGTTGCTCCTGAAACGTTACGGAAAACAAACTTGGGGTCGTTGCTGCAGGGATCAAAAGTCAATTTGGAAAGAGCTGTGACCAGTGAAGTTAGGTTAGGAGGACACGTAGTACAAGGGCATGTGGATACGATTGCCACTATCACCAGAAAGGAACCCGATGGAAATGCCATCACTTATACATTTGAGTTGAGAGATTGCGAATTTATCAACTATATAGTTCACAAGGGGTTCATTGCAATTGACGGAACCTCTTTGACTGTGACTCATGTAGACGATACAAGAGCCCAATTCTCAATTATGTTGATAAGCTATAGTCAAGAGAAGGTGATTTTGGCAAGAAAAAACGTTGGTGACACTGTCAATATCGAAGTGGACTTGACAGGTAAACTAATTGAAAAACAAGTTGAGCTACACTTGAAGGCACAGATTGAGAAAAAGGATAGTGCATTGAACAACTTAATTGCTTCCTTGGTTGAAAAAAAGGTTAAAGAGTTGGTTAAATGAACAAGCTCCTACTCTTGTTCTTATACTTTTTGTAATGTAATGAACTTTCCCCTCAATGATGAACCCTCTTCTCTTATTTGAACTCTCTTCTCCCATAATGAACCCTCTTCTCCCATAATGAACCCTCTTCTCTCATAATGAACGTTGTTGATGTTGGTGTTGGTGTTGGTGAAAATTTCAATGTGGGTGGAAAAAAAAAAGAGAACGAAAAGTACAAAAGCCCAGAGGCAAAAAAAAAAAAAAAAAAAAGTAATATAAGATCTTACCCAAGGTATAAGTTATATTGACACTATAATGGATATTATATTAGGTATAAGGGTTGAGGAGGCGACATTAATAGCCACCTCAAAAGCAGCCACTCGTGGTATTTCAGTATTAAAGGATAATGACGATAAAACAAGACACCTTAATGCTCATAACTTAATTGCCTTCACTGGTGAAGCTGGTGATACCATACAATTTTCCGAATATGCACAGGCCAACATCCAGTTGTATTCTATGCGTGAAGATGGCGTTGAAATGTCGCCCAAAGCAACTGCGTCGTATGTAAGAAACCAATTGGCTACATCTATAAGGTCACGTAAACCGTACCAGGTGAATTGCTTATTAGCAGGATTCGATACAAAGACAAACAAACCGTCATTGAACTATATAGACTATTTGGGCACCCAAGCAGAATTGACCTATGGAGCTCATGGGTACGCGGCATTTTATGCTACATCGTTATTGGATAAGCATTATAGAAAAGGAATGACGGTGGACCAAGGTTTACAATTGATGAAAATGTGTGTCGAGGAGTTGGAAAGGAGAATGCCTATTGATTTTAAAGGAGTGTATGTGAAAGTGGTTGACAAAGACGGAATAAGAAAAATAGAGAAGAGCTAATTGGAAAGAAAGTAATTTTGTTATAAAAAGTTTATATATACATATATATAAGTACCAATCCCTTTCTTCCTTTTAAATGTGTTAAACTCTACAGTTTGAAATCTCTAGCACCAAAATGTCCGAAGCGCCTGCTCTTTTTAATTCGTCCATTACATCACCAATTGCTTTCCTGGAAACCATAGATGAAATAGCGACCCAGTCTTCTTCTTCGACAGAGTGCTTATCCAATGTGGAAACAGTAGCAGCTCGCTTACCCGGTGTTATAGCCAAGCAATCGGATAATATGGATTTTGGTGCATTGTAATTACATAATACGTATTCCTGAGCAGCTAAAACACCCTGTATTCTTTGATTTATTATACTTACAATCTCAGGAAACTTGGGCTTCTTCGAAGATATAAGATGGGCCGATGTGGTTAACACAGTTCCAATGGCTTTCAAGCCTGCTGCTTTCATCGTTTCACCACTTTCCACTAAATCCACAATAGCGTCAGCTACTCCCAAAGCGCACGAAGCCTCAACTGATCCACCAACATATCTAATATTCAAATCAGACGTATCTGCAATTCCCTGACTTTTCCTTATCTCCTGAAAATAGTCAGTTGACAATTTGGTAAAGCTCGAAACAATTTTTTTTCCAATTAACTCTTTTGGATCAGAGTATTTGCCCTGTGCCGGTACTTGTACTTGCAATTTACAATTGCCAAATTTCAAATCTAACAAGTCCTCAATATTCTCAAACTGGCCAGCCTCCATAATTTGATCCATACCTGTAATACCCAAGTCACAATTACCCTCTCCAACGAAAACTGGAATATCTGCCGCTGGTAAAAAGATCAATGCAATTGGTAAATTGGTTGATAATGCAATGTCCAACCTCTGTGAGCGTCTAAATTGGATATCTGCTCCAGTTAACAAGTTACAGCATTTCTCATATAACCTTCCCTTTTTGGGTACGGCAAACAATAAACGGTCCGGTAAGTGGTTGACTAAATCCATGGCTCTATTAATATATGATGAAATGACTAATCATAAATACTTTAAGATGCAAAAGTGAAAAAAAAAAAAAAAAAAAAGAAAAAAAAAAGATGGACCTAAAAAATTTAGGAATTTTCAATGTCGAGACGAGCCGGAGCGAAGAAAAAAAAGAAAAGGGCCATCATCGCGCGAAACGAGTCCAGCCATCGTGGTACGGCTGTAGCCGGAACCACGTGTCGATATTATGGGTGGGACTCAACAGGATAAATGCTAGAATTATTTGATAAATGCTAGAATTATATGACAATTACTATTCTACTTTATACACCCTTTTTATTAATAAATAAAGTGTCCAATGAGGGGTCGTCTGACAAGATGACGACTTACAACAACGCAGTATATAAATGTCCAAATCAATGATACTTGTGTTTTTATTATCTCTCTCTCCCTTTCTCTCTCTCTCTCTGTGCGTGTCTCTTTATCACTTTTTCAATAAAGCTCCACCTTCGTCCTCCGAGGTCACTGTATCCTCACCCGTGTCTACATCTTTGCTACTGCTAATATCAGAATTCTCGTCATCCTCATCGTCTTCACTGCGTATCCTTTTAAATCCAGAGTTATACTTTGACCCTGAAATCAAAGGCTCTGCTTCCTCAACCATTTTCAGTTCTTTCTCAACCAACACTTTTGAATTGACTCCATTGCCACAAGCATTCCCGTACCAATATTTATTGAAACTCCAGTTGATCAAAATTTTCAACATATCCCATGGAGAAAATTCGGGCCAAAGTTTATCCACAAACACCACTGCGCAATCCGGGGAAACGCTTTGCCATAGTAAGAAATCCGATAACCTAAAAGTACCTGAGGTTCTCACTAACAAATCCAATGGCTGTACGTCCCCTGTGTATAAATATTTGTCAATGGTGCTCTCATCTATGACTGACGATGACGATGACCTCGTCGCATTGTCAACAATGTTTTTAATAGCATAAGTCATTTCATCTCTTGAAGTATATGGAAAACAAACATTCAAAACTGCTCTAGTGTTGTGCTTGGTAATCTCTTCTGTTTCATGAAGAATTTTGAGCACATCGGGAGGCAATAAACTTAGATTTCCCAAGATCTTTATTCGTACTCCGTAATCCCTACACAATAGTCCATTTTGATTAATCTGGGTGAATTTCGCTTTTGCTAAATCCATTAACCACTTAACTTCATATGACGATCTATTGAAATTTTCAATCGAAAACGCATACACCGTAGTGGCTTTTACTCCCAGTTCGTAAAGCAATTCAAGTATGTTTGCCATAGTGTCAAACCCTAAACTATGACCTTCTTTGATTTCAAGTTTATGCGATTTAGCATATCTCCGATTGCCATCCATAATAATCCCAACATGTTGCGGTACGGGACCTGTCAGCAAAATTCGTCCAAACATTTTCTTGCCTGTTGCAAATAGCTGTCTATACCCAGGAAACGTGGATATCCAATCTGACATTGATAAAGAAGCAAAAAAAAAAACTAAAAGTATAATGGGTATCAATACTCTTTACGTATCGAGGTATTTATTGGAATGCTTTTGAAATAGACCCTCTTTGCCGTAAGTGAAAGATTCCTCCACCCCTCCAAAAAAAAAAAAAAATTAAAATGTTAAAAAGATAAAGAGATAAAAATTGTTTTGTTGTGTTTCACACCAGCTCTCAAAGCCAAAAGGAAGATTTTGGCAAGTAGCAAACCTCGTATATGTGTGTGTGTTTTTCCTGTCCACAACTTCAGTCCACTTGTCAACTGTATTTTAATGCTACTATCTAACACTTTACTAAAAAGGCCATCACATGATAAGCAGTTAGAAATTTCACCCGGTGCTACCATATGTGGACATCGCAAAGAAAAATGACAGTTAACTAAGTAGGATCGATCCCCTTCACCACCCACCTCTATTATGGTCAAAAAGGAGATATTGTTGATTTGAAGGCTGTGTGAATTATGGGATTAATGACAATTCAAAGTGTAGGAGAAGAGTATTCCTCTTTTTTTTTTTTTTTACAGGACACTTGACTGCTACTTTCATACTCGTTGCTGTAAGCTGCTGGTGCTGCTGATGCTGCTTACAATGTAAGAAAGCTAGAGATGGAAAATAATGGTAGCGCCATGCTCATCTCATCTCATCTCATCTCTTTGATTGCCAATTAGGAATAAGAGGTAAAGCAACTCCTCATTCTCATCCTTCTTCTCTTTATTCGAGAAAATGTCCCACCAAGAGGAAGAAAAGATTACCCAAAACGAAGTTGCTGGAAACGGCGCTCAAGGAGAGGAGAAACCTACTGGGGAAGAAGAGTTTGTCAACATTGATGAAGTTGAAGAAGTTTACGAAGATGTAGATGGCGGAGAAGGTCCTCAAGATGAGGATCATAGTATGGATGAAGCAGAAGCAGAAGAAGTAGATGTAGAAGTAGATATAGGTCAAGATGAGACCTTAGAGATAGACATGTCCAATAACTCATGGACGTATTTCGATAAGCATCAAGACAGCGTGTTTACCATTGTTTCTCATCCAAAATTGCCCATGGTTTTCACAGGCGGAGGAGACAATAAGGGATATTTATGGACAACACATACACAGCCACCGAAGTTAGTTTTTGAAGTTTGTGGCCATGAGGAGAGTATAATTTCTGGAGGTTTTACCGCAGATGGCAAGTATCTAATCACCGCTGATATGAATGGTCTAGTACAAGTTTTCAAAGCAAACAAGAGTGGTGAGAAATGGAAAAAATTTGCAGACTTGAATGAAGTTGAAGAGGTTTTGTTTGTTTCTGTACATCCCACCTTGCCTTATTTTGCCTTTGGAGCAAATAATGGATCTGTTTGGGTATATCAAATTGATGGTGAAGAGAGTAAACTGTTGGTACAAATAATGTCTAGTTTTGCTCATACTTTAGAGTGCAACGGGGCTGTATTTATTCCAGGAAAGGACGAGAACGATTTGAGATTGGTGTCCATATCTGAAGATGGAACTGTTGTCAATTGCAATTGTTTCACAGGAGCGGTGAACTACAAATTACAACCGCACGATGATTTCAAAGGTGTGGAAACCCCCTGGGTTACCATCAAGAATTATGAAAATTTGATTGCTATTGGAGGAAGAGATGGACAGTTGTCGATAATAAATAACGATACAGGTAAAATTGTCTCGTCGATAAAAACCCTTGATGATGTGGATGACATTGCTGAATTATCGATAGAGGCATTGAGTTGGTGCAAGCGTAAAAATTTGAGTATATTGGCAGTAGGGTTGGTTTCTGGTAACGTTTTGTTATTCGACACTCAACAATGGAGAGTAAGAAAAAACATAAAAGTAGATGATGCCATTACCAAATTGGAGTTTATCGAAGATTCTCCTTTGCTTGTTGGCTCATCGATGAATGGCAAAATTTATAAATGGGATGCGCGAACCGGAGAAGAGTTGTTTGTTGGAGTTGGCCATAATATGGGGGTATTGGACTTTACTGTACTAGAAAAGGGTAAGAAACTAATTACTGCTGGTGATGAAGGCGTTTCCTTAGTATTTGTAACTGAATAAACAATACCCATGATGGTTATAAGAGCCAGAGATATAGTACCGCGCAATGGCTGGAAACCTAAGGCCAGGCCGACCCAAACTGGGCCGAACTCTTCCCCCCTCTCCCCCCTCCTCCCCCGCGTTAGTTGCCAGGAATTTCTGCGGAAAAGAAAAAAAAAATCGCATTGAAAAAAGACGCGTCATATTTTTGTTTTGTTTAAAGTGATGATTTCTCTTTTCTTAGCTTGATAGTAGCAGGAGCAGGAGCAGTACTTACACCATTGTGATAAAAATGGCACCAGCTCCGATTGCGACATCGGAACAGGATGTGATAATGAAACCTTTTACTGTTAACGATGAAGCTAGCCACGAAGAAGAAGAAGAAGGAGAAGGAAACTCTGGCTTTTTTAAACCTTCAGAATCAGACATGTTGTTCTACTATAAGCGTCTTCTTCCGTTCAAATACATTTTTACGTGGTTATCTCACTCACCCAAAATTACCAAGGACTTTACAATGAGGGAGTTTGCTTACGAGTATAGGTCAGGAGCTTACCAACGGTACAATTCGTTTACTTCACCTGAGGATTTTAAGAAATCAGTGATACGGGCTAATCCCACACGTTTTGAAATAGGTGCTATATATAAGGTCAATCCACAGGAGCGAAAAAACCTTCCGAAACAAGCTATGAAACCTCTTGGCAAGGAATTGGTATTTGACATTGATTTGACTGATTATGATGATGTGCGTACTTGCTGTCTGGGAACTGCCATATGTTGCAAGTGTTGGAGATTTATTCAAATAGGAGCAAAGATTTTGGAGGCTGCATTGAGGGAAGATTTTGGGTTTGAACATTTGTGCTGGGTTTTCAGTGGGAGAAGAGGTGCGCATTGTTGGGTCAGTGATAAGAGAGCCAGAGAGTTGGATGAAGCAAGCAGGAGAAGCATTGTTGAGTATTTGGATATTTTGAGTGGGAAGGGGAATAGAGGTGGCGGCTTGAATTTGAGAAGACCTTTTCATCCTCATGTTGAAAGAAGTTTCGAGATCTTGAAGAGCCATTTTCTTAGTTTACTTTTGGAGGATCAGGATCCGTGGTTAACGACTCCTGATATGGATGAAAATAATCCCATATGGGGAACGAAAATTGATGAGTTTTTAAGCTTTATACCGATGAAAGAATTGAAAACTGAGTTGAAAAAGAAATGGATTACCGAGCGGAAGATTTCCCACTCAAGAGATAAATGGGAAGATATCAATTCCGTTGCTTCAAAAGTTCTTAAATCACAACTGCAAATTGCTCCTTTGAATGAAGCTAAAAAGGACATCATTATTTTTTATATGTATCCGAGACTAGATGTGGAAGTGTCTAGACAAGTTATCCATTTATTGAAATCTCCGTTTTGTATACATCCTGGAACAGGTAATGTTTGTGTTCCATTTGATCCACTGAGGAATATACTGGGGAAGCCAGAAGACGATTCTTATGGATTTAATCCAATGAGTGCTCCTAATTTGAAAACATTGCAGTGGGAATTGGAAGAGTATAATAAAAATGCCGAGAATGAGAGTGGTGCCAACGGTAATGGCAATGGCAATAGGAACATGCCCAATTGGGAAAAAACCAGTTTGAAACCGTATGTTGACTTTTTCAAGAGATTTGTACAACATTTAGTACAGGACGAAGTAAAGGATATGAAAAGAGGACTAGATAACGATGAAGATGAAATTGATCCCCTAGATTTTTGAAAATAGTAAATGAATAAAAAGAGATAAACAACTATATATATATATATATATATACAAACTCTAACAACGTCTCTCTAACCTGCCATTTTCTCCTTCTTTCCCTTTTCCTCCAAAGCAAATAATAAATAATAACAATAAAAAGAAAAAAAAAAAAAAAAAAAGTCATCGCCATCATTGAGTTGAGAGAAAACGCTAAGGCACCCCCTAATTACATAACAGGACATCCCAGCTCTGCTTTTTTCTCAATCATTTTGATCTCTTCCAAAGACCCGCTATTATTCTTGATAACAATCGTTTCAGTTGTTATCCCGCTCTTTTCTTCTTTCAACATTTCCTCCTCTTGAACAATGGAGGGATCAGATGCATGATACCATTCAATGTACTGTAAGCTCTCATTGTACTTGATATACCCCGAGGTCAAATAAATATCGCCATAGTCCAAAAAAGGAAAATGCCAAAGAGGAACAAATATAATTGTTGGAATAAACTTATTTTCCACTTGCGATTTATCAATCGATAATTGTAAAGAGTATTTGCAGGATTTGATATCGAATTCAGATTCAACTATCGTTCCTCTGGTGGCAATCATATATGGACGGATCACTGCGCTTACTGCTCGAACTCCGTCTGGGGATGGATAGCATTTTCTGAGCTGACGACGGTATATGTTGGATGAATTAGAAGAAATGATTGATCCTGATGATTGTGAGGATAAGGACATCTCGGATGCTGTCGTAGACATAGAAGTGCTTGCTAAGTCATCTGTATCATACTCCTCCATTGATGTGATTGTAGTTTCTGCGGCATCTTCAAAGCATATAGAAGACTCCGATGCTAAAGAAGATGAAGATAATACACTATTGCGGGAAGAACTATTTTCCATTAACGTAGCGGTACTGGTACCGGCTCTTTTACTCTTTCTGTGTCTCTCCCTTTTTAACTTGCGTGCTTTTCTTCGCAAATGAGAAGAGCTTCTATTAACTCCACTTAATGTTATATTGTTCCCATTCGAAATCGGTTCATACTCATCCTCGAATGTCAAATTTCGATCGTCGGGTGACCAAAAGGAGAAGTCCTCATTGTTCCAATTATCTCCCCACTTGTGATTGTTCATACTGTTATAACACCAAAACGTGTGAGACATGTTTGCTCCTTCAAGAGCGTTGCATAAAACATCAATTGCTGACGTTTGGGAAATAAATTTACCATTTCGATAGGACCGCTTGTCATCCATGTCAAAGGGCATCCCTGTTTCTGACATTAGTATAGGTATTTTACCCAAATATTTATCACATTCTTTTCTCATTTCTATAAATTGGTTCCTGATACAATTTCCGATTGCACGTTCGCCAAAAACTATTCCAAGTACAGGGTTCAAGTAACTCCCACGCATTATTCCTAATGTATCCACATTGTACCGAGTGTTCCAACTCTTAAACATTAATGATAATCCATCGTAGTAGTGCGGGCAATAAATAGTCTTGTTATCAATAATTTTACGCTCATCTCCAACAATATCTGGTGGCTGTTCCAATACGGGTGTCAGAAGAAGGAGAAACACGTTAGGTGCATGCTTTCTTATAACTTTTTTAAATTCGATGATGTGATTAACAAAATGATAGTTGATGAAAAATTCAGTATCAACTTTGACATGATTTGAACCAAAATACTCGGCATAGTTGTGTTGCGGATATGCCTTACAGAAAAACTCAGGCTCCAACATTTTACATTTTGCTGAAATTTCAAGTCTTTGAAATTGCGTAATTGCATTTGGATCAGTGGATGTTGCTATCGATGGCCATTCCCAGATACCCATTTTAGCAAAGGGACAAGTGCCCAATTCCCAGTCATTGCTTCTCTTGAAACCATATCGAGAGTCTATCTCAAGTGCAGTTTCTGGTAACATCCAAGCCCTGATACCCTTTGGGTCAACAATTTTTGTACCAAATTTTCTTGGACCGGTTATGGAGATTTGATACTCATCAACTTCGCATGTGAAACCCATACCCAATTTCATTGCCTGGAATGCAGTAGGAGTTGTGCCTACACGTAACTGTTGATTTGCTGGTATGTAATCTAGTCTATCATGACCAATCAACCCGCAATTTGGTTCATTCATTGATTCGAATCCCAAAATAGTGCCATTTTCAATTAAATCGGGAACTTTCTTACAAATTTCTCGCCAAATGAAATCAACGGCGCCCAAGTACTTATTTTGTAGATAATCTTGGATATTCTCACCGTTTATGGATAAATTGGGGAAATAGTTTTTTCCAGCAAAAAACATGGTAAACATTGTTAATGCAACTAATCGTTTGTAATTCGAAGTCCAGAGCATCTTGTGATACACTTCTGTTTCATCGTAGAACCTAGGGTCGTTGTGTAAGATAGCTGCTTCTGTAACAGCAAAGTGTTTCGGTTCCAATCCTGCGGCATAAAGGGTCCACATTGGAGCACCTGAGCCTCCTGAAAACCTTGACCACACATCTTGATGAAACTCGAGTATCACGTACATGCCTTTAGTCTCTCCTATAATTTTCAACATTTCAATAGTATAGTCAGCAAACTCTTGGTCATATTTGCCTGGACCTTCGTGCTCTATTGCTTCCCAAGTCAAAAGGTATCTAACTATATTATACCCCCAACTTTTTATTCTTTCGAGATGCACCTTGGCTTCAGCCAAGGGGAATGGTCTGCCAACAAATGACACAGTGTCTCCATCAAAGAAAATGTTATTGGGATCAGTACAGTCTCCTTCAAATGAAGGCATATATGGCTTTGCTGGTAGTTTTGTTTGGGAGTCCACATTGATTCCCTTGAGAATTACTTTTCTCCCCGTTTCTGCGTCGAAAAAGTTACCCTTTCCATCGGTGTCCAACGGCTTACATTCAAGAATACAGTTGGAATTGTTTTCTGCTTTTGGAATTGGTGTTGATGGCGGGTACCGTCTTTTTAGCGACTTCAATCCCGAGAGTGAACTTGGAGATATTTTTGAAGTTGTCAGGTATAATTTTAGTCTGTCACTTATCGCGTCTTGTGCATATCTTGCTGATCTCATAATCTAAACTGTGAATATCGACAAAGTACTCATAAGAGATGAAAAGTTCCTCGGGTCTTTTTGGTCTTTAATGTATATAGGTTTTCCTTCTATTCTCTCTCTTCTATACTCTCTCTCTCTCTATTTTATACTCTCTCTCTTTGTGCTGTTCTCTCTCTCTCTCTCTCTCTTTATACCTGCAAGTCTATAACTATAACCGTTGTCCAAGGTGAGTCTATAAGAAAAAAAGAGGAGTGTATAGTGAAACAAGCAAGTGTATATAGAAGAATAAGTTAATTTGATACCAATAAAAAAAATGGCTAGTTTATCAAATATGACAAAAACTATCAAATAAAGCAATACAGCTATTTAAATATGGGAACAATTACCATAATAGGAGATCTTTTTAAACTCGGTTGATTTTTTTTTCAATGTGTGCGGGAAAAAAATACTCGTGACAGGTGGGGAAGAGGGAAGGGGAAATCGGGGGGCCTTGGGGAGTCAATGCAGGGAAAAGATTAGTTTGGTAGGTAGATGGAAAATGTGGTTTTATTACTGTCTTGAGTGATTTGACATCAGCGACGCTTAAGGTGAAAGAATTGAGGGGGAGGGGAAGGGGGAGGAACGATTAAAAGAAGGAAGGGGAAGGGGGAGGAACGAGGAAAGGGGAGCGAGGAAAGGTGAGTCGATATGTTATTAGGGAAAAAACGTTTTCTCCATCTTTCAATTTATGATCGATAATTATAAAAGAGGATTAACTAAAATTTGGTATCGCCTCCAACCCCCCAGTACAAGACTGTTTGTGTGTATACTTGTAATCTTTTGCACCCAGTGTAATCACCACAAAGTTACAATCTTATACCGATAATGGCCAAGTTGAATCTCTTTTCTCTCAATCTGTGTGTCAGTGTATTTTGTACCCTCGGTTTTTTTCTTTTGTCGTTTAGGGCAAGAAAAGTATATTGACTTGCTCCCATTTAATTGTCACCCCTACTCCCCTACCCCCCACTGACAAAATTGTCAAAGGGGGGAGTCAGGGGTTACTCACTAATATATAGTATTTAGATGACTGTATTAACATTATTTATATATTTAACAGTCCATACATTTTGAGTCAAATATAGGACGTTAACTAGTTCTCTCATTTGGTAAAATAAGAAAAAAAAAATCGTTTAAATTTTTTACAAAATAATAGATTATAAGAATATTACCAAATGTTCAAAATTCCATATAAGACGAATCACCTAAAAATTATGTTTCAGAGATATTTTAAATCTGCGTGTATTAAATGACGTCTAATACCAAGCTATATTATATACTAATTGGCATTTATTGTTAACTTGTAGCCGAAAAATCAATAATAGTCAAAAAAGAAAAAAGAAAGAAAAAAAAAAATAACCAACACTAACGCGTTTTCAGGTTACACTTTAAACATTGCATTAGTTTAAAATCCCTGGCAAAAAGTCTTTATTTGTACCTGTCTCAAGTAATTAATTGAATCTCAGCTTTTGTTGATGACAGCTTTTGTTTATGACAGCTTTTGTTGATGACAGCTTTTGTTTATGACAGCTTTTGTTTATGACAGCTTTTGTTAATGACAGCTTTTGTTAATGACAGCTTTCCTTTATGACAGCTTTACGTTTTTTAGATTATTCTCTCTCCATTACTTGGGAAAATTTTCAACTACAAAAAAAGGTCAACAAAAAAACATACGTATATATGTATATGTATATACATATATGTAGAATGACTTAGCACTTTACCTCTAGAGAGGAGGTGGGGAAAGCTATAGCAGTGGTACACAAGAAAATAAGGTTATAAATAGAGCAGCACCACGTTTACCCAAGCACGATAGAAAGAATTAAAAATTTACTTTTTCAGCCTCTAAAATTAAAAGCAAGGTATATTACCATATTAAATCTATTGACCTTTACTTAGCAGAGTCTGGTGTGTGTAAAAAAATTTAATAGTGATGGTTTATTCAGCATATAGATACAACAAATAACAAGAATGTCATACCAGATACTATTAACCCATATTTAATCTTTTTTGCATTGAAACCATTACTAGACGACATCAATAGGGAGTTTGATGAATTTGCTAGGGGTGTGCCTGTTATGACTAATGTATTTATATCAGAGCTACCGGTAAAAGTACCTTTTGCATTAGTTAGGTCTGCCGATTCACTGGCATATACTAGACCTCCAGGTATGGATGTTATTTCTGAAGATGAGGCCATTGACGACGATGATAATGATGTTGTTGATGAGGTTGTTAATAACGATGTTGAGACTGGTATACTTTTTTCTATAGAGTCCAATGATATATTATTACTGTTATTTATTATTGTCACCGTTGCCATACGTAGATTAGTTAACGATGGTGCCGATTTCGGTGTATAATGGGTTGCTGCGGATAAGTCTATAAAAAGTTCACCATGCGATATCCATAAGGAATTTGACGACATTATTTAATATATATATATATATTGCGAAAAAAAATGTAACAGATGGTAGCGAGTAAGTCTAAATGAAACACAAATGAGCAGTTGAGTATATATGTAACCAGTAGATAAAAAAAATAGTTTTATCTAGACTTGGGAGGCGATCGATGTTTGATAAGAAGTTTTTGGTGAGAAAATGCAAAAGAAACGAGTGAATTAATATAAGTATATGTGTAAAGAAAGTAGGGTAGAAATAAGTATATGAGTAAAGAAAGCAGGGTAGGAACGAGATGGTTAGATAGAGGGAAATCGGCTGGGTATTTATAAATAAAGATGTGTCAAATATTAAATAAATTGTGTTTCAACTAGCATAAATACCGGACATTTATCCCCACATTATTTTCATTTCCGTTGACCCCAAAACCCAATAGTTACAACATAGCAACAAGCCAAACCTACAAGCCAAATTGAAACAAAAAGCACTAAACGAAAGGAATTAAAATTTGGTTCCCCTGATTTGTTTTTAGTTTTTAGATTTTTTTTTTTTTTTTTTTCTTCTTTCTTTACGTGCCTGAAAATTGCAATTTGTCATTTTAAAACTTCTGCATAAAGAATAATGCACCTTCAAAAACAAACACACACCCAAGAGAAAAGAATAATGCAGTTTGAGGAGAAGAGGAAATGCACAAGTCGGGGTATTTTGCCACGGATATAAAGTCCGCGGTCGCCAGTTCTCAAAAAAGAAAAGACAAAAGCTCTTATAATGTTGGGTAATAAAAAAAAAAAAAAGGTAACCATGTGATATGCATATGAACGCTTTAGCTTAATTTTCTCATTACATATGCAATAGCTAAGGTAGTTTAAGTAGTATTGATTTTCTAGAGTTGGAATTGTTCAGGGTATTTTTCGGGTGTAATACTAATCCAATTGCAAATAAGAAGAATGTTGCAACATGACTCGGATTAGCATTTCTTCACAAGTAATATCTCGTACAATTTACCAGTTTACTTGACTTTTTACAAAACTTTAAAGCTTAATTGCCTTGATCTGGTCACGTGACCGCCTGCATTCGATCAATGGAGTTCTCTTTTTTCATTTTGATAATTATTATTATTTCAAGTTTTCTTTTTCTTTTTTTTTTTTTTGTTATTGACGTTTCATTCCTTTGTGAAGTTTTTGACGAAGGAAAAACATATGGCATGAGTTGCAAAAACTTGGCGTTTGAACATCATTCAAGCCGGATATGAAGTAGTGGGAGGAGGGAAAAGAAGAAGGTTCTTCCTGTGTACAAAGTGTTTTGAAATCAGGAACTAGTGGAACTAGTCGACCAGAAAGACTAGTCAAAGACTAGTCGAGCAGAAAGACTAGTCGAGCAGAAAGACTAGTCGAGCAGAAAGACTAGTTGAGCAGAAAGACTAGTCGAGCAGAAAGAGTATCGTGCAGAAAGAGTATCGAGCAGAGCAAGACTAGTTGAGTGTATATAGTATGTCTATATGGCATGTCTATATAGTATGTCTCGCTCTGCTCGACTAGTCTTTCTGCTCGACTTAGTTGCAAGAAAAGAGAAATGCACATTAAACATAGAAGATGATGGGATCCGTTGTGATGAGTTGTAAAGATGTCTCTAGATATAAATAGTTGTAATAAACTTAAAAAATGGAGTAAGAATAGTAGAATAGTAGTGTCAGTAGCAGCTAGTATACTCCAATATCTCGGTTTCGCTCGATAGTGTCGAGATCGTTGACGTGCGCTACCATGTGTCAAAGGCCAAACGATGTCAGAAAGAGTTGCAACAAGAGGGGGGCAGGGGGGAAGAGGCAAACTTTACTTTTAAGGTATTTGACCTGCTGCTAAGCGGGTGATCTAGTTGCTACCAACCCCCACTATCGAGAAAAGCGAGACTAGTAAACATTAGATAATACATTGGTTTGCCAGTTTGCTACTACGGTGATTTTCACAACCGGAATGGAGTATACATCAAAGAGACATTTACTTTGAATAGATTGAAAAGATGCGAGACCCACATACAAACAATAGAAGTACTAGAATAGAAGGTAAACCGGGGAATGACAAGAGTAGAGATGTGCTTACGTCCATATTTCAAGTGTCGCTCGATAGTGAAAAACTACAAAAAAACGTTGCCACTCACATTTGTCAGTTTTGGTAGAAGTCAATGCTCCACTATCTCGCTTTGCTCGATAGTATTGCTAGTGTCAGTAGCATTCAATGCTCCACTATCTCGCTTTGCTCGATAGTGTTGCTAGTGCCGGTAGAAGTCAATGCTCCACTATCTCGCTTTGCTCGATAGTGTTGTTAATGTCGATTTTGACACGACCAATAGAGTTTAGGACACGCAAAACAAATCGACTTACATTAAGAGCGACACACAATTAGGCGCTCTTTATATTATAGTGATTTTTTTTTTTTCCATTCAATTTTTTTTCATTTGATATAAGGACAAGTCAAATTTCCAAGAACAAGTTGTGATTAAAGGTTGTGTGAATCTCGGATATGGTTGTTTTAGCAGCATCAATTTGTACCCGTGGTGGTAAGGCTCTTATATCGAGACAATTTAGAGACATTTCCAAGGATAGAATTACTGCTTTACTTGCTTATTTTCCAAGTTTGATTTCCAATTCAACAAGTCAACATACTAGCGTTGAAGACGATAATGTGAGATATGTGTACCAACCATTAGAAGAGTTTTACATTGTTTTGATTACAAACAAGAGCTCGAACATTTTACAGGATATCGATACATTGCACTTGTTTGCTTCAACTATAAGTAACTTGTTGAGAAATATCGACGAACGTGAATTATTCGAGAATGCCTTTGATATAATCGATGCCTTTGACGAAGTTATCAATTTGGGCTATAAGGAGAATTTGACCATTAGTCAAGTGCTGACTTTCTTGGAAATGGACTCCCACGAGGAGAAGATACAGGAAATTATCGAAAGAAACAAGGAATTGGAAGCAACAGAGGAAAGGAAAAGAAGAGCAAAGGAGATACAGAGAAAGGAGTTGGCTAGACAGCATATGAGTATGGGTGGCCCTGGCTCACTGGATTTCGGTTATGGAATGAACAAGCCTTCAATACAACCTACTTATCAACCCACACCAACTATTGAAACTGCACATGAATCTAAATCCAATTTCACTTCCTCTACTACTTCCGCTAGTGGTAGACCAAGAGGTGGTGGATTACAATTGGGTAAGAAACCAACCAAGAGCGTACCTGGTCACGCAATGTTGGGAAAGGGAACGATTAACGAACCGTTACTTTCGAACCAGCCACTATTCACCCATCATTCACAACAGCAGCTACAAAAACAAACATCTTCTACTCTGGTATCCAAAAGTGCATCACCTGCTGCTCCTCAAACTCAGAGGATTGTTAATAATGGCATCTTAATCACCATAAATGAAAAGGTTAATGCTAAATTAACTCGTGAAGGCTCAATCACTTCTTCCGAAGTCAAGGGAGATTTGCAGTTGAGAATAAATGACCTGAGTTTAGCAAACTGTAGATTATTATTGAAAATCCATGACAAGGCAGATAAAAAACAGTTCAAGATCCATCCTAATGTTGATCGTAATTTGGTACTCAATGAAAATATAATTGTCGTTAAGGACAAGTCCAAAACATTTCGATCTGATGATCAAGCCACGGGGATTTTCAAATGGAGATATGTTGGCAAATCTGATGATACTAGTTCCGTGCCATTATTGATTACCGCGTGGGTAAACATCGATGATAATTCACAGGCCCAAGTTACCTTGGAATATGAATTAGCTGGAGATTTCGTTGATGCGCACAAGTCCAATGGCGGTTTCTCTGTATGTGATGTAAAGATATTAGTCCCAGTAGTAAACCATGATTTGTCGTTACTGGAGAATGAATTGATATCGTATGATATATTGGAGCAAACGGGAACGGTTTTCACAATTTCGAAAATTGATCTCGAAGAGCCTCTGGGATCGTTTGAGTTTAGTGTGCCTATAGAGAATGCCGAAGAGGGAGAGGAGTCATTGTTTCCTATGGAATTACAATACGATATTATTAACACGGAGTTAGTCGAGGGAGATGTCTCATTAGGTGGTATATCAATAACCGATGTTGTTACAAATGACGATGAGGAGAAATCGTTACCTTTTGAGTTACATTCAAATATTATTTCTGATAGTTATATAGTGCAATAGATAAAGACGGAAGTGAGGGAGAGTGTGATGGAGAAAGGTAAAGATGTCATATATGCATGATTAAACTATAATAGAGGTACCGCTCAATGCAACCGAAAAAAAACAGCCTATATTCTCTTCATCATTGAGTTTGTTCAATTCAAAAAGAATCTGTTTTCGTGGATCCTTAATCTCTCGGAGGTTCGTTAATAATGGCTCTTTTACATGATTTATAATGATATGAAGTCCAACGAGTGGCTGTTGTTGTTGTTGCTGTTGTTGTTGCTGCTGCTGCTGTTGCTGCTGCTGTTGTAGTTTTTGACATTCCTTAGACAATTGTGTCAATTCATTAATGACGTGTCTTGGAGTTAAATGTCCATATAATTTATTCTCATCAATTTCAAAACTATTCGAACACTCAAGAATGATTGCTTTTAAACTACCTTGAAGAATCAATGGTGCTACTTCTTGCCAAATTTGTAAATTATAATCCAAGCCACTTGTTGCATCGCTTTCGAAATCTCCAAATATCAAGAGATGGGAATTATTTCGTGATATCAAAAATGCCGAAGATAAATAGTGCAGTGATACTGCATCTTGATCTAGATCCTCTATATTGAGCCCGCTTCCGCTCCCTATTGAGTCTCTTTTTTCATCTTGACTTATTTTTGTCATAATAAACTCATCATTACTGACACCAGCGGGGATGGTTGTCACACTTGAATGATGTGATGATGACAGTGTCGATTTATGCTTTTTTCCTTCTATTAGGTTTAATTGACCATGACTTAGGGGGAACATGCGTACATTGTAATTCCCCACTTTGACATTTTTTTTATACTTTATTTGGTTTAATGATAGGACATCAAAACTGGGCATGTTGGGCCACACTTCTCCATTGAAACAATGACGCTGTAGCGAATTCATGGTGTATTTGGATCCATAAACCCGTTTTGGCGGATTGTTTGTAGTAAAACCAGCGGAGTTGATGACTAGTGAGGAAACATGGTCTAAATGAGGATGAGATATTAGAAAATTGTTTAATTTTTGGTATATGTACTTTATGCACAATATCGCATTAAACTTGCTCAATTTGCTGAATGGTTGAGTTAGTTGAATTGTGTGATGGTAATAGTATTCAATATCTTCGGAATCTGGATAGTAGTTGAGTAAACTACACCAGGATTTTTGAAATTTGCTCTCTTGATGAATTATCTCTGCTAATTTTCCCATACCTGATCCAGCATCTATACAAATTAACTCGTCTTGTTGGTCCTTCTCTTTAGAATGCAGCTCATCTTGTTGGTCCTCTTGTTGGTCCTTCTCTTTAGAATGTAGCTCATCTTGAAAGTCTTCTTCTTTGAGATTGTTGAGGTTGAGAATCAGTGGATATGAGATATTAGCCGACTTTAAAAGAATCGAGCATGTGTTGCCTTCTAAAGGGCCACCGCTAGTTCCGAGAAACGTTATTTCAAACGACATGTAGTGGATAAATAATTATATAGCAGCTTTTCTTTTGAAATGGGTATAATGAGATAGTAATTGAGAATAAAAACAAAAAATAAAAGTGTCAGCTGGTTTGAAATAGTACCAATCTCAATCTGATAAACTAAACTCCAGTAAGCTTCCCAAAATAAAACCCTTTGTCTCAATAAAATCCCCAAAAAGGCTTTCCTTATCTATCTACTCTTTGGGCTTTCCCAAGTAAAGTTTTGACATTTTTATCATTTCTTTTTTTATTTCTTTTTTTTTTTTACTTTGGGCGGTTAAGAATCCCCATTGGTACCGTTAGACTGCCGTTGTTATACATCACTGTCGTTAGACTGTGGAGCAATACTCAGTAGCTTGGTACAACACTATCGAGGAAAGCGAGATAGTGTTCATCAGTAGCTTGGTACAACACTATCGAGCAGAGCGAGATAGTGTTTATAGTGTAGCAATACTCAGTAGCTTGTTACAACACTATCTCGCTCTGCTCGATAGTGTCGCTCTGCTCGATAGTGTTGGTAGAGAAAGAGTCACAAGAAACAACTTTACCCTGTCATTTATTCCTCAATGCCTAATATAGATATCTGGCTATTTACTGCTGTTTACTTGCATAGCCTCTAATATCCTTTGCAAATCTCCAGCTTTGATTTCCCACTTTAACACCCTTTTCAAAATCAAAGTCCAATTTTCCAGATTCTTCATCAAGTTTAATAACTACCCGCGAAAAAGATTCTCCGGACCTTGCATCTCTGTAAAATAATACTCTCATACAGTCATCAACAACTTTTTTGATTTCGTCTTCCTTTACTTTCACATAGTCCTTGTCATCAGGTATAGCATTTCTCAACAAAGGTATAGCTAAATGTGAACCGAATCCAGTAGCAATAGTTGATGCATGATACGTGACACCCAACAAATCAACGTATTTCAAAAATGGTTTTCTGTCTTTATCGAACCCTCCGACTACTATACTATTCCACAATGGATTCATCCTCGACCTTCTATTATACATCACTCTAGACAAGTATTCATGCACATTAGGAGCTCTAAGAAAATCGCCTTCTTCGTTGTCATAAACTTCTTCTTCGATTTCCAACTCATCTAATAACCTTTCAATGTACTGCAAGTCGGAAATGTCTCCTGAAATACCCACAACGGTTTCCGAGCCTATTTTTATCAACCTTTCCAAATTGTTGAAACGTAATAGCGAGCCATAGGATCCAACATTATCTGCCGCCATTATTATACCATTAGCAAACTTCGAAGCGACTATAGAAGTTCCTGTAATAATGGGTTGTTGCGTATTCATTTTGGGGAAAGACTGCTGGTGCAATGAGTGATGGTTATAATCTATAAACTCGGCATTGTTTGCCTGGGAAATTCTATGATTATAGGGACCATAAATCTCGTCCAAAGGTCTACCCCAATGATATGGTTCGTGGTTCATAGTGTAAAGTAACAGAAGCTCAATGGTATACCAAGAGATGATCAATCGAATTAGTGGCAATAATATCTCCCTCTATTTTTTTTTCCACTCGTTGGAAATTTTGATGTCGTAAATGTAAGAAATGTCGCGACAATGAATCTCCACAATAAACAAAGTTTCAACCATTGTGTTGACTCATTGGAGGTACAAAGAGATAGAAAAGATTACAAAGGATATAAAGGATAAGATATAAAGGATAAGATACAAGGGATATAAGATACAAGGGATAGTTACAATTTTTATAAAGGCCAAACTAGACTATATATATATAATTTGTATTTTATTGAACCTAGTCTCTATAAATAGTTTGTAGTAATTGTACTTTTCAGTATTAGCTTGATCTAGTATACAATTTCAGCACCACCACTAATAATCTGTTCCATTTCAAAGTCTTTAACTGGCTTATATCTGAATCTTTCGGGTAATTCACTTCTAGCGAAAAATTCCCCATGTTGGGGCTGCACCGGATTAGCATTGTGATAACTCGAAATGGAAAAAGAGCTTTTTACTGTTGTTGAAATACCCATTTTGCCTGGTATTATACCATTTGGGGCAAATGGATGTGCCTTAGCTGGATATGGTTCTGGAAAAAAAAAATTTCAAGTTAGTATATAAACCCAAACCCAAAGAGTCAAATGGATTGGATAGCCTTGATAATTTGAAATTGATTGGATAGCCTTGAAAATTTGAAATTGATTGGATAGTCCTAATCATTTGAAATTGATTGGATAGTCCTAATCATTTGAAATTGATTGGATAGTCCTAATCATTTAAAATTGATTGGATAGTCCTAATCATTTAGGGGTTTAATTACATACTTGGGATAGGATGTGGGCCACCTACAAATTTGATTGTATGCTTTAATAGTCTTGTTGTTGCTCTCATTGTTCCTATACACTTTGTTTCTTCCTAATCTGCTTTACTGTTAGACCAAGTCTATGCTTCTTTAACTCTCCTTTTATATATAAATGCTTTCTGCTATTTTTCTTTTTTTTTTTTCTTTTCTTTTTTGGTACTTCTTTATGGATTTCCATTTTGGGAAACTCAGGCGGCGGTATCTCTACCCATGCGCGCTTATTATATTTTTTCCCTTGCTATCAGTTAAGGGGGCGGTTGATTGAGTAGGAAAAAAAAGTGAGGTGATAACAGCCAGGGTTTTCGGGCGGCTTGAATCCATACAAAACAGTTTTTTTTTATTTTGGTTTGAGTCACCCGTTATCTATAATTGTTATAGTTATAATTAGACTATGCTTTCTCGTTTAGTTATACAGAACAAGTGGATTGTGGAAGTCCATCGGGAAACTGACTACACCTCATGAATCTGGCTTTAAATAGCATTGCTCTAGAAACGAATGCGTACAATTGATAATATATGCAAATGACTACACTATATTAATTGATTTAATTTCTCTATAATTGAGCAATATTCCTTCAAAGTCAACACTAGCTCTCATCAACACTACTGAGCAGGGCAAAATAGTGAGCATCACTTTGGAGCCATACTATTGACACTATCGAGCGAAGCGAGATAGCGAGCAAAACTTCAGTGTCATACTATTGACACTATCTCGCTTCGCTCGATAGTGAGCAACACTTTAGAGCCAGAGCCATACTTTGACACTATCGAGCGAAGCGAGATAGTGAGCAAAACGAGATGTCCTTTTTTTTCTCCTCTTTAAATTTTTCGCAGCCATTTGTTAAAAAAAAACAAACAAATCTATACCAGTAAATGGAATAGCTAGATACGTTGTTTTGCAACATATCATAAATCTCTAAACTTGACTTATTATCTACATGATGCTGTTTGCTGTTTAGAGTAGGCGCTTTTTTGGTTGAGTTGAGCTGTTCATGAGCAATAAGGTATTGACCATTATCGATCTTCCCCTGCCTATAATATCAAAAATTCTATTTGAGAAATGGCGCACCGATAGAAACTATAAATTTATCATCCCCATGCTCTACACGTGCAAGACTCTATACGAGCACCAATATCTACTATTCACATTGCAACCATTGGTATTAGGATCCTCGCCAACTTCAATCTCGTCCAAGGCACTAAAACAATTGATCAAGCAAGGATTAGCTCCGAAAATAAAAGCTCTATGTTTCCATTCACCAACAACTGCTCTCATTACCCATGTAACCAATTTCACCAATTTGATTTCACTAACTGTTCTAATTGGCATACACGATTTTTCCAAAATGTTGAATTTATTGCCTCACTCAGTGGTATACTTGAGCATTATCTTGGAAGCATCTTCTAGTCACAGTCGGTTTGCAAGAAAACTTGGTGAACTAACAATCCATACCAATTTTAGTTTAAAAACACTAAAGTTTATTTCTAACCTGTGCCTTAAACGAACAAAAAAGATTTCCTTTCTTGATACGATCAATTCCTTGTATGCCAAAACCGATTCTGAAAGAGGGTTCTATGAAACCAAGTCTTTAGCAAAGCAAGTGGCAATGATCTTGGCCAAGTTGGTATATTCAAGCGGGCAAACTCTAGAACTGCTAGACTTGAAAATGATTAGTTTGATTCAAGTTTACTACGCAATGAAAGATCAGGGATACATTATGCTGCCAAGTAGTTTTCCAAAATTGAAAATCATCAACATCCACCAAACTACAATGTACTCTTTGCCTTTCCTCACGTATTGGTTAAAGATTTGTGACCAAGTGGTTTACTCAAATGATTACTTGGGTACAAGGTACGTGTTGAAGTTGGATGAAAATGGGTACCTCAAGGTTGATCAAGTCGCTACCAAGCGTACCTACAATTGAAACTTTAAAGAAAACCCTGTCCAAAACTTTTCCATACTTTATACCACCACCACCACCAGCACCAACAGCAACAGCAACAGCAACAGTAACACTACGGGGTTTGATAAGATGGCAGATAAGTTGACAAAGACGATACAGCGATTTCAGGCTAAGATCGATGCCGGCTCATTTTATGAAGCCCATCAAACGTTGAGAACTATAACGAATAGATATGTCAAGTCCAAACAGTATAAAGAAGCCAGGGATTTGTTATACCAGGGCACGTCAACATTAATCAAGAACAAAGAATATGCATCGGCATCGGATTTGCTTAGTTATCTTATACAAATCTATGAAGAGGAAAAATTGGACGTTGGTGACAAGGACGCAAAGCATAAATTAATTGAGTTGATCTCAAGTTTGCCCAATGATGATCCCCTGCTCAATGACTTGGCAAAGAGTAGTATTGCATGGTCACAGAAATCTTCAGAGTGCAAGGTATTTGGTGATTGTGATTTGCATCATTTATTTGGAACTAAATTTATCTCTGCATTGAAGAATAATAGTGGTGCAGGGAAGGAGGAAGAAGAAAAAAAGAGTAAGATCTTTGCCATTGCTGAATTGCATTTGATCTTGGGTACTTTTGAGTCGGTTCCTGTTTATGTTGACTACTTATATGAGTTATCTCAGAAGAATTCCGGTATTGATCCTGGAGTGTATTTATCGAGAGCTATAATAAATTATGCATATTTAGAAAATATAAAGTTCATGAAGGAGGCATTATCGTTGTTTATCAATAAGGTGAAAACAGATAAAGAAGAAGAAATCAAGGGTGTGATCTATTTTGAAAAGTATCCATTATTAAATTTCCTACAATTGTTGGTTGAAACTTTACAAAAGGAACCTCAAACAAATAGTCAGAAATTTCTAAAACTATACGATTACTATAAGCCAGAGTTACAAAAGAACAAGTTTTTGGTACCAGTAGAGTACATTGGTAAGCTTTATTTCAATTTAATACTTGGAAACTCAAATCAACAAGCCAACATGCTTGCAAACTTCATGGGAGGGTTATTAAAATAGGAAACTCAAATCAACAAGCCAACATGCTTGCAAACTTCATAGGTAACCTCATATATATATATATATATATATATATATTCAATAATTATCCTTGTTTTCGTCATTTGTATCTCTTACAATAGAGCTCAGATCCAAGACACTCACAAGTTCAGGTCTCTTCAGTTTGACTAATTCGTGTTTTGCTTCTGAATACGTACACCATCTTCTTTGTCTCTTTTTGACCTCGGGCCACTCCATACTCAATTGATTAACCAGTAACTCAAAAAAATGAAATTCGCTTTTTGGAATAATCTTGTCGAATTCCCCTTTGATAACTGGCGCTTTTGACCCTCTTGAATCTAAAACGACAGGTAGTTTCTTAACAACCATACCTTCAATACCTGCTTCCTCCCATGTTTCTCTAACAGCTGTTTCTATCAACAGCTCGTCCAATTCATTGCCTCCCTTGGGTAAAATCCATTTCCCCTTATTTTTCGAAGACGTAATCATTATAATCTTATCCTTTGTCTCGTTTAAACAAACACAACCTGCAACTATTCTTGCCCCTGTTTCGTCATTGTACCTCTGGTTATTTCGACCTACTCTTGCCTCTGTAGATTTTATAGGCAAATTGGGGTTGACATAGTCACTCATTGGCAGAAATTGGGAGCTCTCAATAACTTTCTATTGAGTAAAGATAGTATCCCCATGGGAGGAGGGGGGAAGAGAAAAAGTGGCCTTTTTTATTGCGCGGCTCGGGGTTTCACCGCGAACAGGGCGAGCGGAAGAGCGTAGCACAGTGCCGATGTGGTGCGAGTGGAGCGAAGTTCGCCCAATTGTCGTGTCGAGTTCGCGCTATAATTGGGCGTGGTTTTTTTATTTTTCCCTCGTTTTTTGTTTTCGTCTATCATCTTTTTTTTTTTCACTTTGGAGAGAACTTTCATAAAGAGTACTTTGGTATAATTTATTATAATGAAGGTACTTTCGTCATTGGTGTTGGGTTTATTCTGGGCAATTGGTCTGCTAGCCCATGGGGGTCATTCTCAAACTGTTTTGAGAGAGAAGCCAGCTAATTTGAGGTGGCAAGATTGGCATATGTTGGAAGAACATGGTCTTTCTGAGTATGATGGAAAGACTTTCTTCATATTACATGATCTTAAAGGTAGAGGCTATTGGGATAAGAACGATGTTTTGAACATCTTTGGATTGGTTCATGAGCAAATCATTGGTGACGGGTCCGGAATGGGTGCAAACAGACGCATTGTAACGCCAGAAGATCAAATAATGGTTATTGATTCGATTTTTAAATTATTCGACAAGAATCTTGATGGCAGTATTAGTTTGGATGAGTGGTTGGAATTCCATAACAAGGGTGGTGAACTACCTGATTTTGGATTTGGATCAGGCCATCATTTGGATTTTGAAAGTGAGTATGAAGAACACCATTGGAACAAATATCATGCTAAAGATGATCCAGAAACTAAAATCAAGCATAAGGAAGATATAGAGCATGAGTTATTACATCATAAGTATGAGATAGAAGAAACTCATGATAAACCAAAGCAATTGAAGGATTTAACAAAGAATTTTTTGAGCAAGGTACGAATAGAGAATCTTACTCCGAAATATAGGAGATCATCTTAAGCGAAATATAGGAGATCATCTTAAGCGAAATATAGGAGATCATCTTAAAGGGAATATAGGAGATTATCTTAAGCAAAATATAGAATAATCTTAAGCAATGCCTCCTTCTTTACCTCATTAATACATAAAAAACTGTCTAGTACAAGATTGTTTGTGCTTCGCTCTCTAGTGTCATTAGTCAGTGCTGCTCTTCTATCTCGCTACTGGATAGTGTCAGTCAGTTCTGCTCGATAGTGGAGCAGCACTGGCTAACTGCCACCGGCACTATCGACACTATCGAGCAGAGCGAGACCAACTGCCACCGACAATTTGTACCTTGTTAAAACACTATCTCATTCTGCTTGCTCTACTATCTCGCTCTGCTCGATAGTGTCGCTCGATAGTGTCGCTCGATAGTGTCGCTCGATAGTGTCGATAGTGTCGATAGTGTCACTCGATAGGCCTTTTCTGGATTGACCCAAAGGCACAACTTCGCAATCCCTCTAGTTCATTTGTACACCTCCTTGTATCACTCTTGTACATTCTTAGACAAGCTTCGTATGCTTGTAATTTTCCCGAACATGTTGCTTGTATTTTCTGAAATGACGGTACTACGGTTTTAATACATTTGGTCAATTCAATCTGCTGATTTAAACAATGTTCTGGATCTGGTTGAGGAAGGGCCATACATTGATGGAATGATAAAAACTGTTGTGGACAATACCTCGCTATATCTTCTAATAGTATTTGGTCTAAAGCACCGCCTTTCTGGTCCATCGTTAGTAACAAGTCTAGTATCCTTATATAAACAAGAAGACTTCAAAAGAGACAGAGAGAGAGAGAGAAAAAAAAGAAAGAAAGAAAAAAAAAAAAAACAATGAGTATTTCAACTGATTGAGAAAGTCGTTGAAGAATA